TGAAAGTAAAACAATACTCATTGTGTCATTATTGTGTCATTATTCTGTTTTTCTATCTTCTTACTTCTTAATATGCGTATAAGGCAGCGTAAAAAGAAAAAATCCGGCACTGTTAGGTGTTGTATAAACATATTTAATTTAGAACGGCCGACGTCTCCTTTAGGGAAAAACCGCCGGGCGGCCGTTCATTCGCAGGAAGTTTTCGGCTTCCTAGCATCCAAAAGGATAGCCTTTATGATTTCGATGACAATGTTGCCCCAAGGTAGAGTTTTTTATATTTGATTTCTCGGGTCAGAACGAGCGCTTTTTGGCAGCATCTGTTTTACATTGGGTGAAGATATACTGCCGCTGGAAATTTTAGAATTCCAACTCTACAAAGGGTTTCCCTCGGCCGAAATTGAAATCCGGTTTAAAGGATAGACAGAAAGTTGCGATTTTCCGGGATGGAGAGGTGTTTTACGGTCGAAGAAATATGATCTTGCGGAAGGAAAAAATGCTCGCGTTTTATGAATTTTAAATTTTTCATGACGCGTTTCAAAGGGATGTATTCAATTACTCACTTCGATGCAGCTATGTTAATTGAATTAAAAAAATTAAAAGCGTATAGGTCCCAGCTAATTCGTTTTGATGTGAAAGAGATCATTTTAATGCATTATTAACTGAAATTAATTTTGAATATATTGTAGGTTACACGTTGTACACATAAAATTTAAATAGAAAATTTTAAAAGAAAATTCTATTACTATATTAATATAGGTAATGATAAAGGATTTTTCATAACATATATCTTATACATTAAATTACTGTTTTCTCTACTATAGGTAATATTTGTTCCATTCGAGAAAACTTGAGAGCGGAATAAAAGTACGATAACCCACAATAATCCTATTATAGTTACGATAAATCCTAACAGTAATTCTAGTTTTTTCCTGTACGAAAATATAAAATCAAAAAAAAGAATTTAATGGTTATCCCACCCGATATTCATGTGGTTGTTTTAGACACAGAACAGCCATTATGAAAATTCCCATTGGTCTTCAGTTGAAAAGCCTTTTTGGCTTCATTCCAATGTTAACGTCGATTTAAGGGACAAAAGGATTACCAGTAGATTAAGGTCTTTTGTTTCCGTGAAAATAATCTATTATTTCAAATGGCGCGATAATCATAGTTGGTAATTTCGCGCAAATTGTCTGTTGCTATTTACAAGGAAATTTATGTATTCGCCGTGGTTCGTGTTATTATAGGATTTCGAATTGTGTTATGTCTAAAGGTAAATTCCAGTATGTTTTTATTTATTGAGTTTCGTGTATTGTTCAGGCATTAATAACTAACATATAACAACACCTAGGTAAAAAAATGAATGCGGATTCACGGAAATATAATAAATCTACAAAAATAAAAAATTTACCAAGATTTAATGTGTTTTTTAATTAACGTACGCTTTATACAACAAATAAAAAATATATTATATGAGAAAGAGAATAGAAATAGTAAAACATTGCAGTTTTTGCATTAAAAATTTCAGCATTATGAATTTTTCATTAGATAATTCTCGTGGCATTTAAACATAAAATAACAAAGCTTTTTATATACCAAATTATATTATATGAATTTAGCGAATCTTTTAAAACTTGTATCTAAATTCAAACCATTTTAAAATTCCAAGCATGTCGCCAGAAATACCCTACACGCTCTCCTCCGTTCGAATTGTATTAGCTTCGATTTTAAAATGTTAAATATTCTATACACACGGTAAGTTCCGACATTGCGGTTCAGAGATACATAAATGAAATTCGGTTTGATGCGATAGAGAATAAGATTCCTTTATTTTTCGGTACATACAAAAATTGAAAAATTTTCATCGAAACCGCAAAAATTTCGCCGCGAAATGTGTGTAGGTAGCTGTTCAATAGGCGAAACGCGACTTGTTCCCATTGATGTACGCAATTCAACCTATCAAAAAGAGTTTCATTCAAATTGATTCTTTCCGATGCACCAGGAATGCCACGTTTCGATCAAAGGATTCTATACACAGAATTTTTTTGACCAAATATTTTCCACGCAATATCAATTACGAAGTTTGTTCGCTAATGATCCATTTTTAAGCGCTTGATTATTTTGAACGAGCGTCTGAAAACCTATTTTGATTCTATACATAATACTCTTTTGCGCACTATAATCAACCCTATCAAAATAATAATTAAATCATCAACCACTATTGACGGCAAAGAAAACGAATTAATTGAAGAAGCCGCGCGTCGGGCCAGTTTAAAAAGTCGGAAGTAATTCGAAATAATCTTGCGAAGTTCCGCGTTAGAGCTCGATTCATTAGCAAACAACGTTTCGGATAGAAACGTCGATGTCTCCAACTAACCTATTAATCCGCATCAACAACATGCATTGACATGACCCCGGTTGTCTCGTGCATGAAACCAAATGAAAATTCTATCAAGCCGAACATGCAGATGGCATTGTTTATCGATCTGCGGTAACATTGTAATTAATCAGTCTTTTCCTTGTTCCGGGTAAAATCTCAAAAGAGCAGAAGCTGTTTAAATGGTGATCCGGAAATCGAAGCGCTTTAATTAAATATTAAATTAGTGCGAATTTACGCTTTTTATGTTCTTTTACAACCACGTAGGATTTATACAAAAAATGAAATGAAATTGTCCGTTGGCAATTCTTGGGTGGGATTTCCTCTCAGACATTCCATTTAGTATGACTTCTGCAAGACGTAACGTCGACTACGGGGAATAAAAAGTATAGGCGGGAATTTCCTATGATTTTATTCGTCCACAAGCTAGTCAAATATTTACATGACATTACAGTCTTTTGATTAAGATTAAGTTGACCTAGATACACTCAATAAATCGTTGATGGAAAAATTGCTCGGCGAGAAAATATCAACGCGGAGACGGGCAGTATAATATTTGTTTACATGTCTAGCGATTTTCTTGATATTATGGTAATGTGGCTCTTATTTCTTCATGAATTTCTTTCCTTGGTCACAGATAGACGCTAATAATTAAAAGGTGGAAATTGCATTCTAAATGTTAAGAAGATCAAAATGTTGCGCATTAATAAATAAAAGTCCTTTTAGGTAGAGAGGATAATAAAAGTCGAGAGAATAATTTATTGTTTTAGTTGTTAAACTCCTTTTAAACAATTTATGCGTCTCGGTCTGGAATCAAAATTCAATTAGATACAATTAGAGAAACGTAATTTTTAGGAGGAAAAAAACTGCAGCAGATGTATTTTTCTCGTTAACAGTGAGAGATCCTTTGTTGCTGATGTGAACTCATTAAGGGTATCTTGGAGTATTAAATTCAGTTTAACGCCATTTGTTACGTACAAATTTTGATGCTTCGCTATATAAAAATAGTGGCCGAAACGGCAAAAAATTTTATGTAGGAAGAACAAATTAGTTTTCCAATCTGTTGTAATTCCATTAATCAAAAATGCACCCATAAAACTCGTTTTATTGAATCATTTTTCTAAAATAATGTTACGTTATAAAACTGATATTGGTTTGCATTATTTAGTACTATATCCAATGTGCAATGCGGAATAATTAAATATTTTCTTCTATTTCGTATTCAACAACATATAGCTACAAATATTATAAGTTTCTATAATAAATGTATTTAAATAACTATAGTGCAGATAATAATTATACCTACTAATCCTTTTGAATCAAATATTTAAAAGGATTTGATATGAAAGTACCTTTTAACTATCTCCATATCCCTACTCTTATGTTAGGTACTTTGAAGAACATAGGCGACACATACCGAAATATTAACTTTAGTGGAAAATCAATCATTTTGTTCAATGTAGATTTCATCCTGAAACAATATTTGTGAGGAACAAACAGGCGAATCAATCAGTTCGATGGGAGAGCATTATTCACCTATGAAAAATATCGATATTTAATAAACGACACGCGAAAAACTGCCGAAAAATGACAAAAATAAATTGCTTTCGAAGCAATTCGTTCTGCAACGTTTAATATTAGACTAAAATACAATGATATTTCAATAAAACTCCTGTATGCAATAAGGACGGCGACATATTGTGGATATTGCATTGTCATTTGTTACACTCGCATAAACCGGAAAATAACTGTTTTCTATTTTTCTCTTTAAAAAGACGGCATCATATGCTAACATATTTTTAAATTATATAAAATATTATACGAGTATAATAAGATTCTAAGAAGAATCTTTGAAATCATTTGAATGGAAATAATAGTAATTTCTATTTCTTTTATATTGTATTATTTGTAGAAATAAAGCGTATTTGTATTATAACTATATGAAGTGCAACAGTAATATTGTTGCATATAAATATATTTTTTTAAAACATCCTCTCGAACAAAAAATTATCTCCACTACACGTCAATCCAAATCTAGTTGCATTCAATCTGCAAATGAACATGTGATTTATAATTACAGATAAAAAAATCTAATATCCTGCAACGAATAGGGAAAAAGCGAAATATCCAAATCGAATAGTGTGCTATATGCGATTATTTATCTGCATGTAGGTAGCAAATTACCTAAAACATTCGGCAAATAAACTCGAAACAGTACACTGGAACATTGTTACTCTTTTTAATTGAATGCGAATGCTTAGCAAAATCCGGCATACAATAGCCGTTTGCCGTTGTGAAAAGCGTACGATCTAATGAAAATTTCATTTTACAAATAGAAAACATTGATTTTTGTAAATATGCCCTGGGTGGCGGACGAACGCAGATGTAAAAAATGCCTGTACATGCAAGCGTTCATTGTATCAGGACGTCACAGCTGTATCTAATATTGACGATAAATTCGAGCTTCTGTTAAAATTCTATTTACCAACGTAACATAGATCCTGTTTTCCTCGATTTTTTTAATTTATCGCCGCTTATTCCGACAACAATGAAAAACTGGCTGATAAAAAACGAACAATTCATCCCTAAGGTTATTAACAGTTCACAAATTTATATTTTGTTCCAGATTAGTAACAACTGGATAATGGGTCCGGAATTATGCGACATGTGGACTTCAATAGATGTCCTCTGTTGCACAGCTTCAATTTTACATTTAGTAGCCATAGCTGTTGACAGGTATAAATGATTTTAACATTATTTTGCATCAATTGCCTACGTTAAGCTATTCCACCACATGCATTTTTTTCTTATAGATATTGGGCTGTAACTAACGTAGATTACATCCACACACGAAATAGCTACAGAATAGGAATAATGATAATAATAATATGGGCAATCGCTTTGGTCGTTTCGCTCTCGCCGCAAATTCCACAATTCAAGGATCCCGATTATCTCTTCCGGATAAACGAGAAGAAGCAATGCTTGGTATCGCAAGACGTCACTTACCAGATATTCGCCACCAGTTCGACGTTTTACGTTCCTTTGTTGATGATATTCATTTTGTATTGGAAAATCTTCCAAACGGCCAGGAAGAGGATACGCAGAAGGAGGGATATGAACTCGCGGATCATGCAGAAACCGCACAAGACGAAACAAGGTAAACCTAAATAAAAACAATATACCTATTAACCTTCTTAACACAATTAATTTACTTTAAGTTTATATCTTAAAGACATTAATTTTGTACGTACTTTGGATTAATAAACTTCCAGACGTTAAAGATTATTAGCAAGAAAGGAGTTGACGAAGAAGCTTTCAAGCTCAATAGAAGTTATAGTGTACGAATTAGTATTATATACTCTCGACAGTTTTAAGTAGTTTCACTAAAATGCACAAAATGTCTTTTCGCAATGTTTCGGTTTATGGCTCGACATCCCTTTGTCGATAAAGTGTATATTAACGAAATGGAGTGCTCTGTTTATGTAACTAAGAATTTAATTACCATCAAAGTTGTGATGAAATTTTTACAAGCTGCGCATTAAATATGATGTGACTAATTTAAAGGTGCTAATGGTTTTTAGAAGCAGCAAACAACGGTCAAGTACACAAAAGTTTCCTATCCAAAAGGAAGTTCCTTAGATTGAAGAAAGATCCGGATAAAAAATCATCAGCGGCCGAAGCTCTGGTGAGTTCCCTGATGACTATGGAAGGCCAGTCCACCACAACAGTGGAGATCACCGAAGAGGATGATAAAGGTAAAATTATTTCAAATAGAACTGGTGAATTATTTGAATTGACTATTTAAAGATATAAATATAGCCGTACAAAGTTCGGACGCGCCAAATCAACTTGCTCTGGTATTAACCGAGGCTCAGAAATCGCCTCAATCGACGGACTCGAATAGATCCAAATTTCAACAGGAAACAACAGCTTTTACTATTTCCAAACCTACCGATATTCAAAACAACCTTTACCAAGACAAAACTACCAACAACGGTTCAACAGGCGATCAAAACGAAAGCGTCAGCCGAGCAGGTACATAAAACTTCTTTTCCTTCTTCTACTTAATCCATATGTCTGAGCATTGGATTTGGTGGAGTCATATGTATTTGCTGTATCCATTTGCATGCATTTTCTAATCTACTCAATCTGATGTTCTCTCCATTTCTTTCTTGTCCTGTCTATTTCCCTTTTTGTTGATTTCTATTATCTGCTTTTCTAATCGATCTTCCTTCGGTTTTCTTAGGTTTCACTTGCATTGCTTTTAATTTGCTTTTAATTTTGGTTCACATTTTTATTTACTAACTAGGTACACAAAATCTCCACACCAAAAGCTCTTAAACTTGCTAAATTCAATTTCCTACAGGTACACTCAGTAAAGAGCCTCCATCTTGTCCGGCATCCGTGGACAAACTCATACCGTCCAAGAAAGAGAAAAAGGAGAGCCTCGAAGCCAAGCGCGAGCGAAAGGCGGCCAAAACTCTGGCCATAATCACGGGAGCCTTCGTGATGTGCTGGCTGCCGTTTTTCATTCTGGCGCTGCTGCTTCCGCTATGCGGGGACGCGTGCAATATCAGCGGCTACATCATGAGCTTCGCGGTGTGGTTGGGCTACTTCAATTCCACTTTGAATCCCGTTATTTACACGATTTTCAGCCCGGAATTCAGGCAGGCTTTCAAGAGGATCTTGTGCGGGGGCCATCGGGGACAACGGACTTATAGGTCGGGAAAGATGAGATAAAATAAAAAGATTTTCGTGTGCGGACCGAGTGGTGAGAAATATTGGGTTTTAGTTTATCCGTGATTTGTAGAGTTAATTGCAGGGCAGCTTTTGCACTTTAATCGAATATTTTCAGTTTTTGGAATACTTGTATTAATCAAATTTCTATATTGGTACTAAAGGAAGTTCGATTTTTTTGTTTAGTAAAATTACGTTCCTTACTACATCTACAAAAAAATTTCCCTGCAATTATTCTATAACACACTAGAGAATAGTTGTATGAGGATCAAATTATTCCCTGTCGCTTAAATTAGCATATTATCCAATTTTCGATCCTCGATAAGCTTTAATAGTAAAAATTAAAATTGAATAAACCTAAAATATCTTTTTTCTCAGGTGTATAAATTATTTGTACAGGGTGAAGTCGAAAAAAAGGATCAGTAATATTCAAAACTGATTTTATCCATATAAAGCAAAAATATTAAATGTTTGGAGTACGTCGGTATACTATCATAAAGCATTCGCTCTTCATGTAGTAAATAGTTTTGCGAAAACAACATAAGCGAATTGTTTTATTTTATCTACCTTGAATATCTGCATTTGTACATAGGCAAAAAAGGGTAAGTTCACATTAAAAACAAATTTGAAAATTTGGAAATTGAAAATTAAATAATAGCATAAGCACATTTAAAGACGAAATGTTACGGAATGTGAACATTCCTTTTATCAGGTAGGTTTGTTTATGTGTATAATTGTTATGAACAATAACAAATTGTTCCAAAGCTACAATGTCTTTCCATTTAGTAGTTACATATTTAACGTATATATTACTCCAATTAAATGTAAATAATTTTATTTTATTTTATTAATTATCTACAAGTAAAGAAAATTTGTTGAGAAAGTCTAGCTTAAAATAACTTGATAATACCAAACTGAATTTATTAGGATCAATAAAAATATCGTTAAGTAGTAAACAGTTATCAAAAATATTAGTGTAGCCTGAAAAATATTAAATAAGGGAACAAAATGTAAAAGGTAAAATAAAAATCAAAAAAGATCAAAGTTTTACTTTATTTTTGTTATTTATAAATAGTAAGTTAACTTGAATTAGGTACGAACTTTAAATTTCTATCCATTATGAACAAAAATTTAGAATATCAAAAGTTCGGTTGATGATTTACAAAAAAACAAATAAATTGAACAAAAAAATTAAAAGTGAATAAATCTTATAAAGAGGGTAAAAATAGAAAGATTCTTCATTATTCTATCGAATAAACGAACAATGAAGAATCGTTTCGTGGTTTTCATTACAAGAAACTATAAACCTGGAAGAATTTATAAATAGAAATAATAGAAATTGTAACTACAATCCTAATTTTCCCAATATGTATAAATTATTTCAGCTGCCCTTTTAAAATTGTACATATCGCAGAAAAACTACATATTAGAATTATGAATAAAAATTGATATGTAATTGTACTTACTTACTGTAATTATCATTGTACATTAATTACATTAATAACTTATAAACAAAAATTTACTACTATAAAAAGTAGATTTATTAGTAGATACAAATATTTTATTTTATTTAACACTACATTACGCTGTATTTCTGTCATACTCTATTTCTATAATTTAACTGCTATACTAATCTAGATTCTATTTAAAATCTAATATAAAATTTATTCTAGAATTGGAAACTACAAAAGTACCTAAGTAACTAGGTAAAAATATTAGGTAAATTGGTATTATATAAAAATTGTTGTGTCTCACCAAGAATCTCGTATGATAAGGTTGATTAAATTTGCTCAACGTTACCTATTGATCAGTTGACCTGTGTAAATCTATAATTAGGTAATTTTCTTGTTTTTTTAGGAAATGTACAGGGTTTTAAAAGATATTTTTTTCACATACTATCAAACTAAAATATGTAGAAAAGTTCCATTCGAGTGTACTTTATGTATTTTCTAACTATGGGTTTGGGAGTTATTACTTACGAAAAATATGTACATTAAAAGAAAATGTGGAAAAGTGCGGGTTAAACATTTGGAAATTACTAGATGTTAACACCTATAGGATTATTTTAAAATAGATGTTGCCAATTAGCTATAGGCAAACTATACCTATTCAATTTTTGGTATACAACAATAATAATCGTTTAACGCCCTGTATAATAAATAATCATAAGCGAATCGCAAGGTGCGACTAAATGTATGTATATGAAATTCTGTACATTAACCACTATAAAGATATAATATTAAGGTTATCTACCTGTATCAAAATATAATAAATTATAACGATGTATATTATAAAGTTATTGTTTTAAAAGTTTATTTTAATTTTTAAAATGTCTAAGTGGTGCATGGAGAATTGGTCCTAACGTAAAATATACATATAGCAAAAATATTTAATGTGTATATTTAAAAATGTTTAAATAACTAGATTGTAATATTTCTTATGTATGTAAGTTGAATGTCGTTATGTATTCAATATATTTTGCTGAAATTTATTTATCCTTTTAAGTTAAGTGTTGAAGTAAAGACACTTTTTTTGATCAATGTTACTGTAAATGGATATTTAAGTTAAGTAAATGTTTACCTAATTCATTAATTAATCTTTGGAATAAAATATTGTGATAATATTTACTTATTGCATTTATTATTTATATTTATATTGATGTTAATTATATATTATATATGTATGTTATTTATGTATAAAAAATGTTAAAATATACATTTATGCCCAGTAATCCAATGAATATTGTAAATATAACTTTCATCTTCAAACTGTTGGATAAATATATAAAATAAAAAATAAATATCTTTACATACTTGTTTTATTTTTGTTGAATTTGTTAAAGGCAGATTTAATAAAAAAAAAGAAAATGTATCTACCTACCATGAATCAAATTGAAAAATTTTAATTTGAAAATAGGTAAGGAATATTAAAATAATTGATAGATACCATATAACTAATAGGTATATGATAGATACTATATACTATGAAAATGTTGGAAATAAACCAAGAAAATTTATTTGTTTAGGGGACTTTTGTGCGATATTAGACAGTAAGCGACATCTACATATTTAAATTCTAAGCCCACGAGGTCCTTAGGTAAGAAAACTGTGAGTGAAGGAAACTGTATTGAAGGGACATCTGTGAACAATATATGATATTACACTTTTAAATTAGTGAACTAAATAAATTTGAAAAAGCCTTAAATCAGCAACTGCTTATAAAATTGTTATAATTATTTGATGATTTGATTAATTTTAAAATATATTTTTAATAATGTCAGAAAAAAATTAACACATTATTTTAAAGAAATAGGAAAGATGCGCTAGGCGCTGAATACAGCTAAATAGTTTTTCCCTTCGTCTAATGCATTTTTCCTGTCTATGCATACCTATCCTATAATGCATCGATATACTTCTATATAATACAAAAATTTAGTTCCTTCATGTACCATGTACTTTCATTTTCGAACTTAACGTGGTGCTCGATGATTAGGAGAAAAGAGCTCGCAGGAGGTGATCGGTTAGGTCGACAGTTCACCAGCCCGGTGAATGACATTATCCTTAAAAATAATTATTGGAACTCATCAAACATTAAACGAAAAGAGCGGATATTAACCCGATTTTCAAACTTTACACGTGAAAAACGGCACGTGAGACTCATTCCTTTGATGGGGGTCAGCGCGCAGGTCCTTGCATCCCGATCTAGTTCGATATTTCGTACAGTTAGCGCATACGAGGGAATTATAACCACGAATTTCTTGTTTTATATCCAGTACAAGACAATTGTACCGGATCTGGCACAAGAAATTGTGAATTTGGAAATATTCCTCCGAAACCCTCGTCCTCGCTTTTAGCATCTATGAGGATCAAAGATACGTGTTGGAAACCGCAATGCGACAAATAGGATTAATTTTTGCACACAGGAATCTGACCGGTAAGTCCATCATTATAAATGAATGGATTGTGGGATAGCTTTTCGTGCACGATTTTTTTGGCAAAGTGTTTACTTTCCTCGTTACAATTACATCCAATAAGCACGCAGTTTATGAATAGACTTATTTGTTATTTATAGGTAAACATTTACAGAGTTTTCTATAAATAACACTAATTACAAAAATGTACTCGTGTACAAAAATGTACTAATTTCCATAGGCTTTAAAATAAGGGTCAAAATTTATTGACACAAACGGTTGTACCTATGTACTTAATAACTAATACTATATAAATTTAGCAAAATTTGAATATTTATTTAATTTATTTATTCTCAACACTTATACTATATTATTTTTTTAAATTAATAGTATTTCATTTGGGATGTCTAAGGGAATATCTAACGAAAATGTGTAAATTAAAAGCCAATGTTAAGTATAATTCAATTTTAGAATCAAATTCAAATAGGTACTAATAAAATTTAATCGAAACCTACTATGTACATACAAAAACTATGAAGGTTTGCTGAAAAATATTTTAAATTGAACACCAAAGCATATCTAAGCATACCTATCTAGCATACCTAACAAAGGCTATTTTTATATTTTCTTTTATCTTTTCGATTTTCATTATAAAGGTGTGTCCTTCGTCCTTTGACTGCCTTTTAACCTAAGTATTTCTTATACCTCAAGATTTCGAAGGTTAATTTTAGTTAGCTTGCCAAGGTATTTATTATCTACTGTTAAAAGAACACGCCAGTTACTAGAAATAGCAGTCGAGTTCAAGAAAATAGTCGATATTTCTCATTATGATATTTGAAATTTACGCAAATATCCTTTCACTTAAAGTATGGAACACGCAAATTTTAACCAAAGAATTTATGTAAGTAGGACAATCTTTCTCCGAATACTTCTTGAAGATTTTGAAACTAATTACGAATGTTGTCTATCTAATATTAACATCTAGCGGCAATCTAAACATTTTTCTAAAAATTCAAAGTTTATGAAAATTTATGTGAATTATGATGATGATTTTAATGACAATTAATGATAGTATAAAGTACTGGCTTGTATTACAATATAGGTAGTATTAACTACTCACTGATGAATGGTAAAAAACAAACATATCTAAAGAGTTCGTTAAACCAAACTACAATAACTAATTAATTGAAGCCATTCAAAGCAATCGATAACAGAACGTAACTGCATCTAAACAACTGTGATCCGGATCAAAGCAGACAAATTATATAAAAAGGATATTGCTCAGTAAATGTATACTCCTTTAAGAATGTAATATCACTTAGAATACCATTTATAAGGATTCAAATTACTATACGGTGCAAAATTGTTTGCAATATAGGTTGTGGTTGCAACAAAGACAACTTCTATTAGCCTGGGATAAATAAAAAAGTAAGAGTGGCATTGTGGGATTCCTATTTTTTCACTCTAACAACAGTTATTTTATAAAAAATTTTCTTTATTCAACTCATAAAATTGACCATATTGCAAACAAATTTGCACTTACCCATATAATACCATTAAAAGAATATTCAAAATTTCGATATAAAAAAAATAAATGCGTGTGTGTATTCAAAAAAGTTCACGCAAATAGAACGACACGCAGTTTTACCAATTTGTCAATAATTTTATCGCTCCTGTAGGACTAGCTAAATGTTTACCTAACACTTTGGTGAAATTAAAACTGCTTTGCTCCGTACAAGTGTTTAATGCGTTTTTATTTTTATAAATGATCAAAGTATTTCTATGCGTATAATTTTAATCAAATACTTGTCAACAGAACAATATGCTAAGCTATAAATACGAATTACTTCACTTAAGTTCAATTAAGGAAATTAATACTCTGATGGAAAGGTTTAAATGCAAGCGAATTGTTGTTGAGGAATTTACTAAAGTATACACTTTAGTTATTATCATAATTTATTATCCACTATTATTTTATTATAGACTCATAGTTATTCATAATTGGTATATTTAATGTCTCAAATAAATATATAATTATTTGGTGGTTTCCTCACCTTCACCGTAATTTAATACCTCTATTATCTGATAATTGAATACATTTGGAATTCTATTCTAGATAATAATTAGTAATAAAAATTAAGGTAACTATTAAATACCTGATGAGAGTACCTACTTACCTATTAACAGTTTGACACTAATTACTTCACCAAAATATCTTTTCATAAATAACTGGATTATACACACCAGGCTGAGAAAAATGATAACAGATGTGTTAATTACTTTTTAATTATACAGATAAATGCAAATTTGTACGCAATATGGTCTAAGGGTGCAACAAGGACAACTTCCATTAATCTCATGTAAAGGATAAAGGAAGGGTGATATATTATGGAATTGTAGGTAAGTACGAATAACTCTCTCATTCTCAACTCATAGAATTGACCATATTGCAAACAAATTTGCACTTATCTACCCATACCTATGTAAATAAGAGATTTATTTTCATTTTAATTTTTACATATGGGATTATTAATCAAATTCCATTAGCGAATTCAATAAACCGTTATTCAAATTAGGTAGATATGTATAAATAATAATGTTAAAAAAATGCAAAAAAATTCGGAAATATTTTGATTGTGATTCTAATTTTTCTTAACGGTGTTTAATGCATATAACGCTAGTACTTTAAATAACATATAAAAATTAAGTTAAAAATAATGATATTGCGCAACAACGTCATTCCTATAAGAGGGTAAATAGGTCGATCAAATGCATTTAAAAGGTCGATTGAATCCCCTCAATTTTAATTCTACAAATCGCCCATTAGAAAACATCAATAAACACCAATCGCGCACAAGTTGAAATAAAAAAAGATTACGAACGCCGACGTTAAATAAGCATTCCGATTTCCCCAGGTGAACTTACTGATCATGACCAGGTAGTCGAAGATTAACAATCCCACCGAGAAACTGCTTCACGCCAGTTGTTCAAGAACAAGAACTTCTCTTCGGTTAGTTGGCTAACGCACCTACAGGCAACATGAACACAGACAGCGATGGCTAGCCCTTGGGGAAATTCATTGAAATAAGCGAAAGATAGTCGTTATTCGTAAACGGTATCGAAGTGCCGCCTGCGACGGAAAGATCGTATTTGTCCTAAAAATAAAATCATTTAGGCAAATTGGTCGTCGGATATTTCGGTGCCCGTCGACGTCTTACATCTCTCACATCGTATACCAGCTACATGTTAAATTAAAACCGCAGTAATGCGTGAGAAATCGCTACTTCATATGTTTCAAGGGACGGTTCCCCAGCTGATTGCTGTTCTTACTGGTAAGTTTGTTATTAATTTGTTTTTTTTTTGTAAACAAGACATGCTAGGTGCATATTGGTGATCAATTGTATTGTTTTGGATCCTGTTTAACTGATTGTGCAGAATTATAATTTCATTGTATAATTTATTCAAATTTGTTCTCTAATCGTTTTAGGGATCGTGCAATTTTCAGCGAAGGAATTTGAATTAATTATTAGAATTAATTGAGTAGATAAATTACTACTTAGTTGAATGCGATTTAAAAATGCTAATCTGCGATCAAATTAATGTGTAGTACTTACCTACATTATTTACGTTCTGAATATTTATAATTATTGCTCTAATGTTAAATTATAAATTTTGTCTTAATATAATATTCATAATAGAAGTATTATTGTTTGCATTGTTTGAATTAGAATATTTCTAATTGGTTAAATAAATTGCATAATGCTACAAAACGTAAATTGGCACCGAGTCACTATTTTTGTATGGGGACAAAATTAAAACCTGTTTCACAAATAGATATTTTAATTTCAATTGATCAAATTTGTAATTGCTTCTCTTCAATTGCATCACTAATAAAACAACGTAGTAAAAGTACTTTAAAGTAGTACTTTAAATCCCCAAATGATCCTTTATAATACCGAATAATTCTAAAACATTAAATAGCATCACATGGGCCAAATTTTCTATTAAAAGCTTTTTGAAGACACAACACATAACAAAACAACTGTAAGCTTGGGTGTTATTTCAATTTATGACCACGTCTTTTAGCCACCCTATGAATAAAATTACACCTTCATTAGTAAATTATTTCTTTAAGTATTTAAATTACGTATATTTCTGTTATTTTAGGGACAATCGGAGCAGTTTCCGATGGGATGCATTATGGATGGACAGCGCCTGTGTTACAAGTATTGGATAGAAACGAAACCCACATCAATTTACAAGAAGCAGATCACATATGGCTCGAATCCATATACATGATAGGAGGTATTACAGGATTACCAGTAAGTATTTTCCCTCTACCTTTTTAAATAATACACAGGGTTCATTTTTTATTTGCCAAATTTCACGAAGACTCGCAGAATACTTGTGGAGTTATTTTGTATGTCATTTTGGATATAGATATTGGATATGGATATAGGCTCAAATCGACCCTATTTTAAAAGCCAGAATATGATATGGTATAATTTATGACATGACCCACCTATTTGTTACACCTTGTATAACATTGTTCATGCAAATTTGTTTGCAATATGCTCAATTCTATTAGTTGAACAAAGGTTTATTAAAAGAACAGTAATTATAGTGAGAAAGTTGCGATCACATAATACCACTCTTTTTTTTTACTTATATGGGACTATTGTCTTTGTTCCATCCATAGATCATATTCTGTACAAATTTGCACTCTGTACCTACTTATGCATATTGACAAGCTTTAAAGGTACACAAAGAAAATTATTTCTTTTTTTTAGGTGAGCATCTTCGCTGTAGATAAAATAGGTCGCAAAGGATCGATTTACATGTCTGCAGTAATTTCCCTGATATCATGGATACTAATCGCCATCGCCGATCACACGGCTTATCTGTACGTTGCCAGGTTTATGGTGGGTTTATCAGGAGACGTGGCGTTCGTCGCGGCGCCGATGTACATCGCCGAAATAGCCGATAAAAAAATCAGAGGGTTCCTAGCCGGCATAATCTACATAATGATGCTGCTAGGAATCCTGTTAATATACGCCGTAGCGCCGTTCGTTCCTTTTTACGTACCTAGCGTTATAGGCTCCGTATTAGTCATTATTCAATTAGTTACCTTCCCGTTCGTGCCTGATAGTCCGTATTATTTATTGCAAATTGGTAAAGATGCCAAAGCGAGGAAACACCTGCACCGGCTGAGAGGTGGAGAGAATGTAGACGAAGAATTGGCCGATATAGCGGCGGCTGTGAAGAGACAAAAGAGCGAAAAAGGAAGGCCTCAAGATCTGATAATATCGAAGAGTAACAGAAAAGCCGTGATTATTATGTTGGTGCTTAACGTCGCGCAGCATTTCAGCAGCATCAGCGTGATGCTCATGAATTTGCACGAAATTTTGGAGGCTGCGGATTCGGAGTACATGTCAGCGGAAACGGCTGCCATACTGTTTGCCGCGCTCATGCTTATAGCAGCGACCATTGCTGATTTTGTTGTCGATAAATTTGGCCGTAAAGGCCTGTTAACGGTGTCCAGTTTATTGACTGGATTGTCCCTGCTGGTTTTAGCTGTGTATTTCACGTTTAAAAATCAGAATTACGACGTATCTGGAGTCTCTTGGATACCAGTAGCGTCAGTTATGGTCTATGCTGCTGTATTCAAATTCGGGTTAGGTATAATACCTATTGTTATGACAGCAGAACTCTTTCCTGCGAAGGTTAAAGCCATGGGAATGACCATAGCTGACTTTATATACGTTCTCTTCGCTTGGATATCGGTGGAATTTTACCAAAGGCTTTCTGGTTTGTACGGACCAGAAGTTCCTTTCTACGTTTTCTCGTTTTCGTGCATTCTGACGGCGCTATTCGCTCAATTTTACATACCAGAAACGAAAGGTAAAACCTTGGAGGAAATACAATTCATACTGAAAGGAGTGCCTTTTCCGATGAGAAGTAATAGCTTAAGGTCGGAATCTTCTCCACAAGTAGCTGTAGAAGGTAGAAACAATGGTGATCAAAAAAAGGAAGACTGCGTTTAGTACGAGTAGGTTAGAATTTTGTCAATTTATATCGATTTTATAAGTAATAAGGTACCTATTTTTCTTAATTGTTATGCTGTTACCTCCATAATATCCTCATTATAATACATAGTTCAAACAAATAGTTATCTATTAATATACATAGGTACTTTTAATGTGATCTCTTTATTTGATATTATTGTGACTTGCTCATATTGAATCTAACGAAACGTAGATACAGTATTATATTTCATTTAACTACTTTATATTTTTGAGTCATTAGTTAGTATTTTTTATAAATATTTTAGTATTAAAAGGAGCAATCTTTGCTTGCCATCGGTATGAAGTTTTCCATATTGTAGAAACCTCTAATTTTTAAGAGGCTTGCCTTACTAGATACGACGAATTAGTTCGCCTCGAAAAATAATCAAAATATTCTAAAATTTGTACTTATAATTAAACATAATGCTATCAATCATTAATATAAAATAGGTGAATTAGGAATTTTAAATTTTGGATATTTTTCAATTGCTTGACTTCAATTATCTGCTATAAATCAATGCAAAAACCTATCCAGTAAAATCCCATTTGGGTATTTTTAATTAATATGTCAATTTGCTTTCAGCAAGAAGTAAAGATACATTTTTGTAAAAAATTGCTAATATTTTAATCACAAACCTTTCGAAGATAATAATACGTCATGTTAACGACGTGCCTTATTTTCTTCTATACTTGGCGCGTTTGGAAGACGGAGTAATAAAAATGTCAGGCGGTTCCAAAATATCCCTACCCCTGTACGGCAAAATCCTGTACAATGATCGATTCGATCGATAGAAATTTCGCACATCGCCTACAATTACTCAAAACCATTCACAGAATATCAACTTTTAGGCCGGCCAATGGGAAGTGAGTGATATCGGCGACTCGTTTAGACCCCGGGTGGACTTCGGCTGATTAATGTGTTTATTACTCCGTCTTCCAAACGCGGCAAGTATAGATACATAAATTGTTAGAGCTGCAACAGAGACCAAGTTGAGATTGGAAAATACATCGATTTAATTAATTTATCGATGTTTAATTTAAAACATCGATTTAATTAATTACCAATTTATTTCCTTATTCCTATAATTCTTAATTCCTATAATTAATATTTTCTATTAATTATAATGAGCTTTCGCTTGTTTGAATAATTGTAAACGAAAATAATTCATAAAAAATAATCAATAAAATGTTGCAGTTCCATTTGAGATTTTTAATTAGCATCTATTAATTAGGATTTCTTTTTAATATAAGGTATTCATTGTATTAGTTAATAACTTATTATAATGTAATATTTTTTTCAGATTATCTTTAGTATAAAATTGTTACTATCAACATATCAAAGAAAAATTATTAGATTAATTAACTAAACAAGCTCGTAGATAAGTTTTAATGAAATCAATTTTATTGTAACTGTTAATCCATTTTACTGTGGACAGTAAATTTAATTTTTTATCATTGTGTTTTATTTACCTAAATAGCAGCAACTTGAAAATTTTTACTCAATTTTTTTTTCTACGTCAATATACCTAAAATGTGTTCTTTGGGTTATTTTTCCATTTCATAGAAGATACATAATTTTTATTCCTCCACCAATTGACTCTATTACTCTTGGTTAATTTTATACCACAATATTCGTTCTTAGTTATGTTATTCCATAAATTCCAAATAATATTTATACTAAACCAAGGGCGGCTACAGCTTGGAAACGCGCCCGGAGGAAAAGTATCGGTGATCTGTGGAGAAAAGAGGGTCGGAAAAATGTCGCTTTACGCGACCACGTTTTCCTTTTAATTGATTTCCGATAAAAGGTTTCCGCGTTTAACATAATAGCGGTGAAGTGTTGACATCCACTTCGTCATGAGAATCGCACCATCTGCTAACAACAACGCGAAATCTCGAACGTCTTTTCTATCTACTTTCGATTTCGCCCTACGCCCTTACACATTCCTATTTCTTATAGATTTACCAAAGAGTAATCGGTAGGTATTATTTTATTTACTTATTTCATTGTGTAGGCGAAGAAAAATAGTTTAAAGCGCTTATTAAAGCACTATACTAATACAGGGTTGGGCAAAAGTCCGGAATAAAATTATTATCTGTTAAACCAGTAATTTAAACAAAAAACGCTGAAACATGTAAATTGATTTTATATTGTACGGATTTGTTGCCAATAAAATGATTTTTTTTTCTTCAACCCCTTAGTTGCAACCCTACCCAACTTTATTTTTTCAAATGCAAAGGTATGTCGTGTGTATGGTCATTGAAAAGCCCGTGAAAAATGGAATCTAAAACATACCTTTTTTTTACTTTTCTCATGTTGTTATTTGGAAATGAGCAAAAAATTCTTTTAAAAACAAATATGTTACAAATACTTTTTTAGTGGTATCGACGTGTGAATTAAGGCTTACTCTACTTAACAGGCTCCAAGGCAATGGTAAAACCTAATATCGGTAGCCTATCTTTAATTCTGAATGAACTTTTATTAAAAGCAGGCGAGCCTGGATAAGGCAATTTAGCATCAACATTCGTTGAAATTTATGTTTTAAGAAAAAACAAAAACATAAAATGGGTTTAAATCTAAGCCATTGTTGATCAGTGAACTTCAAAAAGGAAAACAGGTGTTGCATTTTTGTACAAGTTTTTTTTTACCAAAGGTTCGCCTGTTTTTATTAAAAAGTCATTCAGAATTAAAGATATGCTATCGATATTACGTTTTACCAATGCCTGGGAGCCTGTCAAATAGATGGTGAAGGGCATTTTCAACATTGCTACGTCGATAGCACTAAAAAGGTATTTGTAACTTTTTTGTTTTTAAAAGAAATTTTTGCTCATTTCCAAATAACAACATGAGAAAAATAAAAAAAAGGTATGTTTTAGATTCCATTTTTCACGGGCTTTTCAATGACCCTACACACGACATACCTTTGTATTTAAAAAATAAAGTTTGGTAGGGTTGCAACTAAGGGGTTGAAGAAAAAAAAATCATTTTATTGGCAACAAATCCGTACAATATAAAATCAATTTACGTGTTTCGGCGTTTTTTGTTTAAATTACTGGTTCAAAAGATAATAATTTTATTCCGGACTTTTGCCCAACTCTGTATAATTATTCTACCTGAATATCTAGTAAAGTATACATAAAAAATGGCAGAGCTACAACTATAGTACAAATTCATTTTTTAGGAGGTAGTACCTATATCTTAATTCCTTTTTTAAAATGTTAATTCTATTTATAAGTAGGTATTATGAATGCTAGTCAGACCTTCAGCTAGTTATAATCTTATGATTAAAACTATCAAAACTTCATTCTCTACTTAATATACATACATACATATTTCACAATAGTATTTTACGATGTAGAGCATAGTTAAATGTTAAATCCTTTTTTAATAAAAGTTCGATCATCGTTAACATTTGTCGAACAAGTATATAATTTCGGTTTTTCCTATCTTTCCGCCGCTGTAAGCACAAGCATTTTGAAACATGTCAAATGCCTGCAGCGGCACTTACCGCTCCCTGCCGACCTAATAAAGAAAATTCGATGTTGAAAAAGTGTCTGTAAATATCGGTGACAATAGTAAATGTCAGTGTCAGAGCAATCTTTCATCTGTTAGTTTCGATTATAGCAATTACTCGGGAAAACTATTTTATAAATCAAAAACTTCAGGGAATAATTATTGGTCTTGTAAATCTATAAAGAGTTAGTGGTAAAGCTGGGAAATTTAAGGAAAAATTCATACCTATAGTCTCTTTGTTCATCAATAAATAATGGAAAAATGATAACAGAAGGAAAGAAGGAATCGCAAATTTTTGTTGAAATGGTAACACATGAGAGTAACCTTTAGAGGAAAATTAGTAAAACTAGGAAAAGTAAAAATAAAAAAAAATAATTAATGACAATATAAGATAATTAACTAATAACAAAGAAGAAAAACCAATAACATTTTGGAGAATTACAATAAACGTCATACACCCTCTATTGGCTAGTCCAGCTTCATGCATTCATAATTCTTCATAATATTTTCCAACATTTTAATACTTTCAGAGTGAAATTTTTCCTCACGTCTATTTCTATTGATTTTCCCGTAAACAAAATAAAAACACTCTCGAGTAATAACAATCCATCATAGCGCTTATAATAAATAATGCCCGAGGAAAATAGAAAACGTCGATACTGAACAATAACCACCCCGCTAACTAAAAAAAAATCAATTAGATCATAATCTATGGCAGTAAAAACAAAAAGTCAGAAGAGAAAAGAGCACCGACGTCGACGACAGGTCACACCCTGTCCAATGGGGCGACATCGACCACTAAAACGGGCCAATGGGGCGACGATGCGAAGGGTGCAGAGCCAGTGATCGACTGCCTTTTAACCCTCTCGATTTCGGGGCGTGCTTCGAACACATACGGGGTGGTTTTCACGATGATTTTTCTTTCAGAGAAATGCTTAGTTTAAGACGAAGTTTTGAAGTTTGTGGAAGTATAGTTTGTGTGAGGTAAGATCCATTTTTTGGGGTTCAATTGCTGAAAAATTATGTAGAGAAAATAGGGGTACTTTTAGTATATTAGGGGCATTTTAATTAGTTGTTTATACAACTGTTATTTTGTAGCAAATTTTATTTTTATTTTTTATTTATCTATTATTCTCCTAATATGCTTTATGTTAATTTAACCTGTTAAATATTAGCAAAAACTTGTTCCACCCAACTTATTTTGAGGAAATATTTGGTATAAGAATAAAAGAACCTTATCCAATTTACTTTAAATCAGTTTTTTTCCTATTTAGCCATGAATTAAGAGGTCGAGCTAGCGCAGCGAGTCAGACGTTAATTATTTCAGTGTTTTTGCGTAGAAGGCCGATAGGCAATCAATTTTTCAGTTTGCTCTCAATGCTTCCGTGCTCAGGTTTTCTCAAGAAACAAAAAGAAAGTGGCAGAATTTTAAAAATATTTTTTTATACTTCTAATGTTTACTATATTTCTACTATATTTCTATTGTTTAATGTCCTCTAATTTGCGCAACTTTTCCTGATATTTAACTGTAACTGTTACTGTGTACTTTATCTGTTGTAATTTCCAATATTCCCAAGCTTTTCATGATCCATGACATAGTGTATAATATTTATATTTATAACATACCAAAATAATACAGGGTGGCCCAGAACTCACGCCCCATCGGGAAATGCCTTATGGAAACGTCAATGGAGATGCCAAAACTGCAGACGAAAACATGAAAAGGTTTTTTCTTTGGTAAATAAATAGGTTAAAAAACGGCAAATCCCAGTAACAGTTTAAATCCACGAAAATGATCGAAAAAAAATGGATCGAAATGGATTCGAACCACTTTAGAGGCAATAAAAAAATTCTGTCGGTTTGGTATTAGCACGACGACGGAGCTCCTGAATTATCGAGTTGGAAGCAAATCTTTGATCAACAGTCACAGCTAATTTTGGCAGCTTTTGTTAACATTGAAAGTGAGAAAGGCATAGAATCTTCCAATAATGTCAAATTGGTGTATTGGTGCTAATTTCGCGTATGTGAACTGCTACTGGGATTGGTCGATTTTAAACCTCTTTATTTACCAAAGGAATAACTTTTTAATGTTTTGGACTGCAACAAATATCCCAAGAACCCCTCCATATAAAACTAGAATTAACTTGCCACACATCATCAAAATAGGAATACTAAATCTTATAACACAAATGTTTCAATACCATGCAAAACAACATTGTTTTCCATTAATCAATAACCCTACATGTAATTCCATTTACAGATGTAATTTCTATTTATTTTGCCATTCATACGGCAATTTTGATTGAAGACTCATACCTACATGATAAATTACCCTTTGAAAGATTACATCGGAACCTTTCACACCCTATAATTAAATCCAAGCAAGCCATTAAAGCACAATTCGTAGTCATATGTTACATATTGTCACTCAAACCAAAATAACACGGTAACTTTGCCTTAAACAATGTAGGGTTGGTTGATTTGATATTTACAACCCCTTAAACACGCAACGTTTTTCTCCGTAAATATCCTACCTATAGCTACATTTATTTAAGTTGAATAATGTTAATAATAAATATAATTAATTTTCATAGCTGTATAATTACAAATATTCTGCATAAAACTGACCACTATACTACAGAAACTAGAGTAAAAAAAAATAATTGTTCTACCGCAGGAATGAGTCAATATCAACATACCCTCAAATCTGACAACCCAATCGTAACATATTGCGTAATTTGTAGTTGCATTTATCTATAATTAAGGCAACATGGGGTGAGTTAGGTAGAGAAGGTACAGGTGTTAAAGTCAATCGTGTACAGGGTGCACGGGGTCACAAACACATGAAATACGAAACCCTTTCGGGCTCACGTGCGCCTATTTACACACATGGTTGGTTCGCATAAATCAGCTTGAAGAGTGGAAGAGGAAATGTTTGTTTGTTAATTAATTCGTCGAGAGGGTGGAGTGTTAGGAACTTGATCACTTCTTAATTTTATTGGTATACACTTTATAGGGAAAAAAGCTCTGTGGGTTGTAAAAGGACACCATCAATAGGATGGAAGAGTTTATAGGCGAAAGAGAAGGCAAAATGTACTCGATTTTTCTTAGGTAAACGCAAGTAAAGTTAGAGGAAACTTTTCGACGAAACTTTTCAAAAGTCCCACATGTCGAAACGAATTAATTCGAGAAGCTTGGGGTCGCCGGAAAATATGTAAATCTACCAACCCCTTCAAGATGAGGCGCCTCGAAAAGTGTCTAACGATTTTTTTATAGCCGGGCGAAAAAATAAAAAAGTCATCGTCGGATAATTATTTTTTAATGTTGTCGCTCGCAATCCTCTTCGTTGATTGATACCATTCATAAAAAAAATTTCGCGAGCGGCGAAAAAAATTTGAATTTTCAATAAGGGTTTGATCTTAGGGGGTGAGCCGTTGTTGCGATGTTTCTATTATTTCCTAATTTGCCGTAAGCGAATGTGCGTATGGCAGATGTTAGTAAATCGTTAATATTTTATTCTAATGTGAAGGTAATTGAAAAGATATGTAAAATATATTACATAGCAGATATCAACGCTGTTACACTTTCCCTGTAAAAGAGCTGGTATTTCAACATTTTTGACAATAAATTCGTTCAAATATAAATCATAGAATGATTCTAGGCAATGGGCCTCTTTCATTCGCATCTCTGGTACAACAATGAAACGTTCTTGTACTAATTAATTGCTAGGTAGGTACATGCTTTAATTTTGTGAAGTTAATTAACTATTTTCATCAGAGAGAAAAAAATCACCATATTTACTCATCTATTTTAAAATTTTAATAAATATATTCATAAATACTAACATTTTAACAAGACACAACTAGAAAAATTGTTGTACCTAATACACTCTTTACAATCCAACTAATTTATTTCATTAGAAATATTATTACTATTCTGTGTCATTGTTAGGTATTTTTCAATCATTAATCAATGATATCAACCTCAGACTTAGCATATGTTTCATTTCCTGCAAAGTGGAATAATAATGGATATCTATTCTATTATTACTAGTAATGACAGTAACGGAGAATTTTAGAGCATTTTGAAAGGTATTCTTGGTTTAACGCCTAATTCAAATACTGACCAAAATGTTTCAAAAACGTAGGTACAATTATTGTAAATTGAAATTAATTACAACTAATTTAATTTCGTACTCAACTCATCCAGGATGGAAGAAGCAGTAAGTCAGAAAGCGGAGAGTTCCTGCAAAGTTTGCGGTGATAAGGCCTCCGGGAAGCATTATGGCGTGGCAAGTTGCGACGGTTGCAGGGGATTCTTCAAAAGAAGCATCAGAAGGTATAAATAAAAAATAAAAATTATAAAAAAATCCGAAATGAATTATATTTTTCCAAAACAACAAAATTACAGAAACCTAGAATATGTATGCAAGGAAAACGGAAATTGCATCGTGGATGTCACCAGAAGGAATCAATGCCAAGCGTGCAGATTCAAAAAGTGTCTTCAAGTCAATATGAAAAGAGATGGTAAGTCTTATAAATAAATTTAAAATTTTAACCCTACACCTTACTTAGTGGATACAATAACGTTATACTTAGACAGGTTTGTCCAGGAACATATTAAATATTCAACTAATAATTTCTATAGGGAAATTCTCTGATGTACGCTGCTATCGCCCGTATTTGTAGTATAACAAATAAAATGATGGGTATGAAAATGAAAGCGAATATTTTGAATGAGGAACGTTTGAACAGGTCATTAACAGAAAAAATAAACAAATCGGATACACAACAGCGTGAACTTGACAGGCGGTGGCGGTTGAAGTGTTAAAATGTTCCCATTGACAAATAAAAGAGGGTTGGGGGTCGAGTATTTTTTCCCAATATATTCAAGAGAATTCTGATATAACGTCATTGAATTGTTTAGGGGTTACTAAAATTTGATGTGGCAATTAGAAAATGCAAAATGTTGTAAAATTTGTAATGTTCTATTGTGTTAAAATGTAACAAATTTCAACCCCAATACTTGCAAAAGGTTTAGGCGAGCATCGATGAAATAAGTGAAGGTAAAAAATACCAAATTAAAGTGGTTATAGTGGTCGAAGGTCCGTCCCTGCCGTATCACTTCGAACCCTGTGGGAATTTCTCCACCTGCGCGCCTCGGTTCCATGTGGAAACAAAACCCCAAACCGCCCCCTTCCCGGCCGTAATAATGCACAGACATCGACTTCTGCTGCTGGTGGTTGATGCGTTGTTCGTTCTAATGATGATTACACATCGTCCGCTGCTGAATTTTTCATTATTTGACTTCTGGCTCGGCGTTCGAATGGTCGAGCCCGCCGGAGATGGGAGGTAACCCCTCCTAATTACGCTCTAAACGCCGCTGTACCTTTGCCCGCCTCCTTCAGCCGTTTGCTGAATTATTTATGGCAGTTTAATGGGCCTTCGCGAGCTTACCTGGTGATTTGTTTATGCTCATAAATATATTTTAATTATCCGACATAATATTAGAAACAATTGGTTGAGATAATTGGTTAGGTACTTTAATTTATGAGTATAGTGTTGTAAGTGTAGTAGTCTCATAAAATGGTGAAATACATGGAGCATCCGCCCTTTTTTTAATTTGGTTAGAAACGGGTTATTTTTTGTTGAAAATATTAAGATTGTTGAGAAATTATTTAACAAAATGTGAAGCTTCTGCTTGAAGTAAGATATATTGAATTTGTCGTTAAATTGTTCCCTACCCAATATATTTTTACCAATTGAACCTTTTTCACACTGATAAGAACAGCGCGTATGAAATTTTAACGCATATTAGGTACTACATACATAACTACATTAGGCACTACTGTGACAGAAAAACATTTTTTTAGATTGTAATGTAAAGTATTTTCTAGTAGTTGTGACAATGCAACAATACTAAAGCGATTAAAACTAACTAGCTATTGAATCAAAAGCTATATTGTGAGTTGTGAGTCATATTTAGTTTTTATAACATGAAAAGATTGGTGATATGTGCATTTATGCTAAAAATGGCCCAATATAGACAACTCTCTCCTGTTGAATGCTAGTTTTTTGTCAAATTTCCTTATCTCTAGCTGTTCAGCATGAACGAGCTCCTCGAACGAGCCATCAAGCCTCCATGCACCACTACCACATAGGCTTGGGCACTAGGCTGAGACCGTTTCAATTCGCGCCGATAAACAACATAAACGCCGTTCCCATGCACGTCCAATGCCCGTCTCTGTTGGACCCATCGTTTCCCCAGATACCCGGGCATTACTTCCACCATGGGTTGATTTATCCAAGTGCGGGAGTGCTTCGCGGATTTGGAAAACAGCATGGAGGGTTGCACACGACGTTAAGTGAGCGAGATTCGAAGTTGGTGCGCTCGGATTCTATTAAATTTTCGGTTTTTCAGACATCCCCAGCTCAATTTATAATGTACATAAGCAAGCCGGTGAGATGAATTCCAGCTTATCGCCGAAATCACCCAGGAAGGCTATGAAAGACGACGAGGTGTCGAGCTCAGAAGAAATTGCTCAAAATCGATTGTCCGAAGAAGGTGATTTATCATTTTATTGTGAATTTTAAATACCTACACAGTGATAAAAAAGTACCCGGAAAATTGGAATAAGACGCAAAATTCCTAATCTTCTTTAATTTTTCTTGAATCTCCTTTAAAATACGCTCCTTTTGAAGCAATAAATATAGTCAGAAGCCTTTTCCAATCATCGAAACATTTTTATAGGCCCTTTTTGGTACGGCTTTTAGCTCCTTTCGCTAATTTTCTTTGATGCATATATGAAGTAAAAACGGGATCCCCGAAGTGGCAATTTGAGTTTGGAAAACAAAAAAATGTCGTACGAGACAATTTCTGGTGAGTAAGGCGGCTGGTCAATTGTACTTCACACGAAATTTCGTTCAAAACCCAATAATAAATAATAAAATAATAAACTCTTTGTTCATTATTTTTGTCCATTGCAAAATTCGCAAAGCACTATACTGAGATGAACTGATTCAATCAGCTGCTACAACCAAACTTATTGAGAAATCTCCCTAATTTTTTGCATCCTAAATAAGAACAGTGGAAATTTAGCTAATTTAAACCAGAATTTCTGATACTTTTTTGTCAGTATGTAGCTTTAAGTGATCCAAATATAGCTAATAGATAGACAACTAATTTGAGTTCTTATGTGAATTTCATGAGTTCTCTTAATAAAATTCCAGAGGCTGTGAGTGAGGAACCGACGATCTCACATCTGGAATTACCGATTGACCCTTGTCGACCAACCACGTCAATTAGACACCTAGAATTGTCCTATTTAAATCTATTTCCCGCAGAAAATGTCTACGAATCGGCCGCTAAACTTCTGTTTCTAGCAGTAAAATGGGCTAAAACAATACCATCTTATCTGCAGGTTGTATTGTGCTATAAAATTTAGGTTTATTTAATAAGGGTGTGAATTTTTAGCTCTCCTATAGAGACCAATCGATACTTCTGGAAGAAAGTTGGAACGAATTGTTTGTGTTAACCGCAGCACAATGGGCTTTTCCTGTAGATGAAAGTAAATTAAATTAGACTCCTAATAAACAAGTAACGAACTAATATTATTTTTAGCTATCCTCCTGAGTAATATCGTAGCTCCTTCATCCAGACAGGCGATATTAGAAGAAGACGCCAGGAAATTAAAAGACATCATTATCAGGTTAAATTTGTTAAAAGTAGATCACACGGAATACGCTTGTTTGAAAGCACTGGTGCTGTTCAAAGCAGGTAATAGTTACAATCATTACAAAAACATTGAGTGATTTTCCTAATTTGTTTTACTCCAGAAAGTCGTGGTCTTTGTGAACCAACGCACGTCGAAATGCTCCAGGATCAGACGCACGTAATGCTCCATGAATATTGCAGCCAAAAACATACCTTGCATAAAGGGAGATTCGGAAAGCTCCTGCTTACATTACCTGCTGTACAGTCAATTTCCAGAAGAGGTCTGGAGGAGTTGTTGTTTAGACAAACTGTGGGAGATGTCGGGATTGATAGGTTATTAGGAGACTTGTCTAAAGCTGCTGGTTAAAATTTACATTGGGGGTAAATTTCTTGTAAATAAATGATACGACGTTACAGATTTTGTTTAAAAATTTTTATACATATAATTTTACCACTAAATGAGTTTTTGAATGTATAAATGTGTGTTTGAGTAAATAATAATTTGAGTACAATTGTAACAACATACTCCAAAATATATGATTGTAAAGAAATATTCCAATTTATTTTTATTGCAATAAAATTGTAAATATTTTTCAGAGAGCAAAAGAGAAATGGACTTCTCTATAAATCACATCCGTAGCATATCTTACCAAAAGAGTAAAAGAAAAGTATATAACAAGTATAAAATAGCACAAATAAACAATAAAAAAGTAATCAAAAGTAATAAAATTTAGCTACTACTACAACCTACATTTATAATTACGTATATTCTTACGTTTAAAATTCGAAATTTGATTTTTTTGTCATCCTTAATCATAGGATTAAAATTTGCAATATGTATTTAGATATTAGTATTAAAAGTATTTGGATCTGGACCAAAATTTTAAACAATGAATTACTGATCCTACAATTAAAAAATGTAGGCATAGTCTTGCGGAAGACACTCAAATATAAGTTAATAAAATTAATGATAAATAAAATTAAAGTAAATTCGATAAAAAATGTAAGGCCTAAAATTAAGATAGACTTACATCACCAAAAAAACACAATAATACTTTTTACCTTGAGCATTGAAATTACCTGCATTAACCCACTAAATCCCATGTAGCAAGTTCAGGATTTGAGCAAATTTTCATAGTCACTGAAGCATTAACCAGTTTGTTCTCAGCTGCCAAACATGTACCAGCCGCTAAATTGTAAATAGCAGTTCCACTCTGAATTAATAAATATTTTAATCAATAATTATATTAGTTGAAGAGTTAAAATTAAATAACTTACTCCTCCTTTATGTTTCCATTCCTGATCACCGCCCATCTCGTGACACTTGTATAATATCGGTTTGGTTTTACCGGATTGAAGGCAAAGTAATTGACTCAAAACCAGCTCATTCTTATCGGTCTCATACCAAACTTGATTCTTACTGCTCGTACACTTTCTAAAACAATTATTATCCAGTGTTATCTTTTTATAAGGCACAAATAACTGTAATAAATTACTTCAAGAGCAATCCACTTCCTTTAGTTCTAATATCTTTCTGACTCGTCACGCACAAATCGCTGTTAGTTAACCTAATAGCGAATTGATCTACGTAATTACGCTTCCTTAAATGCCACGGTTGGTATTTATCTTTTTCCACAGCCGACCATTTCTTCTTCAAACGTTCCTTATCTTCCGAGGGGAACGGTAATTCTGGATAAACGTTCTTCAAATACCAATCGAAATCGTGACATTTCAATTCTTTGCGAAGTTGTAAACGAGAGGAAATATCGCCGTAATCGACGTTTTGAGCGTCAGAACGTTGCCTCAAAAAGAAATCCTAAAAATACCATTTACACTATTAAAACAACAGTACATTATATGCTGGAATGTACCTTGTAACTGTCCATCCAAACGTGAGCGACTCTTAATGAATTAAACAACATGGTATCTTTACCATCAGGGGAACCGTAGGGTCTACGATGCCTGAATATATGCCCCACTCTACTGCAAGGAATGAGTTCCAAGGACCCACCGCACATCCAAATCTAACAAATTGGATTATTCTAGTTGTTTCAAAATGAATCAAACGTTCATAAATACTCACTCTAAATGAAATTTCAATATTTTCTCCTCCCCATATATTCATTCCTGCGTCATATTCACCGATATCTATAAAATACTTTTTATCTATTGCAAATAAACCTCCGGCCATAGTGGGTGATTTGATTGGCTTGACGAAATCTTCCCGAGTATTCAATGTACCTAAACATTAATATACTTACAAAAAAAAAACTTTTACAACATACTAAATGAGCTCTAAATATGAGACAATCATATGTACCTGTAGGTAAATTATCCCATTTAAAATGCAGACCCCAGTTAAAACCTCCTCTAACCAAAGGACTGGATGAGTATTTGAAAGTGTCAGGATTAATTATATCTATAATTGGCATCACAACATTTGATTGTTTCTCTTTAATCCTCTCTAACAATGGTTCAATCCAACCATTATTGACTTCTATGTGACTATCCAAAAATAGTAGAACCTTCAAACATTACATTTTTAGAAACAAATAGCGATAATACACAGTTTGTTTACCTGACCTGAAGCCTTCCTAGCCCCAAATATCCTAGCTCTTATAAGACCCTCTCGTCTCTCAGTCTTATATAATTTGACTTGGTTTAGTTTTTCTTTAAGAATATAGTCACTTATGTTACTGTGTAAATATTCTATATCGCTTTCGTCATCTATGAGTATTATTTCTTCTAATAATTTACTAGGGGTTCTATTAATAATGGAATGTATTGTTCTTAGTAAGGTATGATAATGTTCATTGTAGAAACAAATAATAACACTTGTTTTAGGTAAATTATCGGAATAAGTTTTGTTCTTGCATCTAAAAATAACGATTAATCAGCATTTTAAGGTATTTTAAATACGTTTAACGCTTACAGAGCATTTCTAGTGTCTGGAATGATTCTATTTAAACTTAATCTATCACTAACGAGGGTATTGTATGCATGGATTTTGTAACCCTCTTCTTTAATTTTTTGATCGTTTGGGCTCCTTATAAGACCTACATTTTCCAAATCTGAAAAAAAAAATTAATTAAACAGGTAAATAACAGAATATCTAACCTTACTTACCATCTGTTGAGTCTTGTAATTTATCAATATATTCTAATTTAGTGGTAGAGGGATTTGTATTTACATTTTGATTTCTAACTAAATGTAAATAAAAGAAAACAGACACTAACCACGTAATTGAAGCTACTATTATTCCATAAAAAAAAGATTTATTTATACTGACCATTATTTAAAAATTAAAAATTATATAAAATGTCAAAGTTAAACAACATCGTATTTCGTCTTCTTGATCTGTCAGTTTTTTAATTTGGCCTGTTGCTTGCTTAACATCAGGATACTTCCAAAATCTTCTTTTTATATACTATGTTTATGTATGAAGGTGTGGCGTGGCGCCACATGCCACATACATCCAGGGACAGCAGACCCTGTCAAAGTCAAAAAGTTATTTTTCTAAAATAAAATATTTATAAAATTCTTCCGATAAGCCGTAATCATGGTCATTAAAGTTTATGTGAGCGGTATTTCCGGAAACAAAGAGGTAAGAACCATCTCGCAATGCAAACGAGTAATTAATTTGCAACAATAATTAAATTTGCAGGTCAAAAAACGGCAACAAAGGGTACTGTTAATCTTGGACTCGAAGAATGTAACATACGAGGTGATAGACATAGCTGAGCCCGGGGCCGAGGAGGCCAAAGATTTCATGCAAAATAAGTCTACTAGCCCAGGAGCTACCATAGGTGATCCTAACCCTAGACATGCTTTACCACCTCAAATTTTCAATGATGATGTATACTGTGGCGTGAGTAATCTCGGTATTTTGTTATTCATATTATACCTATTTATATAACTGCATACTTCTTTACCTGTAATAGAATAATTTTTTATATGATAACAATTGGATAAATGAAATTTTTTAGTATGAACAACAACGGTAGTTCCATAAATTTCAACAATAATACACATTTGTTCTATAAATCTTTAAAATTCATATATTTTAATACAGTAAATATTCCAGCTTAAACTTCAAAGTAGCCCTAGAATTATGCCGTTTGTTCTAATTAATTGAATATTTTGCCTAAATGTTTACATATTTCGAACACGAGTACAACACATATTTGGGTCAATTAAAACATTTATTTAAACAATCGTTAATAAACTATTTTAGGATTACGACATGTTCGATATGGCAAACGAAGTCGACGAGATGGAGTCGTTTTTGTCACTTGAGCCAAACTCTCTAAAAGAACGAATTGCGATAACGAACGAGGCTAAACTTAAAAATGGCGATCTTGCAATCGACGCGAAAATCGAAAATGTCGCCAAAATGGACGACGAAGCGGCCAAAGAAAACGAAGTGCCTAATGAACAAGACAAGGGAAGTGAAAAGGGCGAAGTCGAAGCGAAAGAAGGAAGTGTCGAGAAGGAAGGTAGCGTAGAAAAGGAGGAAAGCAAAAAGGAAGGTAGCGTGGAAAAGGAAGGTAGCGTGGAGAAGGAAGGTAGCATTGAGAAGGAAGGTAGTGTGGAAAAGGAAAGCAAAAAGGAAGGTAGTGTGGATAAGGAGGAAAGCAAGAAGGAAGGAAGCGTGGAAAAGGAGGAAAGCGAAAAGGAAGGTAGCGTGGAAAAGGAGGAAAGCAAAAAAGAAGGTAGTGTGGAGAAGGATGAAAAGGTGGAAGACCAATCAGAGGCAAAGGAAGAGACTCGAGTCGAGAAAGATGAAGATGAAGACAGTGGTGCAGAGGATGATAATGCAGATGTCGATGAAGATGAAGATAAGGAAAAAGACGAGAAAGAAGTATTGGAAAAAGAATCCTCTCCTGAAAAGTCTGAATAAAATCTAAATATATGAATATAACGCACTGACATAAGTTTTAAGAACTGAAACACCAAATCATACTGTTACTTTTTTGAATGTTTTACCTTTGTAATAATAAGGATTTCGTTACATTTTAAATAATATATTTATATTACTTACTAACGTAAAGATTATGCTGATTTGTATGTTTTATTATTTTGGTTGCCTTTAATTTAAAAAAATGGGCATTGTGAGTATTTCTTTTCTAGTCTCAATTAATAAAATTTATTGCTAGTTAAATGTAAATGATACTTCGGTTATTTAAAAGTGTAACGACTAGTCGAAAAAATAATACTGAGTATATATGACTTATGGAGTATTGAAATGTTGAAACCGTACTAGTTTATGTATTTCTGTTGAATACAGATCACTTTGTATGAGAATCAGTATTACGATCAACTGTGTACAATGAGAACAAAAGATTTTTACTGCTCTCTGATAAATTCCTAAATTTATTTATACTAAAAAAAGGGTTGTTTGATTTTTTAACTTGGTGTTTCTTTTTTTGCCAAAAATAATATTTATTTTATTTATCTCCCTCCTATTATTAATAAAATCTCATTACATATTATTTATTGCTACTGCCTTCTAAAACATAAGTTACTATAAATATATGCTTCCTGATCAAAATATTGTTGCAATTTTATACAATAAACTGTTAAAACATTTTGTTTTTTGTAAATATTTATTGTACTTCTTTTAGGTCGTACCTATATCATTAAATTATCTTTCCTTTTCAATATTTGTTTTATTCATATAATCGAACAGAAAAAATAGCAAATTCTATGAAGAAGGGAAAAGAAAAGGGTTAAATAAGCGAAACATTACTGAAAACCAAGAAAGCTCCTTTTATCTCGAAGAAAAATTTATTATGGAAGCCTTTGTTCTTTTTTATTTTTATTTTCTATGGTGTCTATACAAAGCATTTTAGGAAACTAGATACACAATGAAAATATTTATTAGTCACATTTTATTTCGCTATATTGCTCGAATTACGTAATTAACAATTTCCAAAGTAACTATATTCAGTTCTTGGAAATGAACAAAACAAAGTAATCTTGAGATAATACAACTAAAAACACAGAAACAATAGTATACATAAAAAATTAATGAGTATTTAAAAATAACATAACTAAAATACACAATTCCTAACAACAATAATAAAATACAGCAGATATATAAAAAATTCTATTTTTTCTGAAACATACATAATCCCCTGGATTCACCCAAAAATCAATATACAAAAGACATAGATATCATCACAATTACATTCACAGTAGACAACTTACGATACGAAATGAATTCATTCCGTCATTTCGAAGAACTTTGTGATCACCTGTTTTACTGGTTTCAGTTCGCAATCGTGTTCAATAGGCTGGATCGTTTCTCTCAAATTCTTCCATTCTCTCATCTTAAACATGTAGTAGATCATGTTCGAAGAATCCACCAACTTCGTGTAGATATTTATTAAACCTCTGTAGTCGTATTCTAGACCACTATACGTTTCACCAAACAACTTCAAGTTGATGCTAATAGAACGTAAATAGAGCTTCTCAGCGTCTTTGTGGCGCTTCATGTGGTAGTTGTAAAGGGAAGCTAAATGTCCGATACTAAGCCCGACCTACAATAAAGATATATAAATAATCAAATTTTATTAATGTAGGTGAAATATTACCTCGTAATCGTTCTCGCCCAGCAACTCTTCTTTGATAGCAATAGCCTTTAGGTGCATCTTTTCGGCGTCTTCGTACATTTTCATACTTTGAAAAAGCCTTCCTAAATTTCCATAATGCTTCGCAGTTTGAACGTTTTTCTCTCCAAAGGCTTTAAAGCACAAATTTAGCGCAGCGTTGTGTAACGTGTGGGCTTCGTTAAAGTACTGAGATTGCAAACTAGAATTGTTTCTTTCATCTAGGGCTATTTCTTCGAGAATCAGGGCTTTTACTCGCTTAACAGAAGCCAAAAGATGATGGTCTTCGGGAAGAATTCGTTCCATAATTCTGACGGATCGTTCAACATGCTCTCTGAAAATACATTAAAAAAATAACATTGTTAAATATTATGATAAAAGCAAATTTCTTACCTGGCTTCATAGAATCTTCCTGAACTGTACTCGTAGACGTACAAGGCGTATGCTAAATCTTCGTGGCCCAAAGCCACTCGGATATTATTTTTTTGAAATACCTCTTTTCTAATCAGCAAAGCCTTCTCATACACTTTAACACTCTCTTGTATCGAATCGAAATTCAACAGATAAAATCCATAATCCAACAACGTGTCTGAATAGTGAGGATGATTATCTACTTTGTACAATTCCGATGCCATATTGACAGCTTGAGAGATCAATAAACCAGCCGGTGTAAATTTCCTTTTAACCACACATGACTTAGATGCCTGCCGCAGAACTTCGATCACTATTCTGAGAAATATTATACATATTACTCGGTCCTTTTTATGCTGATAACTATTTAATACCTATTGCTAGTCATAAAGAAAAGATGCCTTACCTGGGCGGTAAATCCTCATTAACCAGTCTTAAAGCCTCTATTGCCCAAGAATATGCCTGAAAGTATGATTCAATATCAATTATCATAAAAAACAACTCGGAGTGATTAATTCGATAGTAACTTACCTCGTCATATTCGCTTCTAACGAAAAATAGGAAAGAGTAATTTGCATAAAGGCCTGCTAAATTGGGTAAAGCATCTAATGCTTCCAATTCTTTGATAACTTCCGATGAAGATTTGCACGTTTCTGCGGCCTTTTCGAATTCACAGTAGATGGTCTCGGCGTATATACGTCTGAAAATGTATAATTATAATTTTGTAAACAACAAAAATAATTTGTAAATACTTGTGATAGCAGTCCAATAGCATTTTAAGAGTTGTTTCACCTCTTTCTCTTCTTTTGCAAATTTCTTCTACGATATTAAGGATTTCTATGGAGTAGCTGAATAGCCCTCCCTCGTTGAAGAAAGAGCCTATCCGTAAACCGATTTCTATTGAATTTAGATCGTCTGGGTCCGACTCTTGGCAGTGCACTACATAAGCTTTAATGAGCAAATCTGCGTTGTTTGCGCCGTGATCTATCAGGGATTGAAAGCTTTTCAAAAACTTCGTTCGCTGGTGCTTCACTGATAGAATTCGATTAAAAATTTCCAATTCGCTAAGTTCTATAGCTAATAGGCACAAACGTTTTTCCAGAAACATCTGGAAATAAATAGCCCGGATGATAGATATGCCGCAGCTGCAAGTCGGTGCAATTTGAACTATTGCCATATGCATAAACTCACCTTATAATAAAAGTCGAATAAAACATTATTAGGCAATGATCTAAATTCTTTTTTCCAAAATTTAGAAACTGACACGTTCGCTTCTACTGCGATGTCGAGGCATAAATCGTACAATTTCGGAGGTGTATTTAACATTTTTAATTTGTAAGATAATGACCGAAAAATTCGTTTATTAACACAAACTTATTTAGTTTATAAATTAACTAATTCACATGACAGGACATATTGACAAATAAGACAGATTGTCAAATGACAAATGCTGTACCATCTAGAAGTCTGTAATAGACCTATTCAGTTTAACCTGTGCTGCGCGCGCATATTGTGGACAATTAGCTGGACATCTAAACGAACAAACGAACGCACCTCAGGTAAAATACGGTTCTGACAACCAGACAACGACAACTTAAGACGTCATTTGTCATTATCCAACAATCCGTCGGATTTAATGGACGCGGTGACTCGATACAAATTTGTTTTTACTGCCCAGAAAGGGGTTATAGGCTTAATATTTACGTACAAGTCAAGTCTAAGAAAGAGTAAGAGGGTTAGTACAAAGTTTCCGAAAATGCTTTTTGATCGGTTTGCTATAATATATATTTCAAAAAAATAATCCCATTGACCTATACAAAAAATTATTACCTTTATAAATAAATATACTAAATAATACAAAGAAATACTGTTAAAAATAATACACACTGAACATAAACAAACATCAAACGGAAACAAAATAGGGTTAAGAATGTTAAGATTGATAATGGTCTCTTCTTTTTTATATTTTAAACAGTTTTCATCTAAGAATCTGTGGCGTTCCGCCGAGAGCCATTCGGACGAGGCCACACCGGGACCCTCACGGACGAGACCACAGTGAGACTGGAAAGCCGACACGAACGAGGCCACCGAACAGGGTCGCGAAAATATGCCTAAGGGAGAACGACAAGCACGAGCGGGAGAACAACCACGGACTCACCCCCATTCGCTCGCGCACCCTCGGTACTACCTGTTCGACAAAACCGCGCTCTTCAATTCGTATTGTTATTTATAAAATAAAAGTGTATATCCGTTCACATCTTCTTTTTGTGTATCGTTTCCGATAGGAAAACCCACAATTGGTGACCCCGACGTGATTTGTGAACGACCACGCGCTATATTTTATCGTCATTCCGATTCCCTCGATTTCCCCGATTTTTCGCACCCACGTGCCACGTGACGCGTGTGAAACAAACTCGAGTAAGTTACTGCACCGCTACCTAATCCGCGCAAGATGGAAGGCAGCAAGAACGAACCAAGTGGAGACGGGCACCGTCCGGTCCACGGCGACGAGGAAACGGCGCCGCAGCTGGGGGCCATAAACGTGGTCAAACTACCGCAGCCGCTATGGAGGCATAACCCGGCGCGCTATTTTACGGTCGTCGAGAACACCTTCGCGTTACACCGAATAAACGCTGACGTGGCGAAATATCGGCACCTGATCAGCAACCTAGAACCGGACCTAATCGAATTGGTAGGTGACATCATCGATGATCCGCCCCCGCTCGGGAGATATGACGCCGTAAAAACGCGGCTGATCAACATCCTGGCTGACTCAAGCGAGACGAAGATTAAAAAACTGTTGCACGGCCAACCGTTGGGTGACGCGAAGCCCAGCGTCCACCTCCAGCGCATGCGCAGTTTGGCTGGAGGCCAGTGCAACGACGCCATTTTGAAGCCCATATTCCTGGAACAACTGCCCGAACAGGCGCAGTCCATCCTGGCGGCGAACAAGACGACGAACCTCAGCGAAATCGCAGACATGGCGGACAGGATAATGGAAACGCTACGACCCCAAATCGCTGCGATCCGAACTACGGAGCCAGCCAGCGTCGAACCAGCCAGACCTGAGAGCTTGCAGCTCAACGAGATCGTTAAGGCCCTTAACGAGCTCCGGCGAGACTTCGAGAAGGAGCGAGTAGATCGTCAGAGTCAGAGAACTCACAGATTCCGCAGCAAGAGCCGGTCGAGGAGCAACCACCAGAGCCCCGAACAACGACCTCGGCAGTCGAGCAACGACCGAAACCCGACCTGCTTTTACCACCGCAAGTTCGGAGCGGAGGCTCGGAACTGCAGAACCCCGTGCAACTGGCCGACGGGAAACCACTAACCCCGGCGAGGATAGAGGCAGCCGCCGGGGCAGGGAACGACCATAAACGCCTCGTGATGGAAGACCGGAAATCAGGCACGCGTTTCTTAATCGACACCGGTGCTGACGTTTCCGTACTACCAAAAACATACGCAGACGGTTCCCGACGCACACACAAAATGCTATACGCCGCCAACCGCACTAGGATCCACACCTACGGGGAAAAGAGGCTAACCGTAGATTTCAAGCTTCGACGCCTTTTCTCCTGGACCTTCCTAGTTGCCGACGTGTCACAGCCGATCATCGGGAGCGACTTCCTGCACGATTTCAATCTACTTCCCGATTTGAGAAATCGTCGCCTGGTCGACGGCACCACCAACCTCACCGCGCGAGGACAACTCGGGACCACAAGCGCTCCGACCCTAACAACGGTCGACGACGCGGTCGATTTCCACGGGATACTCCGGAAACACACCGAGGTAACACGACCGGCGAGACACCACGAAGCGAGACACCACACAAGGCATCACATAATCACAAGAGGACCGCCATGCACAACAAAAGCCCGCCGCCTATCGCCAGGGAGATACGCCGCAGCTAAACGTGAGATCCACAACTGGCTACAAGACGGCATCGTTCGCCCCTCGAAAAGCCCTTACGCGAGCGCGATATTACTCCGGAAGAAAAAGGACGACAGTTGGAGAATCTGCGGGGACTACAGGAACTTAAACAAAATTACAGTTCCAGACAAATACCCGATCCCCCACATACAAGACTTCGGCCACAGGCTGCGAGGTTGCACGATTTTCTCGACTCTAGACTTGGAACGAGCGTATTTCAACATCCCCATGGCCGACGAAGACAGGGAGAAGACCGCGATAATCACCCCCTTCGGACTCTACGAGTTCAACGTCATGCCATTCGGGTTGTCTAACGCAGGACAATCTTTCCAGAGACTAATGGACTCCGTCCTGAGAGGATTGGACTTCACGTTCTGTTACATCGATGACATCCTCATAGCATCCAGATCAGAGGAAGAACACCTGGACCACCTCGATCAGGTGTTCACTCGGCTCAAGCTCCACGGACTCACTCTGAACCCAGACAAATGCATCCTTGGAAAAACAGAAGTGAAGTACCTAGGCCACATGATAAACGAGCAGGGAATAAGACCGATCGAAGAACGAATCGACGCGATCAAAAATTATCCGAGGCCGAACACAATTGCAGAGCTCCGTAGATTCCTCGGAATGCTAAATTTTTACAGGCGTTTCATCCCACATGCAGCCCAACCACAGGTAGCACTACATCACCTGACAAGCGGCGCTAGAAAAAAGGACAAACGACCCGTAAACTGGACCCCAACGACCGAAAGCGCATTCGAGGAATGCAAACGTCAGCTCGCCGAGACGACACTCCTCGCACACCCGGCGGAGGGCGCACAACTCATCCTAGCTACGGACGCGTCAGACACCGCAATCGGAGCAGCCCTGGAGCAAGTGACGAACAGTCAAACACAACCACTCGGATTTTTCTCCAGGAAACTGACGCCCACGCAGTCCCGCTACAGCACATACGATCGAGAACTGTTAGCCATTTACGAGGCAATAAAATTCTTCAGGCACATGGTGGAAGGCAGAGACACTACGATCTATACCGACCACAAGCCACTTTTGTTTGCTTTCAGTCAAAACCCGGAAAAGGCGTCGCCCAGGCAACAGCGCCACCTGGATTTCATCGGGCAACACACCACCAAGATACGCCACATCGCTGGAAACGACAACTGCGTCGCCGACGCTTTGTCAAGGATCAGCACTATAGACCTACCGGTAGTGGTAACAACAGAGGAAATCCGGCTGGAACAACAAAAAGACGAAGAACTACAAGATATCCTACGAAATCCGCAATCACTCGTGCTGAAACAGCTAAGGGTAGACGACACGGAGGAATCCATCTACTGCGACGTTTCACACGAAAATATCCGCCCATACGTTCCACAGTCATTGAGGAAACGCATATTCGACGTCGTGCACAAAACCTCCCACAGCAGCGGACGAGCCACTCGCCGTCACATCTCGAACAAATTCGTATGGCCGGGAATGAACCAAACGATCAACCAATGGGTACGCACGTGCATACAATGCCAACGGGCGAAAGTGAGCCGACACAACCGGAGGAAGCCGATCAACATCGCCATCCCGGATGAACGTTTTCGGCATGTCAACATCGACATCGTAGGACCACTCCCACTATCACAAGGGTATCGTTACTGCCTAACCTGCATCGATCGTTTCACGAGATGGCCCGAGGCCGCACCGCTCAGGGACATCACGGCAGACTCAGTCGCTAACACATTTTTCCACACCTGGGTGGCAAGATTCGGAGCACCAGAAACCATCACCACCGACAGAGGCACACAATTCGACTCGAGATTGTTTGACGCCCTAGCGAAAATAATAGGCGCCCGCACGATCCGGACCACAAGCTATCACCCACAAGGAAACGGCCTTATAGAGCGATGGCACCGCACCTTTAAAGCCGCCATCAAGGCCCACGAGACACAGGACTGGGTAAAAGCGCTTCCTACCGTTTTACTAGGGTTACGGAACGCATACAAGGAAGACATAAGAACATCGGCAGCCGAGCTAACATACGGAACAACCCTACGGCTCCCAGGCGAATATTTCATCCACGACGACGCACCACCCGACACCAATACCTTGCTGAGTGGACTCAGGAGCCATATGAGAGAAATCCGCCCACAACCAACCAACCACCACAGCAAACCCCGGATATTCACCCACAAGGCGCTAAAGGAATGCGAACAGGTGTTCATCCGAGTAGACAGAGTGAAGAAACCCTTGGAGCAGCCCTATGAAGGTCCGTACGACATTCTAAACCGGACTAACGATTCCTGTTACAGGGTTAACGTAAAAGGTGTGCCCACGGAGGTATCAACTGACCGGCTAAAACCAGCGTACACCGAGGTCCTACCACACACGACCAAAACCGATCGCAGCACCAGCTCAACACTACCAGCCTCGATGGGACGCAGGGAGGACAGCAGAACAACCAGCCAACCGTTGCCTGTCACCCTACGCGACATTCCAACCCCGAGACGAGTCTCTTTCGCTCCTAGCCAAGTCGCTAGAGGGGGAGTACTGTGGCGTTCCGCCGAGAGCCATTCGGACGAGGCCACACCGGGACCCTCACGGACGAGACCACAGTGAGACTGGAAAGCCGACACGAACGAGGCCACCGAACAGGGTCGCGAAAATATGCCTAAGGGAGAACGACAAGCACGAGCGGGAGAACAACCACGGACTCACCCCCATTCGCTCGCGCACCCTCGGTACTACCTGTTCGACAAAACCGCGCTCTTCAATTCGTATTGTTATTTATAAAATAAAAGTATATATCCGTTCACATCTTCTTTTTGTGTATCGTTTCCGATAGGAAAACCCACAAATCATTCAATGTGTCTGTCAATCAGCAATGAAATAGGCCAAATATCTCATCTCTCTTGCACTTATGTTTGCGCAGATTTTAAATGGTTCCACAAATTGCGCGTGAAACATATTTGCTTCTTTTATTCTCTTATGTTGATCAAATAACTCCATCACTCTCTTTCGTAAACTGAATAGGTCTATTGTACTAGACGAAATTTATTGTAATTTGCAATATATTTACGAACAATAAATTAATAGTATTATAAATATGCCAAGAAAATATTAATAAATTGGTAACTGTGCTTAATTAGCTAGATGAGTAATAAAAATGTACAAAATAACGCATAAAACTTGGCCGAATAGCCCAAGTGTAGCAGAGGCCTCAAACGAAAAAGAAGAAGAACGCATAAAACATATTTTTGTTGACTTGGCAACGCTGTTAAAGTTCATGGAACAGAAAAATGAAAAATTGGGTTAGAACATTTTTAAAAATTGTTAAAAATTATGAATATTCAAAATCTAGGATAATTAGGAATTTGTAGCTACTTAGCTAACTTTCAGATTTTTCTGGAAATAAAGTAGCTCATTCAATTGAGGATAAAAATTAAATTTGGGAAGTAAATCAAAAAGTACTCGAAATAGCTAATTTTCTAGGAAATTGTAAATTAGGAAATAATAATAAATTAAAATAATTATAGTATTGTTACTCCTTACTAATCAGATATACATTTTTTCCGGAAATAAAGTTACTTAGGTATACAATTCAGGATAAAATAAAATTTGGGAAATAAATCAAACAGAGCATTCAAAATAGGTAATTTTTCAGGAAATTATAAAAAAACTTGACTTTTGTAAATGTAACAAAATGTTTATTCTAAAATCATTATTTGTATTAAATGTAATAAAACGAAGATGCCAATTTATCCCATCAAGCTCCTATCTGCTAAATATAAATATTCATCATGTATAAGTATATTAATCTCAACTAATCTACATAATTAATAATAACCTACATAAAATAGTAAACGTTCAAAATCATACATTTTAGAAAAATATCACATTAAATACGTGAATTGAGATTTTATGTCATGAAGTTCCTTTATTATTTTTATGGAATATAAAACGAGGACGTGCACGTAATATTACTAAGATTCGAAAATTAATAGTGCTGCAACTGTATTATTAATAATTACTTTAGTCTTCTAAAATTTCCTCTTCATTTATCTCATGGTTATTGTGATTGTTTTCTACACCATTATGGATTTCTCCTTCGAGTTTCTCGGCAAACTTCGCATCGATCTCGGATATTTGATTGATAAAATTGTGTTTTTGTTCTGCTGTCCATTGAACAAACCATTCTTTAAATAATTTAACCTAAAACATAACCAAATAAATATGAATTAAGAGCATGAAATCGTTATTAAAAACTTGTAATTAAAAACTTGGTATTAAAACTAGTAATGTTAAAAAATTGTACTAATGAAAACCAAATTATAGAATAAAAACAAGTCCACAAAATATTCAATGATTACAGGTACGTGTTAATGTAAAAAACCAAAATGTTTTTAAATTTTTAAGCTATGATAACACAAGAATGTATTACAAGCGAGCAGGTACTAGGTACATGTAATTACTAAATTATTTCTGAAAGTACATTTAATACGTAATATATGTTCTAATCAATAAAACATCTTCACTGTACTGATACAAACAAGTTTTTTTATGATGCTCCCCTTTAGGTATTCGTAACTTACCCTGCATTCGAACAAAGACATTGGCTTATCTCTGCAGTCGATATTGGACATGCTGTTCAAAATTCCGTTAACATAAGCCTTGTTAGCGTATTTTTCCGCTAAAATCGGCAAAAAGTCGGATCTCTGCAGTTCGCTCCATTCTCGAAACCACTGCACCAAGTACCGGATCTGAGCATCTGCACTTAACATAGTCATTTTGAATACTGACAATTTAGAAAGTCTCTTTGTTCAGTCACTGAAATAGAATTATTTCGGGATTAAAAAAAGGCTCGCACAAAAGAGAAAGCATTATCATGATTCGCAAACTTTGTTATTCTATTCCCAACATCTGATGTTTATTGCAGGATACATAAAGGAAAAAAAAAGTTGACTTACATTGTGTCGCCCGAGTTTTTCTTCAACTGGAATTTCTTGTTGCATCTACAACATTTTAACTGGAAATAAAGGTGAAGCAGTTGAACGTAACTGATCCCGATAAATTTAATTATCGTTTCCCATTTACTGTTGAACCGTAATGTAATGACTCTTGTTTTTAAATTGTGTCCTTGACCTCACGCAAATGTCATTTTCGGTGTTCTCGGAACAAATATTACTGTCATTTTCTTATTCGTAGAACAACAAATAAGAAGATGAAAATGCATTTATTTAATTTTTGTTATTCATTAAACAGCGAAAATTGTTATAATCTTCTACAATGTTAATTTATTCTTGTTATTTCAATTGAAATTTTAAAAAACTTTAATAATTTTTTAACCTAACTGTATAGTTCAATAGTAAAAGCATCAACGACGAAAAATAATTGTCATTTGTCACTGTCACCTGTGACAACATCAGCTGTAACTGTCACCTACCCTGCAAAATAAAAAAAAAATATTTTATTAAATTTTAGGGCAATAAATACTTGTAAGACTTGTAAGTATTTACTTTTAAAAATTATAATTCATTAATATTTCAACTAAACAGAAGATGCCTATTAATTTCGCTCCACATCAATAGGGTGACATAACCGTGTTGTTTTTTTAGATACAAAAATGTCCGTTTCTCCTTGGCTCAAGTCCCCTTTTACTGACTTAACAGGAGCACTTGTGAGCCACCAGTGGTACGGCAAGTGCGCCGACCTCGAATTAAAAGTGATGGACTGCTTAGAGGCCCACGGCTTAAATAAAGGGGTGCAAGTATGTAAAGACATCATGGACGACTTTAAGGAATGCGCCTACAGAGCAAAGCAGCAAAAACGATACACGGCAATGGTTAAAGAGCGAGAGCGCCAGTACGCTGCTGGAGAAAGAACCAAAGAAGATAGGTATGCGCCGGGCCCCCCAACCGACAGTTATTAGTTGTAGTTAATACTAAATGTATAAAGTTTGTAGATTTAAATAGAGAAATTTTAATAAACTCCCATCAGTTTATAAATTTGATTTTCTTGTCATGAGTTCTAAGGCAATTGTTACAGAGAATGAAATTTAAAAAGTCATGTCATTTAGTCTCTATTCCATTTATTTTTTTACTAGTGGTTAAATTTTTAATCGGTGTAGAGTAATATTGTTTGCTTCTACGCCTTCAAGATAGGGATGTTATAAATATTCAGTAAGTTACATATAAAATAATTGATTCGTCAAAATAGCCTGAGATAAAACGGTTCTAGTAAAATTAAAAGCAAGCATTATTAATTAGATTTCCAGAGTTTCCGAGGCATTTTTGGTTCTGTTCTATTTTATGCTAAACTATTGTATCATATTATTTAATGCAATAATAAACTTCCACATAGTTCCATTATTAATAGAAATATCATAAATTAAACATTCGTTATTTTCCAAAAAATATTGAAATAAAAAAATAAATATAATAACTCCCATAAATAACTCTCATATGTTAAATATTATTGCATTCTTTGATGCTTATTCTTTTTTCATTTTATTTATGGCAATATTATAATAATTTGTATAATTTTAACCCTGTTGTCTCTTAAACTAACGACTGATTTTCCTAAAAATGCCTTAACAAATTCATGATTTATGGTAATTCTTGTACTGTGATGTGTTTTTTCTCCTAAGATATTTTGTTTTTGGGCTATTTTGCCTTGCCCGATTTTGTCTTTGGGCTATCTTGACGGGGTACCTAAAATAACAAATTTAATATAGAAGGAAAATATGAAACAGGGCATTGTTGACAGGATAATGTATTTAAATTTATTTTGTACAAAATTTCAAATACAATTATTAAAAAGACACACCAATAATAGTGCATTTTGTGTTAGCAGTGCAGAATATATTCATGCATATATTTCTGTTTAACAATAAAAAATGGACAAGGTACAAAATTTAATATCACTAAATGTTAATCTGCTTCATAACTATGTAATTTTGAGTAGAAGGCAATATTCCGTCTTACTGTGAAATCGCAAAATATCCATTTTTCGAACTGAATATATTAATTTGTTTTCTATAAAATAATAACATTCAATATATTCTCCCTATTAAATTTTAACGATAAATTATTACTTTTTTGATGATAAAATCTGTGGGTAATATAGCATTATAATATTTTTTTGTTTCACAGTAATACTTAGTAGGGATGGGATACAAGTAATAGTATTTATGTATAATAAGTACATGATACATTTTTTTGTTTAAATATATAGATAATGGTCCTTTTCAGTATTATATTAAAAATTCCTTTAGGCAGGTACTGCTCTCTGACAAAACTATTAAACCGTATCAGTCAGGGTACAAATTTGTAAATTCAAACATTTTTAATTCTTTAGTAATATTAAAGGAAATTATATCCCTGATTGAATAGTTTTATATAAACATTTTAAATAGGCTAACAACTCAAATATTTTGAATTTAAAAGGTGGTATTTTTAAATGAACCACTTATTTTCTTATTAAACATCGAACGTTTAACATATTATATAATATTTATATCTATTTCAAGATTTGTAAGCTCTATATAAATTTGTTAATAATTATCATAAGATAGAAACCATTACACCGAGTTTCTTAGAATCACATAAATACGATTCATCGATTGAATCGATGCAAATTACAATACAGTAAGTTAAATATATTGGAGAAAAAATATTTTATCTATATTTTAGAACAATAAACACACATTTTTTATAGCGCAATTGCTATAAAAGGAATTATTGTTTCTAAAATGTACAAACGATAAAAATGTCCAATATATAAAATACCTACCGTTCACATGCATAGGGAATATTAATGAACACATTAAATTGACAATTTTATAACAATTACAATTTTTTTTGAATCTAGGAATTTCTCTTTAAATTTTTCTACGGGCACAATTTTTTTAATCTAATTGATATGGCTTAATGTAGGTAACAAAGCTCATTGCAGAAGTATTTCACGTTAATCCATAAAGATATTGATAATATTTAATTTATACTTCTGCGACATTCAATTTTATAGAGGTACCAATTTCCAAATTTTCATCACAATAGGTAAACATCAATAACACTTGACATTTATTTCCAATTAATTCATGAACCATTAATTTTTTCGAACACTTTATAATCCTACTTAAAACCGTTCATCAATCGTCAGGATTTCGTAAAACAAATCCAGTAGATTATAGGGGAAAATTGAATGATGATGGTAGTTTAAAGAAAACTCCTTGATGTTAGGAAAAGCAGACGATTGATGAACAGAATGGTTAGAAACAGCTCAAATATTGACCCACAAATCGAATAAGACGCAAACATCAAATTGTCTTATTTCGATCAATTTTTGAACTTTTTACCGAAAATTTCAGTTAAGCTAAACGTATCAGTCACATTCTCGTATGTATATCAATTTTAAAACAGTTACATAGTAAAGGTATTTACAATAGTGAAGTAAATATATACGTATGTTTTACAAATCGCCCATAGAATAGGGACAATCAAATTCGCGTATAGTTTTTCTTATAAACTATAATAGAATAGAAAGTGACCCATCCCTACCGAAGTTTAAGTTTAATTAGCTTAATATTAATTTGTGCTTGGCGTAAATTTTAAATTTGGCAATAAAATTTCTTGCGAAAAAAATGTTTGGCCAGAGTAACAAATATAGTTACGGAAAAATACGTTCTAGAATAATAAAATTCTAGGGGTAACTAATTATTGAATATGAATTAATCAAATTCAACGATGACATTTTGAGTTTCATTATTTTAAAAATAGAAAAACTTAAGTGTTTATTTACCCTTTGTTTATTTTTCACCAACTGTTTCAGTCAAAATGGCCGAGAAGAAATTTTATGGGTTTTGTGAATTAATATTTTTGCACACTTTTTAGAAGTAGGTATTTTCCAAAATGCATTAAAAGTTAATTCACAATACAAAAATGCTCATCAATCACAATGCTTCTATTTCAAAAATGCCATCAGCTCACCGTTCAACAACGCTATCATTACATATTCATCTCTTTCCAAAATGTGTACCATTTTTTATGGTTTGATAATTTGTGTTTAGAATTTTCGTTCGTAAAGAACGCAAAAGCCAATTTTAATTCGAACAATTCCGTGGTCAATCGAATTTTCTTAATTATGCGAGTTAGTAAATTATTTAATAAATCATCTAATAATTATTTCAATTAGTAGTTGATGTATCTACCTACTAATTTTCAATGTTTGAATAATACAAAAGCAATTGTAAGTTATAATTTCACCAATTGTATAGAGAAAATCTATATTTCCTTTGTGCTAGTTTTGATCATTTTCAATATCACAAATCAATGAAAATTATTTTATAACCTAATTTCAAAATAATAATTTAATCATTTCTTAAACTTTTAAAATCAAAATTTTAACACAATGAATTTTTCTGCAAAATAATTGAAAATATATCTTTAAATTTCTTGTCAAATATTCCTTTGTATGTTACCTACTCGTATAAAAAAAACAAACAGTAAATCTAGCAGATAAAAAAATGCTAAAAATATTGCACTTTAATCCTTACCGTAATTAACAAACCTTTATAGTGGGTAATTTTGTAATTAAAATAAATTTACATATTTATAAATATATAATATAATTAATCGCGACATATTTTTCTTAAATCTGTCACTTTTCTGCCCTTTTTACCACAATCATTTGATGTAAACAGCCTCGATTTAAATTAACTAATTCGTAAGTAAATTATGAAATTTACTGGATGGGTGGATTTTTCCAAGCCTATACCTAAACAATTTGTTTCTACTAAATTCAACACTCTAAAATTTTTAAAATAAATTTGCTTACTTTTAATATAATTAATAAGTAAGTTATTCAAAATTTGCGAGTTTTATCAATATTATTTAACTATATTAGATTAAATTTTATGTGCAAGAATAGAAAAAAAAATAGAGTGGTAGTTAAAGGTAATTATTGCATTAATAATTTAAGCTGAATTTAGTAGAGTTGTATAAAAGTTGTATTAAAATTGAAGTTATTTTTATAAGTTTTTAATAACAAATAGGTTTATAAATCAATGAAATAGAGGTGGAGGGAAAATATTAGGTAGGTATGTACTGTTGAAATTTTCGTCATGCATTTTTTGTTAGATATACATGAATAATTACTACAGAAATTATTTCCGAAGAAATGGTCGAAAAAACAGTGATGTAACAATTTAATCCAACTGAATTAAATCATCACCACCGAAAATATTGTTGAAAAATATAGCGAAAGTCGCTTCAACGACTTTGCACCAACCAAATTCGAAAAGAACCAATTTATAAATAAGTTTATCAGCTATGATTGAACTAAAATGTGCCAACGCGCTATCTGTTCCTGTTGAAATTCCTTCATGTCCATCCAATGGGACAGTTCCTCAGCACCGCTCGAATTCAAACCTAAACTAAACCAACCCACCATTTCCTTCTTCTTAGTGACACCTTTCCTGTTGTACACCGACAACATCAAAGTAACATCGGCTAATTGAAACAGAGCCACCTGTAATATCGATTTTATTATATAGCCTCCATCACATTTTTTCTCCAAAAAGGATAGTAACTTATACAGGGTAGAGGGTTAGGTACACCTAGATGTAGAAAGTAATTGTAATAAAAATATATTTTACCTGGAAAACGAAGGTTTCCTTAAACAAAGGATTGGGTTGTCCTCTTCGTACTGTTGTTTTGCTCTGAGCTAATTCCTGGCCAGTACTGCTAACAAGATGCAGTTTTACGTACGTATCTGGTGCTCTGTTAACGGCCAAGTTCCTTACTAGGTAACTGAAAGAAATTACATCGGAATGTAGCACAAATTCTACCAAAATTTTAAATGAAATAAGAACAAAAAGAAATAATATAGAAGAAACTAAAGATAATTTGAATCGAATCTTTGTATTTCAATTTCACGAATCACAAATAAAGGTTTCTGAAGAAAAAAATCAAAAAGATGACCTCTCCGTGACAATGTTTACACATTGCCGTGACCAGGATTCGAACCTGGGTTACCACGGCCACAACGTGGGGTCCTAACCACTAGACGATCACGGCTATTGAGGTTCTGTTTAAAATAGTTCAGAACGCGCTTGAAGAGTATATCGCGTAATCAACAGCGTGTAACGACCAGTGGCGTAGTTAAGGGACATTGGCACACAAGTAATAATATTCAGAAACTTTCATTTTCTACTCAAAAATGTTATTTTATTTACCAAATGTGCATATTTCTTAATATAAGTGGGTCATAAATAAAAAAATAATGGTGCCGGTCTAGTATGCGGTCTACCTACATATTTCATAGCCCAAGTATATTTAAATACCGGTTTAAATAAAATTCTAATTCTTCCGTAATTCTCGATAAATAGAATTACTTACTTGCTATTCATGCTGGGTACTACCCCAATTTTTTCTTTTGCTTAAAATATAGGGTCAATACTTTGTATAAAATAAATTTGGGTAGACCGCATACAAACCAGATTCGGTAGGGTAGATCGTATACTAGACCGGCACGCAAATAATATTTTTTTAAGGAACTATGTAAATAAATTCTTACCTAAAATGCGATCCTTTAATAACTTCGACGCTCAATCTTCCGGTAGTCGCGTTGTAACATAAACCTAGAAGCAATTCGGGAACTCCGCCGTGTTGCATGGAATGAGCTGAGCTGGTGCTATCGGATCTTGCCAGGCTCAATAAATCACCAGCGCAACCGGCCAACTGAAAATATATGGAAAGGTAAATTCATTAAGAGCAGAGGATATCTAACTACTCTAACTGTACTACAGTAATACTTTGTTAAGAGTGAAATGTGTAGATGATAATGTTAGGAAAAGAATAAAGTGAGTTCGAAAAAGACCGGTCTTTGCGTTGGCGATAGGTGATACCAATCAATAAAAACTAAACAACAACTTTGGTCTTTTACGTCTCGGAAAATAAACTAATTTTGAACTAAATTGTCGATATTTCTGACACAAACTTTAGAACTTACCATTGTGGTATTGGCCCTTGGTTCCAAATTCAACCAGAAGTTATTCTCGAGTTCTAGATTGATATTAGCGAAGCTGACGATGGCTTCCCCTATTAATCTTTCGCGGCGCATTCGTTCACAGCCATATAATCGCAGTCTTACACCCATAGAGTTGACGTCCTCTGCAACAAAAAAAAACAGATTAAATTTCATCCTGTTCTCATATTTTAGGTGGATTTTCTCACCTGGATTTACTCTGTGCAGAACGAAACTTTCCATGTACTGGGGATTTTCACCTGAACGGATTTTGGTTTTGTGCTTTTGTTTTTTGCTGGGAAGAAGAATCAACCTCACCTAAAACCAATGCACATATTAAACAATTGTACTTCGAGTTCATCATCAATTCATCAATATTATTGATAAAAGTGTTAAAAAGTTTTGGATTTTTATGATTTTTTCGTTAAATCACTCGTGCTGTCTTTTGCATACAAAATTAGGACTCCTCCTGGTATCGAACGGAGTAATAGTGAGAGAATATTTTCCATTAACCCTCACTAATTGATAAAACGAGTTTGATCGAGTCCTTTTTGCAGAAATTACTGGCGCAAAAAAATTAGTGAAATTCACCTGCGTGTGTGTGGGTAGGCCGCGATCCCTGCTGGGAAAATCTCTGGCTTGCAGCACGTGGACCGTCATTTTCCGCATGGGCGCGTCATAGAGAAGGGCGATTTCCAAGTGGCCGCACTTGCTCGTCGTCGGATGGCACTCCGGCTCCGAGCCGGATCCCCCGTCGCACGACATAATTTCGCCGCGGTCTTCCGCTTCCGGACCCATCACCACGATGCACTTGAATGGGCGCGATTTAATTACATTATTAATAAAGTTTAACAGTGTTATACGCTTGCAATAGACTGTGTATAAGCATGCAAATAGGAGGAATGGTAGTGTATAATTCTAATTTGTTCTAACTTACGTCTCTGTTGGTGTTATTGTCTATCATGTCGATTTGCGCCGAGGTGTCGACCATTTGGATCTCCAAGCCCTGATTGTCTATTTTCGTTTCTCGCAAATTGGTGTGAGTTCTGCAAGAGAAATTCGAATTATTTCAGTTGGTAAATTTCCTTCAAAATTTACTTTTGTAGAGCGTCGTTGACATTCGAAGCGGTGGCTAGCTGTTTGTCGCCCATCGAGCTAGTGGTGGAGCTGCAGCAGGAGCTGTTACTGCTCAGGCCCACTCTTCCTTTCTCAACTAACGATATCAAATCTTGGTTCGGTCGAGGGGCGCAGTAGGGACCCGAAGGTCCCATCGGTACCACCATGGATCCCTGACGGGTCTTGTTGGAGAGGTACATTTCTGTTTCGGTAGTCGATTCACCGCCGTCGAAGGAGTAAGCTTTTACTAAAAGTAAAACAAAAAAAAGCGTTTGGTTTGTACAATTCCTTAAATTGGTTACTACATGTTTTATAATTCAAATTAGTATCTTTTCCTTTACAAGGACAACATAGCTTGAATAACCTTCCTATCGAATATATTATCCTTCAATTTTTGATGTATTATTGATGCAATCATTAAGGTTTTTTAAGCTCCCAGTACAGAAAAAAACATGTTTTATTCAAAAGGCTTTCGTCTCGACCTTGGAGTCAGCCGAGTCGAAATATTTATTGAATTGCCAAGGATTTATTATCCAAATTAATCGATATACCTTTTGTTTTTGCTACGCCACGACAACTGATGAAGTTTAGACTTCATTTTGTGATAATAATTGTTAACTGTTTTTCGTTGCACAACCACCTACCAATTACTTACTGCAATGAGTTACGTAATAAACTAAACAACACGGGAACATGAACTGGTGAAGCGCATGCATTATCAAAATATGCTTACCAAGTTTATTTCTGGGTGAAGTACTAGAGATGGGATTAGGCACTGAAGGTGTTGGTACTGATCTGGTTGAAATTGGTGGGCAGGCGTCTTCGCAACACGAACCACCCCTCCCTGGTGCCCACCACTTTAACCCTTTGTTTTTTATGTATAGCAGAAAGACGAGCATAATGGCTCCGAGGCCAGCCATTGCTCCCAACATCGTGCCTCCATCTACAACAAGATTATTGCATGTCCTTATTACAGCAGCACCAATTTTCATAAACTACTATATTCTCGCAAGTTCTTCGTATTCAGATAATTTACAATGGGCCATCACGTCCACACATTTCCATTTTAATTCCATTGAGGAATTTCGCAACATGTTTTCGTTCCCCCATTTGCCTTTCAAATTATATTTATCTCGAAGCAAGGTCGGCTCACATGCCATTATTGCTAAACGGGCTGGATTGATCGATAGAAAGAAAACAACAAAGAAAATTGTGTTCTATCTGTCGAGAGAAAATCACAGGACTCTCGTGGTTCACTTTATCCCGAAATAGAGTCGAAATGTCCGTCGAATCGGATTAAGTTCCTCTCGCATGATTCGTAAGAAAGAAAACGGGAGCGATTCGTAACCGACTTTGAAGTTTGCCGGTTTTTTGTATTTGCATATTGACTTTGTTCAATAACAGAAACATCAGGGTATGCTATTAAGATGAGCATGAAATATTTACATATTTTCTATTATCCTCCATATTTCTCTGATTTTTACTAAAAATAAAGTCCTAAAATAATTTTTTGCTCTTAGATTAATTATTTATAGATAAAATTTGAAAGATGAAGTACCTTCATGGCTTCATTAATTTTGTACAAAAATTTTATTTATTAATGATCAGAAAAGTATACCTAATTACTTTTCATTCATAACGTAGAAAATATCAATAAAAAATTATTAAATTATGTATTTAAATATATCAACCTTGAAGGTATAAAAATAAAATAAATGATAGCTACAATAAAATTAAAATTATACTCGAAAAAAATCATATTTTGCTTGTTACGAAATGTTACAATTTCGCCCCATTTTTTTTAATCTACCTATCAATTAAGCATCAACTTTCAAGGTACAATAATAAAATAAGTTACCACTAGAATAAAATTAGAATTATACGAAATGAAACATATTTCGATTCTTACGAAATGTTGCCTAACAATTTTGGTACATTTTTAAATAATTTATTTCGGTTCCTAAAAATATACCTACTGATTGCCTAAACAGGATGAAATGGGTAAAATTGTGGAACAGTCCACTTAAACGCTAAACCGAAAAACGTGTCAACCAATTTGAATGCTGGAAGTAAACATTCTCCTACGCATTTTAGTGAGGGCATTCCTTACCAAATATAGGTCACCGTATGAATGGACTAAAACAGCCCCTATTTTTATCCCTTGAACTAGAAATCATAACATGTATCAACAGATACAAATTTAACCATACTAGCTCTACAATACAACTGAAATTCGCTACATTTTGGATAAGGAAAACTCACCCCCGAGATAGTGGTTATCCGCGACTACCATTATTTTCCTCGTTTAAACGAGTTTAATGATTTTCGAAACGTTACGCGAACTCCACATCACGATAGGAGATTTTCTGCGATCTCCAACTATTTTTTTATATCGACAAATGAACCGTGCAAAGCCATTGCGACCGAACGCGATGTTAATTTTTCCTTCATTGGATTGTTTTACGAACCCGATCTACAGTGGAATACGGTGAGAAATATCCCCGATCCTGCGGCGCATGAATCGTCCTGTTGCCCCAACGCTTGCGTGCTGCTGAAATCCTTGAGGGGTAACTATGTTTTAGTTATTAAAAGGGTGGAATTTTCCTTAAACAAACAGCCTGGACTACTTTTCTTAATAATGCATAATGGAGTTTTTTTAGAGACATAAGTTCAGTATAATTAATGGGTTTCTGCGAGGAAAGCCAGTTGTTTGCTTTTGTAAATATTTTTTTTTGTGTTTCACCCTACCTGTTGCTGCCTATCAGACTTATGAGAGTCGATAGATTTGACCCAGTTTTAGGTGTATTCTATTTATTGGTCGCGTGGAAACTTCGGCTTTTTTAGGGGTGAAAATTTTGGTCGACTTACTCATAAAATATTAAATTAAATTATTTAAATAAACACAAAATGTTGACAAAATAGATATTAACCGACACCAAAACCGCGAAACATCACAACCAGATGTAGTAAACTTCATTAATCACGTGCTTCACTAAAATAAAGAAATTACAATTGGCAATTTTTCATTTTTTATCTTATCGAAATATGTAGGTATCTCAAAAACTATACATCCGGTATCGGAATAGAAAATGTTCAATATAAAAACCGAGCATATTTAAAATTAAACAAAGATTACGCATGTATTATATTTAACATATTTCATCAAGTAAAAAAATTACTTAAACGCGAAACTATTTTAGATAATTCGATCTTCCAAAGGTAATAAACTATCAAATTTCCAACCCTTAGCGCAATTAATTCTCGAGGAACGAAATATCTCTAATAGGGGCGCACCTTATACACGACCTTCCGAAACAAAATTCTACCAAAACTTCCTCTATTTCCTCTATAATAGGCCTTACATTTTACCCACCAATTTCGTGAGATAATTGAAATGAAAGGGCGCATACTCATTCAAGACTTAGTTTATACTAATTACTTTAATTTATTCCAATTTTTTTTTGTTAAACCACATACAGGACCACCCTTCCCCGGAGTGTGTCGTGTAGCTCTTCCGATACACCACTGACCATTACATTAGGATTTATTACAGTGGACGAGCGATAACTCCACATCCATCGGGTCATCCGGGAGGCGAATAATTTCCAAACGTTAATTAGTTAATTAAATTACGAATTTATTATCAATTATTCTAGCAGGAGCTCTTCCCTAACGACCGCGAACATAATATAAAACGTAGCCAGCCTGGAATACAAACATTCGAGTCCTTTTGCTCCTTTCCGCCGGACCTAGTCGGACGGATTTTATTGAAAAGCGATACTTTGGTTGCCTATAGTTATTGTACATAACGGTGGGTGTGACGCAATTTTTCTACAACCGAAGGTTGATTAACAAATTCGTTACTGAAATGTGGTAATATTTATTTATATTTGAACGCGCGATTCTTTCAGCGAGCCGCAGTTCATGTAAATAGGTAATACAAGTTGTTTTGTTTTCATGAATGGACCGGAACAATGGGCGCCCAAAAATATTATCGGCAAGTGGAAAGAGACCCTGAAAATATCAGGTCGATATGGAAAGGTATAGATATCGTTTATTTTTAATCGTATAGTTTTCGATTTAATCGCAAATTGTTACGCATTTTTTTCATAACATAATTGCTTGATGTTTTATTGCCCTAGCTGTGTGAGTCCCATGGTAAATTTTGTGGTCTAAAAACCTATTTTTCCTTAAATTTTTATTAAAAATATTTACTTATTTAGACTAAATTAATTGTATTTATTTTACGCATCACAAATAATTTTTGTCAAAAGTGCGCTATTATCATAATTTTATTTTATTTTTTTATTTTAATTCAAGCAACCCTCAATAAAAAGAGAAATAGTTGGAAGCAAATATTTACACTTTGAGCTCACAATATTAACCAATAAAAAATACTACTGATATTAATGCAATTTTTTTTTAGTTTTGCACATAACAACTTTCCTTCTAATAATCCTCAACTCGCTAATATCGACGTACTTTTTCGGCGACATTCTCAAAATGTTCAACTACCGGTGCATTCTTCACGTTCAGCCGATTTTCAGCTTGACTGCAATAACCTACAGCATCAATAACACGCAGGATGCGATGCTGAATAATCAATCGATCATCGTGGATTTGGGGAACTTCCCTCCGGAAAACAACGCCACTTCTGTTTACACGAACAACGGCTCGATTTGGTACAAAAACGAATCGGTGGATGCCAAAATTAGCGTGCACCTGAAAGGAACGGATTATGGATCGACCACTTCTTGCGATTTAGTTTTATTCGTTCCGCTGATTTCCTTAATTTCTGCTGCTGCTTTCGGAGCACTGATTATGCTCTTCGGCAGGGGACAGCAGAAGTTAGTATTAACAGAAACTGTGTGCTAACAAATTTCATAATGTAAGTTCATGTTTTCTAGATCCTGGATAATGGTTTATCCTGTATTAATTGCTTCTGTTATAATGAGCATACTCGCCATAATTGCCATGGTGTCGATGAAAAATGGCACTGATGAATTTTGCTCGTATTTCAAATATTACACGGGTCAATTAAAGTGAGTTCAGCTGAATATACATCTGGTAGAATTCTGATCTTTACACTTTTTTAGATGCTCTCATTATATATCTTATTTTACATTTCAAGATAAATGGTTAATAAACGAATTTTGGGACAATTACAATATATGCTATTATTCGTTCTTTTTAACTTTATTACTCTGGATCATTCAAACGGTTGTGACTATTTTTAGATTATGTAGTTTAGCGGATTTTGATTCGGTCACAATTTCTGTAGACAAAATCAACAACAAGGACGATGATATTGATGAGGTAATTTTATTTTATTTTATCTCTTTATAATACCTATTTTAATTTTTGTTAATGTTTTAGAAACTCCACGACGTACTGATTAATTCGGGGTTCAAACCGCTTCCCGACACATCCATTAAAGACGAAAGCGATTCAAGTTTGGAAACAATAAACGAAAATACGACGACCGTATGAGCTTTTTATGCCGATTTGTTTCATTGTGATGACAATGTAAAGTTATGTTTCCAAGTGGAAATGCAATTATTATGTGCTACACGCTCAACCTATATTTATTATAGATCCTTCTCTAGACTTTTTTGCTACATATTTTCTACTTTTTAATTACGTGTGTAAAAATACCTCTACTATGTTTTTTTATAAAATTTATTTATTTTATTATGACATTTAAATTATTCTTATATGCTAAATAAATATATTTAAATTAAAAAATAATGTTTAACTTCTTGTTTAATTTTATAATTTATCTATTTTTTATTGAAAGTTACAGAATTCATTTAAATAAGTAAACAAAACAATCCTTAATTTAATTTTATTCCTAGAATGATTAATCCCTTTGGGAAGTACCGTCGCAACATTGTTGTTGTCCTTTCTCTAGGTAATAATTTAATTGAATAATGAAGAATAGATATATTTGTGAAACTTAAATCCTTTGATTTAAATCCAGGATGGGATAATGTTAATGCGCTTTAAAATTGTGTAAAGCATTAATCGTTCTCATCGGAATTCATGACTAGCCGATCAAACCCCCATTAAGAACCAATCAACCCCCGTAAATCTCCCACCATCTATCCTTACAGTTCCATTTGTGTTCGGCATTGAAAAGAGTGAACTTCCCAGATAACACGTAAGCTTGTGACAAGGTTGTCATGTACTTGTCATGTCCTTGTCATGACAAGCTTTGCAAGACAAGCTTATAAAAAGGTTAGAGTAAGGTTGTTTTGACAACCTTATACAATTGTCATAGCATTGTCGGAATAAGGTTTTCGTGACAAGCTTTTAATAATATTATTGCAAGGTTGTTCTGACAACTTTATAAAATTGTCATTTTCTCATTGTGACAAGCTTTACATGAGAAGCTTTTAATAATGTTATTGCAAGGTTATTGCTTAATATAGGCTTGCGGTTGCCACGTTTGTATAAGGTGTATATGTAAGATTATTTTAAAGTTTACTTATAAATTATACTAAAAGGTTTATAGCTAATTTGGCAATATGCAAAAATCATGGGAAAAAGTTAAACTAATAAGCTTGTGGAAAGATTACACTACACAACATACATCTATGAAAAGGCATACATTTGGAGTACCTACATACTACAAAAAGTGAAAAATATTCTTTTAAATTATTTTAAGACATTTTGTATTCAATCTGATAATTTCCTATGAAGTTTTATTTTGTCTAATCGCTACTCGATGTAAAGGGTAGGGGGTTGGTTGGGTTGGGTTTCTAATTTTTGTGCCTTCGGTACTCGACTTTCTCTACTAGCATTGCTGACATGCTGACGCTATTGCCTTTTGTAAATGTTCGCTCTTAAAATTTGCTGCTGTTATTTTCCAACGTGTTTTTTTTACCTACCTTCATTTTTCAAAGGTAAGTCAAATATTTATTATTTCTTTGTATTTCGATATCATCTATGCCTTATGTAATTATTAATAGAATGTTTATTCATAGGTATCACTTGAAGACCGTTCAATAAAATGTCCCAAAAGACCCATGCATTAGACAGGATTCCATAAGGATATAAATGAAAATATTGAATGATGAACAGAATAATTCCAGACGAAAAGTTATCATTAATTCATTCGATTAAATTCATGATGAAGAATCAAATTAGATGAATGTTTAGCCAAACAACTTCGCTCGACTCGTCGGTTTTTTAGACTTGCAATTTACAAATAAACTGTTAAGTTTTTTTACAATTATTTTACTCAACTATTTATTACAGCTTTTCGAACACTTTAAAAATTTCACAATGCCCTCATAAATTCTAAAGAATAGCGGAGTACCAAGAAATACTGAAAACACATGGTCACACTTGATGGGTTCGCCCGGGTTTGCCTGACAATTCACAAATTCACAGATGTTTGTTGGGATTATGAAAGGACATTTTAGTATTTTTTCAATTTCATTTTTAAACAAATGGACTATAATAGTGAGTATATTAATTTTTTCAATTATTATAGGCACATTAATTTTTTTTCTTTTACAGGGAGACCCGTCAAAAAATATGTTTGGTATGACTGTTCATCCATATCCGGGACACAGTGATTATATTTGTATACATATTTTATTAAAATAAATGTCAATTATATAATATTTGCATTTTTTCATATATTTTATACCTTTCCATAAGCTTGTCGTAATGTTTTCAGAAGCTTGCCATAAACATTTTTCAAACCTTTTCACAAGCTTGTCATAACCTTTTCATAATCTTGCCTTAATAAGCTTTTAGTAATAATCTTTATGCAACCTTTTCATAAGCTTGTCGCTACGTTTTAATAGGGCTGTGGCAAGGTTTTCATAAGCTTTACGCAACGTTTTCAAAAGCTTGCCATAACCTTTTCGTAGCAACCTTGTCATGACAACCTTAAAGCAAGCCTCTAACATGTTGACTAGGAAGGTTGTCAAAACCTTTTTATAACCTTACACCCTGGGTTGCAACAAGGGTACAAACCGTGTCGTGACAAGGTTAACGCAAGCTTGCTACAAGCTTAAATTGTTATCTGGGCTTCTATTTATACTGCAAGTGTTAGAGCAATATATTATTCTATACGTGATAATTTTATAAGATAAGTGAAGAATGGAACGTCTAAGTGAAGCTTCGAAAAAGGAAGCGTTTATTGTAAGTATACTTACACTACTTTAATATGTATATTATATAGTAGGTGGTAAATTATTTTCTTATCCAAAAGAAATGATACTATGCATTGTAAATAGCATATTCTTCTTTCATTTCCATCTCTTACTTTATATAACTGCAGATATTAGAAAATGTAAAATCAATGTAGTAAATTACCTTAATTTTTCCAGATTAAATCTATAGAAGCCAACTTAGTCAGAGGCTTCCAAAACGTCAGGCTTTCTTCGCCATCGGCCAGATGCTCGACTCCAGCACCTGTGGAAGAGGAAGCTACATCTCTGGAAAAATTGGACGAAAACAGCAGCTACCTGAATTTCTGCGTGTTTTTGAAACTGAGCCCATTGGAGAGCAAATTCCGCGGGACCTTCAAACCCAAAGGCTTCATCGGCGGCCACTTGGTGATGGAGCGCCCGCGTTCAAACATCAGCATCAAAAACATCAGCGCCCAGATGTGTTACCACTCATCCATCAAGTATATTAAGGATAAAGCCGATAGCATCAGACGTAAATATATGAATAATGATAAGTTGAATGTGAGAATTATTGAAAAGTAGTTCCAAAGTCACTTGAATAAGGCGAAAATGACGGAAGGGTTCAAATATTCCCTAATTGAAAAAAACATGTTATTTTGATTAACAATTAAGGTCATGATTACAAGCTATATTCAAATGATATTGGAAAAATATTCCTTTAGTTCTTATTTTGTAAATTGAAAAAGCTTGTTTCAGTGTCAAAATGTAAGGTTTATTGTATCACCAGAGACATTCTAATCAATTTTTGGAAAGGTAAATTACCTTTACCATATCTTCTATTGTCTCTAAATGTTACAGATTATTGTAGTTGTATTTACAATGTTGTAAATAATCATTTGTAATTAAGTAATAATAAAGGATTTTTTTAACTGCATTTAAATCTATTTATCCAGATTCCTATCAAATTTGAGTACGCCAATGTTGCACAAAAAAAATTATAAACACAAATATACAAAATTCTAGTAAGATAATCGTTAGTAAATTAATTAGCAAGTCGACGATTCGCAAAATACAACAAAAATGGAGCAACCACAGGTAAAATAATTAACTTATAATAATCTTTTAAAAATCCATACATTTAATGCATTTCTAGATCGCGAACGTACAGAATAATCCGACGCTTGAATTGAGCAAACACGGGAGAATTTCTACGCCGGTTTTAGAAAAGAAAAAACCCTTCGGTACCGTCGATAGGCAATTCGAAAAATTCTGCGAGCACCTCGCCAATGCCCCGAGGAACGTGCACTTGAGGGGAAGCCTGAAGAACAAGCACGATTTCGTGTCTGGTCATTTAGTGGAACGGGTGATCAAGGAAGATGCGAAGAATGCGCCGAACAGGAAAGAAAATGCTTGTTACGAGGGAGGAAAAGCGAACGTTCGGTTCCAAGGAAAAGAGGAAAAATCGACGAAAATAACCGAAAATCGGAAGATAACCGTTATAAATGCGTTGGCAAAAGCAATGACGAGTAAAAGAGAACTATGGTTGACTTCGAAAAAATTTGTAAAGAAGGACGGAAAGAGGAATATCAACTTTCGAATGTACATTTAAAGTAAAAAGGTACTTTAATTTCCATTATATTAAAGCGCAGGGCGCAAATTTGTGTTATTATATTATATTAATGTTTATTTGTGAGTGTTTAAGGACTATTTATATTATGTTGTATGTATGTATATGTTATTATTTGACGAACTAAATACCTGTGTATTTTGGATCAATTAATTTATAAACCAATTTTGTTGACAAAATAGTGTATTAACAATTTCTATGTAGAAATTGGATTATTTATTTAAATTATTTAAATTATTCAGTAATAAAATAAAGTTTATTAATCAAAAATCGTACAATTCAATAATTTCAACCACCTTTGCTTATTCAGAAACTCATCATTGTGTTTCAAAGATTGAAGACACACGCCAAAAAGTCTTCGGTAAGTTTTAGGAACGCTTTCTTCCGTATTCATGTGATACAACCATTCTAAAACCTGCAAAAAAACACGTTTCATTAATTATTAATTTAATTTATACTCCGTTCGCCATCAGGAAATAGTAATGCTTGAAGTAATATTGAAACTATGCCCTGTTGAAGTAAAATAAACGTTACTATTACATAATTATGTTTTCTTTGAGTCACTCCCATAGAAATTTATGTTTTTATACTATGTCCTGATGACGAACGTAGTATAACTTTATTAGTTCAAATTTTTACAATGAATTTACAGTACCTGTACTGAACAAGCCTCCCAAAACCGCCTGTCCAACAAACTGGCCAAAGATTGTGGGAAAAAATTCCACAATTCCTCTTTCCGATTAACTCCGGATAAAAAGACGTGATTACCCGAAAAAGTCACCACAGCGAATATTAAAATATCGAACTGGAAACTAACTATCGGCAATTCGCATCTATCAGCTATATTAGCCTGGATCTGTCCTATTAACTCCATTATCCACGGAACGCATTCTTCTGGAGTCTCTATCCACCTTTCCAACACCGAAGAAAGGTCTTTTCGTAAATCCAAATTTCTAAAATTTTAGTTTCATTAATAACGAGAGTGAGAAATTGTTTAAAAGTATGAGTATGTAAATAATACGAATTTAAATATGCACACCTGTAAAGATTACTCCAGGTACTGATGATTTCATCCAGCCAAGCTAATGGAAACGTTGTTGAAATTTTGGATAGGGCGAACCTGATCTTGGCGTTTTTAACAAAAGCTTCTTCACTGTCTGTGTTTTTAAAATTCCCTGTGCGTTTTAGACAATCCGTGGGGGCGTGAATAATGGTTTGACATAAAACATCAAACAACTACAACAGAGTATTAACTTATTAATACAGGGTGTCCCACATAAGAACCGACAAAGAGCAGGGTCATGTAGGGGAGCCCAAAATATGTTGTTCAACCCAACTTATTTTAATACAAAGTTACAAATTTGGTGTACGTTATGAGTAGAGCTTGGAAAATATGCATGCAAATATGTACTAAAACTCTTCGAAATATCCACTTATCTAGGCGTTTATGCTCGGTGAAAAAATCAGAAACAACCAAACAAAAAATAATATTTTTTTAAATTTTATTAAAAGAAATTGATAGGACATAATTATACACACACTACTATCAGACTCTATTACACATTAGAACAATAGAAGGATGGGATAAAATCATTTAGAACTGTTTAGAATCATTTAAAGCTGACTAGAACCGTTTAGAACGCTCCAGAATCAATTAGAACTGTTAAGAACCATTTAGAACCGTTCAGAACACTATATTTAAGAGTTCTCAGAATGAGCATCGGGTGTTTCTTTTAGTTACCCGAATTTGAAAGTAGTTGTTAACGTTTTTATTTTATTACTTGTTATTAAGTTTTTTTAAATAACAGCTTAAATTATTTAATTATTTATCGGCGACATATATCGAAAAATACAAAATGAATTTTGCATATGCATTTTGAAATTTTGGGGAAATATGCTCGTATACGGGACATAAATATCTTAAAATATAATAATACTTACGGGTGTGTTTAATTCGGTAACAAAAATAATACTGTCTAAAACTTGTACCAAATTAAGTTTGTTAGTTTCCTGGACTTCCTTTTGGACAAGTACAGTTTTTACGTATTCCGATATGTTGATTAACAGTTGTAGCTCGTTTTGATTATATTTTTTTATCGAGTACCAAAGGGTTGCTTCGAAAAACGGTCTTAAAATGATAGGTTGTATACTTTTAGCCAAAAACTTCAAGTTCCTGTAAACGTTATCGATATCTTCTTCCTGCAAAACAAATATTTTCTTTAAAATTCAACTAGTCAATCTTACGCAATTACCTGTGGTGATTCAGTGACAGTGGTTACATAATTTTCAACGAGCCTTCGAGCTGTTCCAGATAAAACGACTTGATGGCACGCGATATCGACAGCATATTTTCTGCACCGAGGTTCGTGAATTAGTTCTTGCAAGAAGCACCAATCTAGAGGTGGCAACGGTTTACTGTATTCGACGCTTAGAATTTTTAAACATTCTATGTAAAATTTATCGTGGATGCTTCCTTTCCATTTGACAACCTTAAAACAATTCGAATTTTATACTTAACATTTAAAAATATGTTGAAATTACCCAAGTTTTTATAAATTCTCCAATGGCCCGAACGACGCTATGCGATGGTAAATAACTATAATTCACAGGCTCTGTAGTAGCTTTACTGTGATACACGTATTTTAAATACTCATCGATTTCGTTTGCAATCATTTTTTTCGTAAAATTTATCGACGCCTGCGAAGCGTTGTTTTCCATTAAAAAACGCACCCAAGTTTTCCCTTAAAGAATATTTTTGAAACACTTTAACTACCTAAAAATGCGAATTTTACCAGTTACTGAATTAATGTTGTTCACTACATTCACTTCCAAGTATTTTTCTGGTAAACTTTTGCAAATATACTCAATACCAAATGTCGTTAGACTGGAAAGCGCTACATCGCTAATTTTAGCATCACCCAAGTCGACGTATTGCCACAATTTCAGCAAAACTTCATCGAACAATTCTTTGTGCGATTCTACATATGATAATTGCGGTACTTCTTCAATTAAATGGCACAAACTAAAACATAATGAAAGATTAATTACGTTGTCCTCCAATTATTCTGCAGTATAATAACCTTTTGACGACTGGATATCGAATGTCGTTATTGAATTTCGGAGACAATGTGGCCCAAGTTGTTTTGATATCTATGATTCCCGCTTTGCATAAAACAGTAATAGCTTCAATTGCTATAGAGCAAGGTAAAGCTCCATTTTCATCGTTGCAATCGTTTAATATTTTCGATAAATGCGCTACTGCGTCTTTTCCATATAATTCGGGTCTATAAAATGAGTAATTTAAGATAAACGAAATGGAGTCTAATTATACAGGGTGTCCAGTTACATTCCTGAGAAGTTATAAGCCTTCAAAGTGAAGTAACAAACTTGAAACAACTAAATCTGGTATATGTTGTACATATTTCTTTTACCTACAGGATGATTTTAAAAACAATATTAGTTCACTTCATACGTAATTTCATTTTAAACCTTTTTTATTCTTTTTGTGTTTTAAATTCTTTTATTTTTTTTTTCTTCATTTTGATGAAAAACAATAAAAAATAAACTATAGCCTTGTAAACTATCAATGTTACTTAAAATATTCCATAATTCAAAAGTTGGCTGTATTCACTTAAAGTTGGGTTAAACAACATGTTTTAGGCTCCCCTATATTCCCCTGCCCTGTGTCGGTTCTTAAGCGGAACACCCGGTATAAAAGTTTCTTACTTTTTATCGCACAATTCCTTAAGAACAACGGCTTTGATAACATGCCTTTCCCATTTTTTCTTTGTAGGAGGGTTTTGTACCAATAAATCTTCTAAATACATGTAGCATTTATTGTCTATTTTCCACGCATCGAAGGCCAGGGATAATCCAACATTGTACAAATTTTCCGAACCTTTGCTAATAGATTGTATTATGGCTATAACTTTTGGAATATTCTCTCGCAATATCACCATTTTTGGGAACGATTTCAGTAAAGCCAAATTGAATTTTGGTTGTTTGTTGTTTGATATTTTGTAGAACATTAACGTTAATAATTTTGGAGTCAAATATACATCAATCTGACTACATTTTACGAGAATATCTAATATATCTATCGATATGTCTGGATTTTCGTAATCAATTAACAACAAACCGCACAAAAAGTTGAAAACATCCAATTTAAATTCCTGAGAAGTTTTCTTGACTAATTCTATCCAATTTTTAAGTTCGTTCTCTTTTTTAAATAATTCTAGTTTTAAAGAAATGTTGATAGAAACAAAAATATTTTTGTTAGTGCATATCTGGTCCTTGTAATCTCCATAAAAGTTTCTTAGAGTATTTCCATTATTAGAACTTTTATTTTGAGATTCGTTTAGTGTGTTGATAATGTGTAAAGCTGTGTTGTAAGCCAGATTTGTTAAAGTACAAGGTGTTGAAAGCCACTGCAATAGAGCAGCTTTCATTGTTTGAAGCGAATATATAGTAGGCTTATTTTGCTTTATAAGAATCTCACCTAAAAATAACCAAATTAGTAAATAATTTTTAAGAGTAATTCCTAATACTCATGCTTACATAATTTCAAAATTTCATCTAAGTGTAGTGGAGAACAGTTGTCTATTATTTGTGATAAAATAATAAGTACACTATCGATAATTGCTAAATTCCTGTTTCTCAAATTTCTGTTTAAGCTACTCAAAGTAGAGCGAAGATTAAGTTTGTACTTCGATAAGTTGTGCAATATGTTCAACTGCCATAAGATCAACAAATCAAAATTTAAGAAGTTTGGATCGTTTAAAGACACTTCAATTATTTCGATAATTTGATCAGCTGCTATTTCTAAATCGTCTCTTCTTTCCACCTAAAACAAGCATGCACTTATTTTTTATTTTCGTATAAATCCAATATAACTTACTTGAAACCAGCCTAATATGTTAAAATAGAAATTTCTAGGCACTTCGTTAACGCACTGAGGTTGTATTAAAAAATTCCAAAGCCTGTATTTTAATAATTGAACTGAAGTAGAGGGGCAGCATAAGCTGTACAAGTAAAACGGCTCAAATATTTTATGTACATCAGACCTACAAGGTATATAAAAATAAGTCTTGGTAATGAACTAAGATATTTTATAATATAAATAGTAATAATTAAAAAAAAAACATACTTAATTTCTTCCTGTAAATTCTTCAATTTATTTAACAAGTAAGGAGTAACTTGCGGGTTTTTATTTACTAAAGTTATGAATGGATGTTGTGGATTTGATACATTGTACGTAACCACTTTATTCTTCGATTGAAGGTATAATAAATCGCCTAAAAGGTCTATCAAACTAGAATAACATCTGAAATATGAACGTTAGAACTACTCAAACGAAACAATTTTCATCTAAATACGTACTTTACAGAATCCAGTCGACTCAATAAATCTGTTGTAACATTTTCAACGGTGAGTATTTCATCAGTAATAAGGAGTTTTAAAGCAATTCCGGATACTTCACTAATAAGAGGATCGGTACATAAAAACTTTTCCTTGAGAAATTTTATTTCCGGAATGTCTTTCAAGTTTAAACCTTTTTGGTATTTCTTCCTGATGTTATCAATTATTTTTGATATCAAACTCGTTGTATTAATGGAATTGTTAGAATGTAGTCTTTCTTCTATTTCTTCCATGATTTTATTATGTATTTATATTGCAAAAAACAAATTTAAATAAATTAAATATTATGGTTTTAGAACATGGTTAAATTATTCTTCTTTTATGTTAGTAAAATATTTGTTGTCAATGTCAACGTCAAACAAACATCTCTTCTGCAAGTTTATAATTTTTCAACAAGATGGCGGTAAATTTTAAATATTATAGGATTTTTTCTATAATTGTTATTAAAAATGAGGGAATGTGAACACGTTTTCTATATTTTTACAGTAATAACTATACAAGCTGTTCTACAAAGTTAAAATAAAACGTGTCTTTTTCACGACCAAAAAATGAGAGAAGACAACTGTCAATGTGGTAGTCGTATTTCGTTTTCGTGGTCTCTTACTTCAAGCTGCCTAGCTTATCGCCAAAAAATAAAATTGAATATTAAAAAAATACACATTTTTTTATTCTTAAACTTACACGTAATTAATAATGAACAATTTTATCCATATGTCAGTCTCTCACAACACCAACGTCGTATCCCAAAGCATTGAAACCTTGCGTAACGATATTGAAGGAAATCTGGGCTGATCCAGAGGTTTCCATCAAAATCAAATTATTCCCGGCTGTTGTGGCCAACATCTTCGGCTGCAGCAGCTCCGGCTGGTATCCGAAAAACGACGCCAAATAGCCCAGCATGGAAGACGCCTGAGGCTTGCTCAAACTCACCTCGACTTTGTGATTCCCCGGCTTGAGAGGTACGTGACAACGTCCGTAACCAGCCAGTTGCATTTCCTTGTAGATGCTCAGGACAATTTGGGGCCAACCGTACGGGTTCGTCGATTTGTACTGTATTTCTATCGGTAAATTTAGTATGACCTTATCGCCGTTGTTCACTATGTTCACTATTTGGGATAAGCCGGCTTCCAAGCCGCCTAGGATTCGCCAGTCGGGCCCCGCGCAAAATTCGTACTTGCAATGCCAGGAACTACCGCTCGAGGCTAATACATCGGCCCATTCGATCTGGCCACTTAAACACAGCAAAAATGTACCGTCTGCCATGTTGAACACTAATAAATGTAGGACGTTTCTACGGAAACGCGTTGTAGTGGATACAAACAAACTGTAATAAGTGGAGCAGCTGGAATATTTTTTTGTAACTTGTTACAAAACAAAATAGGTATACATTGTTGTAATGAATTTTTACTTCCACAGAATTCTAAGGGATGAGTATCTTGGAAATTCCATTTTAGACATCATTAAGTTTTATTTATTCCTATTTTCATTCAAATTTATTATTTACTTCTATTTTCCAGCTGTATGTGGCAATAAATAGCCTCCATAGTCGGGGTGTAGTATAATATTTTTATTAAAAAAATACGAAATATTTAACATTTTTCTTTATTTAAAAGTGGAGGTACACTTTTACACATGGTACATACGCCATTGAATATGAGTAATAGGAAATACTAAGTCAATTTTTAGGCTTTATTATCAGGGAACAAATCATCGAAGCTGTACTTTTCAAAAATTCTATTCGCTATGCCGGCAACGATAGACTTAACAGTTTCGATAAGCACTGGTACGAAGTCTTTAATGACATCTTGGCTGTTTTCGTTGAGGACTCTGTGTGAGATTTACAAGCATTAACAAAAATTATTAAATTTAAATTTTTAGTGCATACCTATTGGCGTTTTCAGTAAGTTCTTTGTTGTTTGGGAAGATATCTTCGAAGTACATACTGGCACCACTAACTTTCAAATTCATGTCAACATTGTTTATTTTAAAATGTTTTTTGCCTTCCTTGTCGTACAATTCCATTTTTCCCTTGAGATCAGCCCACAAATTTGCTACAAAAGAACTTGTTTTAATATAAATTATGACACTACTAAATTTATTAATAATACACAGTGACAAAAAAGTACCCGGATAATTGGAATAAAACGCAAAATTCCTAATCTTTTTAATTTTTCTTGAATCTCCTTTTGAAGCCATTCACACAGTCAGACGCCTTTTCCAATCTTCGAAATACTTTTATAGGCCTTTTTTGGTACTGCATTCAGCTCTTTTTTGCATGCTAATTAAGAACTGTGTTACATACATACAGAAACTTGAAATAGTTAAAATAATATTAATTGCAGATAATTTAAATCAGAATTTTTGGGTACTTTTTTGTCACAGTGTTGTACATAGCAAACATTAAACAGTTTTATTTTATTCAAAAAAATCGCGCTATCAACTGAATAGTTGACACTTTTAATCACCTAACATTTTATACAATCAAACTTTATCAACCTTAATCAAACTTTAAATAATCTTACCTTTAAAAATGCATAAAGTCACAATATAATTATTATTTTATTACTTAACTTGTTTCTATTCTAATTAATTAATGTCACTTTTAATTAATAAGCATTTAAACACCAGCAATTAAATTTGACTAGGTGTTCTATTAATATTTCATAATAAGTCTAACGTCATGTATTTTTTCTAATGTAAAATTAAAAAAAAATGCTTCTCAAGTTGATATAAAAATTGTAAGCGATAATTATTTTAATAATTCAGTAAACTTTCAATAAACATCTAATTATTTTAAACGAATTAATTGATTTAACAGCCTTATTTGTATAAAAAGTCAAATACAATGTATAGCAGAGCGGGCTTCAAGGCGAGTTCAATGGAATAAAAAATATTCAGAAAGAAATTTTCATTCATTCAAGGGAAAATTCACTTAAAAATCTATTAAGCGACCGAAAAGATAACTTACTGAAATTTCCTTGAGCTTTTCCATGCGAATCGAATTCGAGTAGGAGAATTTTTCCTTTGAGGCTGTATCTGGAAGTACAGGCCATATTCGGAAAATTGATCGAAATATATATTTCAAGTGTTTCGATATTGAATTTCAATTCTAGCAATTCGAAATTGTGGAGGTTGTACATTTTTATGTCATGAAAAGCGGCTATTATGGTCTCTAAAAATTACATAAATTCGGTAACTGAATAAAAAATATAAGCCTGGAAAACTGCCGGTCAAAAAGGCTATATTTTCTGGACTTTTTGGAATAAAGTATTATCCTATTAAGTACTTGTGTCAAGGCGACTTTCGGTGATAACCAGCGGATTTAGAGCAGGAATAAGCATCTCTGGAATTCCTTTCTCCATTTTCGGTTGAATTATCTTCACATTTTTCAAAATACACGGGCCAGCTTCCTTGACTGATCTCGGGCATGGTTCAATATAGGAAGCTGAAAAAAATTGGAAAACATATTATTGTTATTTTTATCTAACGCAATTGATTAATAAAATTAAACATATTAAATCAATGACGTAATTGCCATTATAATATCTACTAAAGAATATTTCTATTTAGGTAGGTGAATATCTTATTGGTAATTGTTTCTCAAAAGTTATTTATTATTCAATTTTTATTGTGTAATTAAAAACGTTACTGTAATTTTAATTATTGTTAAGTATTTTCAGTTACTACCTACATAAAATATTTAGCAGTACAATTGTTCTTTTATTATTAAATAATTTATAAAAGTAGATTTATTTTAATTTAGGCAGAAACAGAGTCTATGGCAGTTACTGTGTTTAAAAAAATGGGTAGAAAGAATGAGGTTCCTTTTTTTAATTTTTCTCGAATTTTTTTCGGAATTTGGAACCTCCGAAAACGATTTTTACATAATTAGTTGTATCTAAAGAACTTTTACAAACAAAATTTTTAAAATGAAAATTAGTAATTATAAAAGCATATACAGGGTGTCCCAAAATTCACGCCCGTCCTTTCAGAATATGATTCAGCGGGCTAAAACAAATTAAATTTTAAGAATAAATTTTTTTCCCAAAAAAAAAAATTTCCCAAAAAAAAAAATTTTTAATTTTTTGTGATTCAATTATAAATCGTGCGAATGTTTGCATTGAAGTAGGCGGCGATTTGTTTGAACACCTTTTATAAATTATTCGTTTTTATCTTTTTTATGTTTTTTATGTTCTTATGAATTTAAAAATTTTTGTTTTTTATCAATAACTCGGTTATCAAGGACAAAACGAAAAAATTTTATTCTTAAAATTTAATTTGTTTTAGCCCGCTGAATCATATTCTGAAAGGACGGGCGTGAATTTTGGGACACCCTGTATACAAATTAACATTGTCTTTACCATAAACGAAAAATTTTACTACATTTGTTACGGTCTTAAGAATTATTCATTTTTCAATATTTGTATGTTTGAGTTATATTTGATGTCATTATAAGGGTACCTTCAAAATTTATTTATATCTTGAATTCAATTAGAATAGTCTCTTGGAAATGGTATCTTCTTATTTTTAATAAAATATTGATAAATAATAAAAACTTACGTAATTTTTTAGAGGCAACGAATCCTATCAACAAAACAATTACGCACGAACGTTGCATCTTGAATGTATTCCAATCACTTGAATGCAATTTAAATTCTCAGTAGGTATTCCTCATATGGTGACAATAAGTATATAAAGCATTTGAACGCCATGAAAAACTGTATATCTAGATAATCGACGGGTGCAACCTTGTCTTTGAACTTTGTTACACTTTTCATGACCTAATTGCGGAGAAAATATTGATAAGACACCTAAACATTTTCCTATAATGAACTGTAATTAATTGTAATAGAAGTGTTAGTTAAAAAATATAATTTGACAAGAGTAATAACCATGGACGATCACGGAGTAATTACTGGAGAAGAAATACATCGTCAAAACTAGCGTTTCCCTTTTTTTTAGCCCTGTAAAATTGACTATAGCTAAACTAGAGACGTTCAAACTAGAAATGTTCAAAATTGCATGCCTTTTAAAGAACATGTCTCTTGGGAAACCCTTGGAATGTCATAAGAAACTGATTTTTAATTTGAGACTAGAGGATTTACACTTCCATCTACATCTACCACCGCTTCAAAACTCACGAGGAGGTTATGTTAGCGGGTTTTTCGCTGTATGGTGGAATAAAAAGGACTATCTATACAGTATGACAATTTAAAAACTTACATTGGCTATATCTAAAACCTAAAACGGTTTCAGGCATTTTTTGATATCATATTTCGTTTAGGAGATGTAGCATAGAGCCATTGACAGTTTTTAAATTATCATTTTTTATAAAATGTATATGACTCAAATTATTTTATTGATACTTTAATAAAAACCTCTAGAGCATCTCCCGATATAGAATCCTCTATATGTTTCCAAGCCTCGTACTTCCAACGTAGATACCAAAGAACCTAACAATATGGCATGTTTTGTGCGACTATGAATTATCTTAAGTTAAACTTTTCAAAATTTAATTACTATGAATTTTTCAATAACCTCTAATATATCACATCGGTCATTTTAACACTTTTTCGATGATTATCCAATTAATTGTAATTGTCCATTTTCCGATTCCTGGTGGACCGGCTTTTTATCTATAGGTCTCCTGAAAAAATGAAACCGATTGAACCACTTTTTCATTGTAACATTACCTACTCTTTAATAGACACATAGGCCCGCATTCAGCGCATCTGTTTAACTTTAGAGTGACTCTAAAGTCGCGCCTTTAACTTGACAGATTTACATTGTTGTTTTGGAGTAACTAGGGACTCGAATCGCGACTTTAGAATCACTCTAAAGTTAAAAAGAGGCGCTGAATACGGGCCATAATCTTTAAAATCGTAAAAAAAATGTTTGAACAATTAATTGTTTGAACATACCAAGCGTCCAAGGTTGATCGCTGCATTCGTCCGCTGATTCATCGCGCTGAAGCCGCGCCTCTCCTCACTTCGACTGATTCTGTCTTTTTACTGATTGCAGCGCTCGAACTTGGACGATCGGTATACTTCTCGAGACATAAATTTCTCGAGATGAATAAATTATATCAAAGTATAAACGGATTAATAAGATTTTAGGTAAGAATTATTTCTATAATTGATGGTATATAAAAAGACAACTTACTTAAACTTAATTATTAATCAATTTATTAATATAATACCAAACAATTTACTTCTTAACCGGAAATAAAACATCCGCAGGATACGTTTCCAACAATTGTATAAAAACATTGTCGACAGGAAGTTTTACTAATTTCAATACAGCCGGGAAAACTTCATCCGTGATTAAATCGGCGTTCTCGTTAAGAATTTCGTTCGCTCTGGTGTTGAGCTCGTCGTCTTTGAAAACGTTGGTAAAATGAAACCTTTCGCTTTTACTTTTCGCTTTTAAATCAGTACTTTTTACTTTCAAATACTCTTTACCCTTCTTGTCGACGATATCGAATGTGCCGGTGTACTTTTCACTCAGTTCCCCTAAAAAATATCTAATGAATTTTCACCAACAACATTTTTATGAACAAAAACAACTTACGGAAAGTTCCTTCGAATTTTCCACCGGTATTCAACTCAAACACCATGATCTTTCCCCTAATGGCGTAGTCCGTTTCTATTCGAACTTCTCTAATAATCCACTCCATGTCCCATGTCCTTTCCTCGTAATTAAAGATAATACTCTTCACCTTATAATCGTTAATATTATACGCTTGAATATTACTCATATTTAACTCCAAGTTGTTCCAGAAAAGCTGCGTCGCTGGTAAAGGGTATGGGTTGAGGTTCGGGATTTTGAGCTCCGCAATCCCGTTGATCAACTTAGGCTGCAGCATTTCCACGTTCTTTTCTATGCATTTGCTCAAATTCGGATCGTTTCTGTAGCATTGTTGAACGTACGGAGCTAAAACAAATTGATAGATTCGTTAGATAAACCTGTTCTTGCTATTATAATACATTATAAATTATATAGCTATTATAAAGTACATACAAACATATACTATTTGCTTAAATTTGAGAAATGCGAACTTACGTAGTTTTTTAGCAGCTTCTACATACACAAAACAAAATAATAGCAATATTAACATGATTTCAACAAGGGAAGACTAACATTTAATTGAATAATATAAATGTATTTTATATGTTTGTGCACCTTACAGATTACATTGAAAATGGCAAATACTTGTTTTTATAATTAACTACTTATTAATTCAAATCACGCTAGTAAAAACTTAATTAGGAATAGAGTGGCACGTTAAAATGTATTTAAAATGTTCATTTTTAAGGATCTCAAAAGAGCTCAAAAATACTATCTTTAAATTGAGAAATTTTTATTTATTGATTTAATGTTTGCTGCTTTGTATGTTATTAATGATATGAATTACAAAAAAAATAACCCTTTCTAAAGGGTCATCTTTAGACACCTTCAATAAAGATAATTTAATTTATAAGGTGTTAAATATTCAATTGATATAATACCTATGTATAATATTTTTTGCTGTATTTACCGTCGTAGATATAGGAAAACATGTTGTTCACAACAATGTTTAAATAGGAGTCTTCGAAAGTCGGTTATTAATGAGTACTTTTTTTTTATAAAACACTCAGTTATTTTAGAAGTATACATCTATGTATATATGTATGTATTTGTGAAAATAACATGTTTACTCGTTATAGTATATCGTTCATCTAATATAAGTATCTATTAATTAGGTTTTAACCTTTTCTAATGTGCAAACTTTACCTTGTCAATATAAAAATTATGGAATATTTAAATTGAGGACTAATTACAGAGAAATTATTACAATATTGCTTACTGAAAAACTTTCAATTATAGTTTTTTAAAGTACCTATGTTAGTTACAAGAATTTATTACGAGTAAATTATGCAAGTTGAACAATGTATGAAAAATATTTTTTTTTAATGAAACACCCTGTTGTTTGTAAACTACGAAGTAGGTATGTAATTCAAGAAATCAAAGACCAGCAACTGCGTGTTTCTATCCTTATTCAATTTAAATTTATCATAAAAAATTGAAAACCTTGAATACCATAACACTAGAGTTCATTCAATTTATTCTAATTTTCTGAAATTGAAAAAGTAAATTATTAGTTTTATTTTAGGTATCCCCATAAAAATAATCCATAGGTGATAAGTCTGGACATCGTGTTGTCTATTTATTGGTATATATGTACATATTTTTCCAGTTTTATATTTTTCTAAGTATTATAAAAAGGAAAATAAAAATAAAAAATAAATAATAAAAATAAAATAGGAAATGAACCCTGTAGGTGTAGTCTACCATTAAATTTAATTTATACCGTTTGATTTTTTCTAAGAATTTTATTAAGCGGCGTATTAATTTTTATTACACATTTTTTATTTTAAAAATCTTGTAGATATTCATCTTTTTGGCAGAAAACTACTTTATGAATAAATTAATTAAATATTATAATATTAACGAAGGTTACTGTCGAGGTAATTAATTATATTGGGAGCATCTTTTGTTCAAATATATTTTTTATATGATGTATTCGTTAATCATTTATTAATTTAATTTGGTATCTTGGATTTGATTGGAGCATTTACGAACAATTTACATACCCTGCCGTATTTAAATTTAAAATTATTTTTTAAGAAATTCGAAGGAAAAAATTTTAAATTATTTTAATGAACACACATTTATAGCTTTTTTTTTGTAATCCCCGGAATTAGCATGTATTGTTTATATCAGTTATTTTTTCTAATTAACCAAAATCTGTTTATAAATAACAAGTCTGAGATTTAATAAGCCCACTAATTCACTAACAGTCTCGCATCTTTCGGTTACACACAAGATGAAAATCCTCGCGGTGTTTTTGGTTTTATTCGGCTGTGCGTTTGCTAGAAAATTGCGTAAGTGGATTATCCTGAGGATTTCCGGAATTTTTTCGAAACTCATTGTTTTGTTGCAGCGTCGTTTATCGAAGTGTGTAAACCAAAGGAAGTGGATGTATCCGAATGCATTACAAGAAATGTAGAAAACTTGAGGTCGAAATTAGCACTCAAAGAAGGTATCCCACAGATGGGCATTCCCAGCATCAATCCTCTCATTATCCCAATAGCAGACCTCAAAATTGGAGATCTCCATGTAAGTAATATTTTATATTTTTGAAATACATAGTAAAGATCCGATTTGGAACCAATTCATACTAAAAATGCATGGTACATTTTTAAGGCGACGTTGAAAAACATTAAAGTCTGGCATGTACCTGAGTTTGTACTAGAAAACCTAAAAGTGGATCTGGGAGACTCGATTCGCGTGGAATTGAAGGTAGTCTTCCACAAAATTTTCGCAGAAGCAGATTACGATATTAAAGGAAAAATCCTCATATTAAATTTAGATGGAAGTGGACCTGGACAGATTAACGTCAGTGAGTACCAAAACAATACTGTTGTATTTATCTACTTTTACGCCAAAAATTTCATTTAATTTGCCACGAATATAGAATTTGCAACAGTAAATATTTTTTTGTTTCAGCCGAATTGGCAGCCACCGTTGTGGCAACTGGTAAAAAGGTAATAAAAAATGGAAAATCATTCCTGTCCCTAGACGATTTTAAAATTGATCCTACCATTGGTCGCTTGGATTTGAAATTTGAGAATTTGTTCCCTAACAACCAGGAATTGAGCGACAATGCCAATAAAGTATTGAACGATAATCAAGAAGTCATTGTAGAAGAATTCGCTCCGCTCGTTATCGATATCATCAAGGAATTAATTTCAAGTATCTTTAAAAACATATTTAGACGCTATAGTTACGATGTATTGTTTCCAAGCGCTTAACGCCAGTTTTTCCTGTTAAATTAATTTTTTGTAATAAATTATGTGTTTTCTTCCAGTATTTGTTTTATAATTTAGGTTTTTATTAAATATATTTACTACAAATCCCGTTGTTGTTATTCTGACTTAAACTGTCCTGCCATTATCAAATCAACATGCAGATTTATAAAAATAGCTCGATCAATCTAGACATTCGAGGGTAGGTACAAAAATTCCCAAAAAGCTGAAAGTTGGTGAAATTATTTAAAACATAATTATAAATTATATGTAATTATAATTATAAAACTACAATTTTTGTCTAAGCTAATTTTATGATAAAACTTTTGCCGTTTCGCTAAAAATTGCGATAAGCCCAATTTTTTGACCTTTGACTTTGAGTAAATTTTTTCCACAAATCGGATCGATGAGGACTTGTTATTTATAATTATGTTTTAAACAATTTTACCAACTTTCAGCTTTTTGGGAATTTTTGTACCTTCACTCGTATTTTATGTACTAATTTGACCGGACTAAAGGGAGGAAACCATTTTGGATACTTTCAGAATTAGTTTGTAAATTTCAGCACCCCGAAAGGGAATAAAAGTCGTATCTATCGTTATCGTAGTTGCATAAGTTCCAGTAACTTCTTCAGTAACTTTCAATAAACATTTTTGTCTGGAATTTTTGTGTACTAGAAAATTTTATCAATTATAGTGAATTATCATGCATCCGATTATCCTTAACTCTCTGTTTATCCTTATCATTATCTCCTGTTAACAGCATTTTTATGCAACCTTGGTGTAGGTCAAATCCAAAATTTCTATAAATTTCATCACTTCAGTGAATGCTGACTGTAGTTTTTAAATAGATATAACAGCTTAAAAAATCTGCTCCTAAGAGTTGTTCTTTGCAGACTATTAGAATGTATTCAGTTAACTTTGGAAATAACCCATAAAAAAAGTAGACCAATGTAATATCCATGCATTTGCATTTATCGCTAATAAGTTAAATTAAATCGTAAAATTTTAAGCATGACCACATTACTAAGGATTACTGCTCAAAATTGTATAAAATAAATGAGATCAAATAGCCTTGGAGTAAAGGTAAAAATTATTAACTGTATATTTAAATGCGATGGTCGGCAAAAAAATTTTCATTATGTTAACGTTTTGGAGTCGATATCGTGAATATACATAATAGTATACAGAAATTGGAGATGTTTACAACATGGACAACATTTAGAATATTTCAAAGGTGAGTTTACGGGTTAATTGTAGATAATTAGAATATGTAGCTACATAATTAACTATAATAGTTCGCAAAATATCATGAAAAACCCACCTAACTATTATTCTTGGTATATTTTTTATACAATAAGTTCATCCAATCATATTCAATGATTCCGGAATATTTAATTAATCGATCAGACTGATGAAAACTTGTTTTTAATATTGGTTGCCATAATCGTTTTTTTAGGATAATTGCAATAACTACGCAATCGGCCTTTGTTGACGTTTTTTTAATTGATTTCAGTTTATAAACTAGTTGCCTAATTTTGAGAATCAGTCCAAGAGAGTTTTTTTTGTCGTGCAGTCGAAAAACCTGTTGGAGATGAAGTATCTCTTGTTGTTTTCTTGTTTGGTCGGAGCTTCTTTAGCAAGAAACTTACGTAAGTCATGTTATCTCAGTTGTTATTGTTGTACTTTTTATTATTTTTATAAAAATTCATGTTTATTCATGTACTTGTTTATTTTTGTGTTCAAAATTTATTACTGTTTTTAACGACCACTTCTAAATAAAAGCGCCTATTTTTTTATTAAACTACTATTTAATTAATTAATCGACCACCGCAAATTTTTATTAGAATTTAGCTTCCAAATAGAATCCAAATAGAAATAAGTAATAAATACGTAACTAATTAATGAGTTAATATTGAAGTTATTAATTTTGCCGCAATAAATATTTGATGAACAAAAAAACCGCGTTTATTCTATTTTTTACTGTACCTAACAATACTATTTAATAGACTTACTTATTTTTTTAAATGTTTTAGCATATTATAATGTTAATATTTAGGCCTTTTACTTCAATTCAAATACAACGATTTGTTGATATCTTTCCACTAATAAATATTTTGTTATTACAGCATCGTTCGTGGAAGTCTGCAGGCCAAAACATGTAGACGTTAATAAATGCATACAGAGAAACGTAGATTACCTGAAAGGAAAATTCGATGAAGGTATTCCAGAATTACTGATTCCCTCCTTCAAACCTTTCATTATTCCTAACGCGTTTTTCCAATTGGGCAGTAATCTGCAGATGGAAGTGAAGAACCTGAAGCTTTATCTACCCCAAAGTTTCTCTCTACCAGAAATGAGAGCCGACCTGAAGAACATAAAATTCTACATGAAGTTGCATTTTCCCCTCATGCACATGTTGACCGATTACAACCTTAATGGGAAATTGTTGATAATTAATTTGAACAGTACAGGCTCCGGTACTATTAATATAAGTAAGTTCTGTTGAAATCAAACATATTCCCGAAGTTACAAAAAATATTTTACAGCCGACATGGTTGCGGACGTCGTGGCAAATGGAAAACTCCACAAGAAAAAAGGGAAAGACTACATAACAATCACCGATATAGACATCAAACCGAAAATTAAATCCTTAGATCTGAATTTAAATTTATTCCCCAACAATGCGGAGTTGCACGATACGGTAAGAAAGCTGTACAGAGACAACGAAGAAGTTCTAAAGGAAGATTTCATACCGGTTGTTGTTAAAATCGTTAAAGACATCATCATGAATTTAGTCAACAATTTCTTCGACAATTTCAGCTTTGACACTTTGTTTCCTGACGATTGAAGCTATCGTACAGTAGTTTTATTGAAGACCTTATCTTTGTATTAAAATACATACATACTTATAGGCTAATTATAATTTATTGCACACCGCTTATTAGTAGATATTGATAAAAGTATTTTCTTATTTAATTTTATTAATTTTATGCATAATTTGTCCTGAATACATGATAAGACATACCCCTTATTAATATAGGTTAACTGTGAGTACAAAATATAAATTTTATTTTTACACATATCACGGTTTTGTAACCTAATTACTTTTTCACCTTACCGTTGTTCATTCTTCATCTTTTATTGAATTAATTACAGAAAGATACAAGCAACAATAATTTCTTAATTTGGACACATTGAAAAATTGAAGTTTTCAAATTTTTGCTGTAAAAAATTCATTCAAATGTACAATACAATTAGAAATGATGTATTTCTATAATAATAAACTTGTTAGCGAAGTGACCAAATTCACACAGAAAATTATCTATTCACGTAATAGATAATCTGATACATATGTAATTGTTATTTATAAATGGATAACCACAGTGATTATATTTTATTCATTGTCGTGCTCGGCTTGAATTTTAAAGAGACAATTTACAAACATAAATTATTATTATCAATTTGCGACTTTTTCGCTTTAACTATAGACAGTTTTAAAGCAATCAACTGTAAGGCACAGTCCTACAATGGCCTCGTTAGTAAAATGTGCGTTAATACTTAGTGCAATTATTCCAGCATTAAGTTATAAAGAAAGTAAGTAAAAGAACAATTTAGTTCTCAAAAAATTCATTCTAACTTATCAGAATATTTGTTAATAATTTGAACAAGCATGTAATTGAAACACCAATGTATAAGTACTTGCATATACTGTGATAACACTATGTAAGCTATGTTAATAAAAGCCGAGTGAACTAATAAACTTTTACCTTGAAATTCAACAGTTGTCGCCTTACTTAAAAATACATAGGCGTGCTTCTATAAAACAACGCTGCAATTTATTACAGACCAAACGTATTGGAGGCAAAAAGGAGCTGAAGAATTAAACGAAGCCCTGAACTTGAAGCAAAGAAACGGTGTTGCCAAAAACGTTATTCTGTTCATTGGTGATGGCATGGGAGTACAAACTATAGTAGCTTCAAGAATATACAGCAAAGGGGAAACCGGTTCTTTGGCTTGGGAGAAATTCAAAAATATGGGCGCATTAAAGGTAAGCAACTGTACTCCAACGAAATCCCTTAATATTGCATTGTGAATTATGTTTAGACGTATTCTGCGAATAAACTGGTTCCGGATTCCTGCAGCACCGCAACAGCCCTTTTCTGCGGCATCAAAGCCAATCATAAAACCTCAGGAATCGACGCTTCTGTCGATGTCAACGAATGCAAGCGTTCACTGGACAAAAAAACCCACGTGGATAGCTTCGCTGTATGGGCTTTGGAAGCAGGAAAATCAACAGGTACATAATAATACATAAGCGATAATTACTCATGCTTCCTTATTATCTTAATTGTTAACAGGTTTTGTAACTACTACAAGAGTTACTCATGCTACACCAAGCGCTTTATACGCTCATACACCAAACAGAGGCTGGGAATGTGAAGATAAAATGTCACCCGATGCCAAAGGAGTTTGCACGGATATCGCTAAGCAGCTCATAAACGATTACCCGGGGAATAAATTCAATGTAACGAGAGTAGTTTAGAAAGTTTCAAATGAAATAAATCTCGTTATTTTAGGTAATCATGGGCGGAGGAAGGCAATGTCTTCAATCGCCAGTGGTTGATAGTCCGAAGGATCCGGTTGATACATGGGGTTGCCGGAGCAAAGACGGCAGGAATTTGATTAACGACTGGCAAAACAACAAGAAAAAAGCCGGGCAAACGTACCAATTTTTAAGCAATACCGAGGAACTTAATAACACTGATATTACGAAAGACTACACATTAGGTAAGTAAAGGAGGTGATTTTATCGACGATTCAAATGGATGTTTTACAGGAGTTTTTGCCAACGGACACATAATGTACGACTACGAAAGAAACAAGGGACCAAAAGGCATGCCATCTCTTAGCTTAATGACCGAAAAGGCGATTCAGCTTCTACAGAAAAATAAAAAAGGCTACGCTTTAATGGTAAATATAACAAATTTTATATTTAAGGATATAAAAGTAAAGAATTTGGTAGGTTGAAGGAGGTATGATAGACCAAGCCCATCATCGAGGCAACGCAAGGATTGCCCTTGAAGAAGTAGTTCGTTTCAGCGAAGCCATCCAAAAAGCGGTAGATATGGTTGATTTGAGCGAAACCTTAATCATTGTAACCAGCGATCATGATCACTCGATGCAGTTAACAGGTTATCCAGATAGAAGAGACGGAGTGATGGGTAAGTGAATAATAAATATACAATTAAATTCTTTGTATTCATTCCTGAACTCTTTTTAGTCGAACTCTTCCAACTACTATTTTTTATAACTTTTTATTTTTTATTTTTCAGGAACTACAAAGTCGAAAATTGATAATGTTGGCTTTTCATCGTTATTATACACAACAGGAGGACCAAATAATTATCATTTTTCAGTTAAAAATGGCTCAGTGGTACGCGAAGATGCTTCTAAACAAAACACCAGCGACTGGAAATACTCACAACAAAGTGCTATTTTAAACGATGAAGTTACCCATAGTGGCTCTGACGTTTTAGTTTTTGCCGAAGGTAAAAACTTTATCTTATAATAACGCATTTACACTTACTATCACTGGTTTTTATATTTTGCTGATTTAAGTGAATGTTTGATGAAGCTTATTGTTGTTTCTATTCCAACCATCACTTAGGTACTATTGATTTCTTACATTTTGTATGTATGTACCTATATTAGTAATTTTGGTATTCTTTGTCCATCTTTTAATTTTTTATATGTATAATTCTTCTTTCATTCTTAGGTCCAATGGCGCATTTATTTAATTCTGTCCACGAGCAAACTCATGTAGCAAATGTTATAGCTTATGCATTGAAAATTGGTCCGTATAAAAACAGAGATCCATCCAGTGGGGCTACACAATACCATTGCAGTTACGTGCTAGCAGCTTTAATGACATTGTTAATTTATTTTAATTAAATAAATAATAGGATACTTTGTAAAATAAAATAAGCGCCACGAATTTTCTAGTTTTTTTTTTCAAACAAACCATTTAAATCATTATTAATTATTTATTTTAATTATTGCCTAATTATAATAATCTAAATTGCCAATAAAATATCAAGTACGTCAATATTTACTATCTATAAATGGGTATAATAATTTGGCATACCTGTAATTTTATTTAAATATGTAACTCGTTAGCAAAATCAATAAATTTTAATAATAAAAATTAATCATTGAACTTTAGACAAATATAAAATTTACCAATATTAAATTCCTTAATTTCAAAAAAAATTAACAAAAGAAATAAATAAAATTAAACATTCTAAATCTTCATAACGTACACAATACATTTTAAATTGGTCACCTAAAAGCTAAAGCTCCTTACATGGCAATTTAAACTAATTACCTAGTTTATATAATTTTCCATAATTGGGATATATACAACCTTTACCTAAGCATTTATAAAGTGCTATCAGTAATCTTGCCATTAAAACTGTTATAAACAAATGAATATTATTGCAATGTTCTATTTAAAATTTCCACCACTTTATTATATTGTCCATCTTTTTCAGTGGATGGGGAATATGAACACCTTGAAACTTGACCGACTCGTGAATGATCCGGTATGTTTATTAAAGCTTTATAAATAATCCAATGAATTGTTTTCAATCAGTATTGTTTTGCTCGCCGATTTAATTACTTTATTAAAATAATGCATTTTTTGGTTGTGCTTCTATGTCTAGTTATAACCGTTGTTGAAGGAGCGAATTTACGTAAGTTTTTATGAAAAGCCGTGTTAATTCTGCAATTGAATTATTTATAATTTAATTGTTTTACATAAAAAGTTTATCAAGTGGAAAATCCCTTAAAATCTGTGGTTAGAAGCCATAGATGCCGTCGAATTTTTGTCAAAATTGAGTTATCGGTTCCACTATATTCCTCTCGTTGAGATTCTAAACACAAAATGGTATAGGTATAACAATAAAGTTTTACAGTAAAGCATCAAACAACAACTTGAAAAATTCAGATTCCAAAATTAGCTCCAAAATTTCATAAATTCAACATACGAAAAAATTACCATATAATATAAATAATCCAATTGTAGCCTCCTTCATAAAAGTGTGTAAGCCGAAAGAAGTGGACGTGTCGGAATGTATAAAAGAAAACGTGGAAATTCTGAGGCCGAAATTCCGCCAAGGAATCCCCGAGCTGCAAATCCCCGCGTTTCGGCCACTGCGAATTCCCTCTGCAGACGTGAAATTCGGGGAAAACTTCAAAGCCAGCCTGAAGAACATCCAATTGCGGGTGCCGAAAAGCTTCGAAATGAAAAACTTCAAAGTCGATTTGGACCATTTCCGCTTGCAGTTCACCATCAGGTTTCCCGAAATACGATCGCAGGCCGACTACAGGCTCAATGGAAAATTGCTCATACTGAATTTGGATGGCACAGGGTTCGGTCGAATCGATTTATGTAAGTATTTTTCACCGGAATTGTGAACATTTTCGCGCTATTTTACTCTTTGCAGTTAATCTCGAGGCGACCATAATTGCGAATGGTACAATAGAAAAGAAAAACGGAACGGATTACATTGTGCCGGATAAAATAGATATCCAGCCCAAACTCGAAAAGATGCTCATAGATTTGGACAATCTTTTCCCGAATAACAAGGAATTAAGTGTTGAAGCTAACAAAATACTCAATGAAAATCAGATCGTTCTTTTTGAGGAATTCAGCCCGCTTATAACTAACATAGTAAAAGGGGTAATATCGAATTACATTAACAACTTTTTCAAGAGATTTAGTTATCAAACTTTATTCCCGGATAAATAGATGAATTTTATGAATAATTTCTTGTATTTTTTATTGATTAATAGGTAGGTAGGCAATAAATTGTAGATATTAAATGAACATTAAATACTCCTATTTAATTTTTTGAACATCGAACCTTTCATCATTAAAATGATTAATCCTTTGAGCGCTGCGAGAAAGTAAAAGTGTGCCTATATAAATTGCGTTATTTCAACGCATTAAACAAACCGTATTTTTTTCGAATCAATTTCACTAATTCGATCGAGATCGGCGGGTCTTTTAAGAGGCATCATTTACCATTGCAGTACTGCGAGAATTAGAAGGCGAACGCACATGTATGTGAAAATAAGTTGAATAAAATGAATATTTTTCAACTGAGGTCGGGCATCAATTGATGCATTACCATGCCCATGTCCGATGTCGAGAAAGTTTCTACCGTCGATGCCGCTTTTGCTAATAGGAAAAGAAAAAAGTCGATCTTGAAGTGGTTTGATAACAATCGATCTATAGTGTTCGTTACGATCGATTTTACATAGGCAACTGTAGAGTGATGTGCGCAAAATTCACCTCCGTATTCAAATGGGTAATTCTCGTGTCGTCGATGTGTGTTATTAGAGGTAAGTGTCATTATACAGTAATTTCTGATAACTATTTTTGTTTAAATAAACTTACATTAATAAAATCCGAATTTAATATTAATAATATGCCACAACTACTATAGGTCATAATGATTCTACAAAACAATTCAAATAAAAGCTTGATGAATTTTGTAATTGCTAAAAAGAACTATAAACCTCAAAAAATCAAGCAAAATATTTGCAGTAATTAAGCACCAAATTAATGACCTTTAATAAACATTAATAATCCTATAGATGCAATAATCTCATTAATGAAAGTGAATTAAATATTTTAATTTAGACTTTCTTCCTTTACACTGGTTATGTCTGTCCGAGAAAGTTTTGGAAATACTGCAAAACAAATTAATATATTATACTGAAGTATGCGAAATGACATTAAAATTATAAACAGTATTTATAAAGCGGTTTATTTTTAATGTGAATATCTAATGCGCGATAGTTCGTGTTAGTTATGGAAAAAGTGAAATATTACCAACTGAACTGTGAGAAATTTATTTAATTCAGAGAGAACTGAAGTAATTGATATACAGGGTATCAAGCAAATAGTGGACAACGTATAAAGAATACTCATGAATATACATAATAAAAATAGTTCAGCCAAATTCAGCTTAAAAAACTACAAACAACTGTATGATCTACATTTATGGAATAATTTGCATTAACTATTGCAATTTTATAACAGATTAAATAGAAAAGCTTTGAAGAGAGTTTTATAGAGAGAACTTTTTCTTGGCACTTACAACAAATTACGATCGTTAATTTCCTTTTAATACTTTTAATTATTGTTGGGGAGTAATAAAACCGAAAATAAAAAAGTGAAAATCTTTAATGTGCAGGTACGCCAAGAAAATATAGTAGTGCTTCGAAGTAATAATAACGGGCAGGTGTTCGAATGCGTTATTCAACGATTAATTTGTGTTTATCGCGTGATTAAACAATTAGAAATGTCTAATTCTATGTATAAGATTTTCATGAAATAACAGCTCATTTTAAGAAGTCGGATATTATTAAAGTAGAAATGCGGGATTATGCTCGTAACGTAGAATCGAAATTAGTAATTACAGATATTAACAATTACATAAATAGAACAGAAGCATATTTTAACCGACTTACATAAATCTAATCGAGCATAGAAATAAATATCACGAGTTAAAACTGTGGATTTTAAAACAAAGTTCTCCTACAATCTTCCTCCTGCGAAAGGTTTTAAGATACAGTGTCCACAAATCTTCAACTTACAATGTTTCTTGTTAAATTAATCCATAGAAATATAGGGGAATTGATGAGACTTTATGTTCTTAGCGGCCTTTAGTAGAAGAGTAAAATGCTTGGAAAACGGCCGTTTCTACCGCGACCCGAACAGGACTATACAAAAAATGTGGACATCAGAAGAGTGCTCCAAGTATTTTTTGTGCCTGGAAGGAGAAGTCTTCGATTTCAAATGCTCAACGGGACTTCTATTCGACGTCAATCGACAAATATGCGATTTCAAATTAAACGTGGATAACTGCGATATAACAGCAGGTAAATTTTTTTACCATACCTAATGCAAAGATGTTGGAAATTCTCTAGACTAGATTCCTGTATTTAACCTGTTTTTAGAGGCGGTAATACCAAAACCGTTGCTGAAGGAAGCGAAATGCGATGATGAAAATCATCTGGGTTGCGCTGACGGTACTTGTTTACCTCAAGAGTACTTCTGTGATGGTTCTTTAGACTGCTCAGATGGCAGTGACGAAGGTTATTGCGATGTAAATAACGATCCTAACGCAGCGACCTCTTGCGATCCTCTGGCCTGCTCCTTGCCTAATTGTTTTTGCTCCAAGGATGGTAACTCAACTTCTTTAATTTCATTTCTTGGCGATACAATTTGGTGAATCGTTTTAGGAACCAGACCACCCGGAAATCTTCCGATATCATCTACACCACAAATGATAACTATAACATTCGATGATGCTGTTAATGACGATAATTGGGACCTCTTCAACAGAGCTTTATTCCTGAAGCAGTACAAAAATCCCAACAATTGTCCAATAAAGGCGACTTTCTTCGTCAGCCATCAATACAATAATTATTATTACACACAAAAATTGTGGAATGACGGACACGAAATAGCCATTCATTCTATAACGTAATTAAATTTAACAACTAACCTAAAAGTAAATTCGATCAATTCTAAGCAATTATGTTTAATACAATCCACTCGCTTTATAGTTTTCCAAATAGGTATTTATACACCAGATTGATCAGAAATAATTTTGCGAAAGAAAGTGTTTAATAACTGTTTGAACAAAGATATTTTTATCTCTAGGCACCGAGGTCCGGAGGAATGGTGGTCAAACAACGCTACCATCGAAGATTGGTTTGACGAAATGGTGGGTCAAGCGAACATACTGAACCGATTTTCCAAAATTCGAATGGAGGACATCAAAGGGCTGCGAGTACCGTTTCTAAGGATAGGCTGGAACAGGCAGTTTTTGATGATGAAAGAATTCGGTTTCGTGTACGACAATTCCATGGTAGCCCCGTTTTCGAATCCCCCGTTGTGGCCTTACACATTGGATTACAAAATGCCTCACAAGTGCATGGGTAAGAATAATTCCACCGCTAACTGCCATGATGTAAGTATTTTTTTTTTCAGGAAATAAGCAACTGTGCCCGTCTAGATCGTACCCTGGTGTATGGGAATTGCCGATGAATCAATTAGAAACCAGCGATTACACTTGCGCTATGGTGGACTCGTGTCCCCCTACGCTTTCAGGAAGCGAAATGTTCGATATGTTAATGCACAATTTCAAGAGGCACTATTTAAGCAACAAAGCTCCATTCGGCCTCTACTTTCATTCAACTTGGTTCAAAAACCCAAGTTACCTATCCGCATTTCAAGTAAGTCACTCAAACAAATTATTAATAACACAGTAAATTCGAAATTTTTTTGCCTCACTTTATTAATATACCATTATTACTATACGTCTTCTCCACTCACTATTTGCAATTTCTAACGAATATTATGCTTCTCCTTACAAGCATTCACAGCCTCATTGAACCCTTGGCACAAAGTGATGTCGCTGTTATCAGCAGCGCAATCCAACAGCCGCTGGATCTCGCGGGCGCAGGGCCCCACGGGCTCTTCGAGTTTCCTCTCCGGGTGGGCGTCGCGGGATCCCCCGCCCATCATCCCGGTGACCGCTCTGCCCACCGCGTGCCCGACGGCGGATCCGACGGCCACGCCGCCCGCCGTCGCGGCCATTTGCCCGAATAAACCAGGCTGCTTCTGCTCTTTGACGCCCCCGTATTGCTTGGGCGGATGCGCCGGCGCGGTTGAGTAGCTTCTTTTGTTGTGCGATGGGGAGCCGCTGCGAGCCTGGCGTCGAGGCATTTTCAAACTTTAATTTGTACTGCTGAATAACACGATTCGAATTTTAACAAAACTGATGACACATTAGATGTTTAGTGAAGGTTTTGACAGGTGTTCTCTACTACTCAAATTACTCGAACGTTAAAGATTTATCTACATCACCTTTAACACCTACACTTAGTTAAGTAAAAGTATTTAGTTAATTTTAATTTTCTTTCTCAGCGGTTCATCTCGGAAGTGCTGAAGCAACCAGACGTGTGGTTCGTAACGAACTCGCAGGTAATCGATTGGATGAAGAGGCCCAAGACGTTGGACAAGCTGAGTTCGTTGGATTCTTGGGGTTGCAAAAGGTACTTGGATGCAACCGAGTTGGCGTGCAGTTTGCCGAACATGTGCAAGCTGTACAGCAGGGTTTTCCAGCAGGATAGGTATTTGTACACCTGTTCCGAGTGTCCGCAGAAGTACCCTTGGATCAGGAATGAATTCGGATTCGATTGATGGTAAAGTCGATGGAAGTGTAGTGGAGAGACTGATTGATTTATTTATTTAATGTTGTTGAATAGGGAATGCATTTGTAGGGGAATATTGGAGTGTTGTGTAATTTGTTTGTGCCAAATAAATAATTCTAAGGTGTGCGTTTTGATTATTTATTATAGTAATCATACGAGTATAATAAATTTTGTCATTTATCTAGCTAATTTAATTTCGAGTTAATAGTAACACCTTTATAAAAAGTTCACTTTGTGGGATTATAATTGAATTGCGTGGAATCGATTTCAATTACCAGCGTAGCTATCGAAACCGCCACGACGTGAAGTAACAGGTTACTATGGAAATAAACAATTACTTGGCAGCTAAAGTAACACTACGGCAATCTGTCTTTCGATTTTTTATTAGTAGTGTTAAATTCGTTATTCCTGACTTTTTACAAAAACCAATCGGATAATGTCTGGTTTGGAATTAATATCAGACCTTTCGGACAAGAAATTGGTCACGTTGCCGAAGAATGTGCTCGATATGGTCAATTTGAAAATGCTGGTTTTGGAAGGGAACTTCCTCACCAGGCTTCCCGAAGACCTATTTTGGAGATTGCCGAATTTACAATGGCTGGATTTGAGGAACAATCTCCTAGAAGCGATACCGACGAGCATAGGTTTCCACGAAAAATTAGAAAATCTGTTATTGACTAATAATAGTTTAGAAAGGCTTCCTAACGAATTAGGTAACGTAACCACATTCTAAAAAAATATTTTGCACCAAGAAACTTATTATTTGCAGGGACGGTTCCGAATTTAAAGAGCTTACAAGTCACCGAAAATCCTTTGATTTACCCGGAGAGAAAGGTGATAATGTGCGGCACTAAAGCTATCAAAAGTTACCTGAAAACGCAATACGATTTAGCGAATAGAGAAAGCAAAGAGGAAGAAGACATATCCGATAAAATCACCGAATTAGACGAACATTCGCTACAAGACGACTATTTCGATGAGGTAAGAAAATCCAAAACCGAACCGAATATAATTTCTGACGAGGAAGCGAAAATTAAGAAGCTCAAAAACAGAATATCCGATGATCAGTGCATCAATCCCGACTTGGAAGTTAGGAAACTTCTACCGCCGATATTAAGGAAGAAAGACGCGCAAGAACCGATGAAAATTATACATAAAGTCACTTCGGATGATAACAGAATATCTTTGAAATCCTTTTACACGAAGCCCACACCCAAAAATCAGAAAATGCACGAAAAGAAGTATCAAAACCTGAAGGATGGCTGGTTGAACGAATTGAGAATATTGCTTACAGATCAAGAAAGAATTCTGCAACAAGAAAGGTAACTTACACACTAAAATACAAGCAATCTATAATAAAATTCAGTCCTACATAGATATATACAGGGTGTCCCAATTAAACAGGGATATTACAAGGAAATAGGAAAAGCACCTAGACAATAAAACAATCTTTTTTTAGGAATCTTAGATCGATAAGTAATTGGAGGCTAAGGAGAAAGATGGAACCTTACAGAGAAATGCCTGTGGAGAAAACCAAGCCGCCGTTCGACACCGATCCGCAGTACGAGAAGATGATGACCCGAGAGGAATTGGCGAAAACCCTCAACGAATTCAAGCAAAAAGGTTTCATAAAGCCGGGCGAACCGAATTCCACGACGCCCGTTCAGCTTCAGACGATGATCAAGCACATAATGGACCAGCTTAAGGAGTTTGAGCTGGAGAGCGACTTGGGAAGTAACTCGATCGAAATGGATCGGGCAGAAAAGCAAATAAGAACCGTAAGAATTGATTTTTTATTAATGCATGAAGGTTGATGTTTATTGTAATTACTTTTCAGATGATGGACATTCAGAAGAAACTGATGAGCTTGAAATCGCTCAACGACGTGACCTTATAGAATGAAACGCGCCTTTTAACTTCAAATAGTCTTTTTTTATTAAAACATAAATTATAATGTACAATAAAGTTTTTTTCTGATGAAATAAATCCGTTACAAAATATAACTTGGGAGTATAATACTAAAAATCACAAAACAAATTTCATTATCTATGTTTTAGTCGATAGAATCTTAAATAAATAAAGCAACAAATATGAAGAAACAGTCGATCACTGTAGAATCAGTTCTGGAACATTCTCATCAAAAAGTCCTTCCCATTACGATTTTGCCTTTGATAACCTCTTGAGTATTTTCCACGAATCCCAACTTTCCGTAAAAAGCGTGAGTATAACTATCAAAAGTGTTCATTACAACATGAACACCAAACGATCCTAAAAAATATAAAATTTATATAAATTATCGATTATAAATTAAACTATTTCTACTCACCATTAGCTCTCAACGCTGCTAATAAACACGTTACAAGTCTTTTACCAACTGACTGATCCAAAACCGATGGCAATAAACTACATATCATGCTAGACGCATGAGAAGGGCTGCTAACATACACTTCATCCTTAAAATTATGGAAATACGCCGCTGATTCCTAAAACAATAATTTAGTAAACTTGCTATAAATATCGCGAGTTAATCGAATCGTACTTGAGCGAACTTGTGGAGATTTTTGGCGCAATCGATCGGATATTTCTCGCACATTTCTGGTATCCAAGCCAGTTCCTGCTTCACCCTGAACTTCTTATAATCCGGCGCCGCGCATGCGTATCCGACGATATTCGATTCGTCTTCGACCACGAAACAAAATTCCGGATGAAGAGTAATATAAGGTCCGATTAATCTATCAGCTTGAAGATCCTAAATAATACCAAACTATTATTATCTATTCCATATACGAGTATAGGGTGTCAAAATCATAATGGAGGCCATATTAAACAGTTTTCTATCATCTTTTAAATCATCTTATCTCAGAAGTCTGTAGTTAAGCCATGTTCCAACCTTTTTGCGACACCCTGTATATCTACGTTTAATTACCTTGAGATTGTCAGGATATGGAATGGGATCTTCGAGGCCGTCTTTGCAAGTTCGAAGACAAACATTGTAAACTGTTTGTTCGTCCGATGGCAGGTAAGGTCTAATTGTGAACACTTTGTTGGTGGGGACCTCTGGTACTTTGTACACAAACAGATCATTACCCGAATCCACAGGAATGAGTCGCTGAAATTAAAAATATACTTGTAAATGATGTACAAGAATGAGTTGAAAAATTAAATTATTCCTCTTATGAAGTCGAAATGTTTATATGTTTCCGGAGCGTTATAAATGGTTCTAAACAGTTCTAAATGTTTCTGGAGCGTTCTAAATGGTTATAGACAGTTCTAAATTATTCTGGAGCGTTCTAAATGACTATGAAACGTTCCAACGTTTCTGGAGCGTTCTAAATGACTATGAAACGTTCCAACGGTTCTGGAGCGTTCTAAGTGGTTCTAGATAGTTCTAAATGATTCAGGCCGAGAACTTTTCACCCTACCGTCGTGTATAAGAAAAAATTAATTAGAAGTACCTGTAAGTCTGCGGTTAAACCTCCTCTGAATACCCATGGCTCCTGGTCGCCGCTCATGAAAGTCTCTTTCCATCCTTTGGAAAACCCTGGACAGCGAAAACATATTGAATTAATTTTTGTTCGTGAAATAAGTCGCAGTAGCGCAGCAGTATTCGGCAAATTTAGAAGCTTTTACGCCAATGTATCACAGAATGAACTATACAACGCTTTAACTACTTACTTCTAAAGCAATAAATAGTACAGAGATTATAAAAATTTTGTACATTATTACACGATTAAAATTACTAATTTATTGCTTTCAGTAAAGACACTCAAAATTTTAACTTATTGCGCATTTTTTTGTAATCAATTTGTTTCAAAATTGAAAAAAATAAAGTTAAAACTTTGATTTGGCGTGCACGTTACGCAACAGCAGCTAATGATTTACGCTAGCATTGCTAAAAAAAATCCTAGCGAATTGAAATGGATTTTTACGCCAAAAAGCGACATCTGACCATCAGGAAAGTATACTAAGTTCCTTAAAGGTGCGTACATGTGTAGGTCCCCTGGGTGTACGAAGGCATCGATGGAGGAAAATGACCGCCAGCTTCAGAAAAAAAATAAAAGTAAATTAATATTAATTACAACAAGTCTGCAGCCTTTGTTGAAGAAACGGCAATTCAAGTGAAAAATTCAGATTCCTGGTCGATCGCCTAGACAGAAATTTGATTTTCCACTATAAAAGGTCACTTCATAATGATTGTAGAATTAACAGTTCAATAAACTGATTATTATTATTAACGTGTTGTTAAACCTTTTCTGTTGACAAAAATAACTATTATCAATGAGATACGCAAATATTTTGTTTGCATTGTTTATAAAACAAAAAGTCAACAGATCGGTTCGTAAAAGAAGCAATTAAATTCAAACTAAACTTTGTCATATCGAATCGAATTCTACGAATAATTATGAAGCAAAAGCAGCTAAAAAAATCGAAACGATAAACTCATCCCATCAATCACACAAAAATGTATTTTACATAATTCGATTATTTTTGATTTTTAGTTTGTAAATACGTAAGTGTTCTATTACAAAAAAAAATTATTTACGCAAGAGCTGTTGATTCGGAGGTTCCGTATTCGCTATCCTAACGCCTTCTCTAAAATATGTTTAAGCGCATTCTAACACATTACGCCAATAGAACACTTAAAAAATTCAAACGAAAAAATAAAAACAAATATTAAAATTACAAAATACATTTTTGGTGTTCTTACTAGATATTAGAACTCGCTAAGAAATTTAATAGAACTAAAAAAATTGGAATAATATAGTAAATTGTTGTATGAATGTATAAATTAGCATTGCAGTTATAATATCTGTAAACAAAATTAATAACTAGAAGAACTGATTTTCTATAAAGCGAATAAAACACTAAAATATTATAAAAATCCAAAAAAGAAATCACATTCTTCTAATTAACCCTGTTAAATTTTGTTATACGTACCTAACCATTTGACATAAGAATTTAGCAATGAAATGACGCCTCTCATATCCCATATGTATGCGTACAAATCATACAGAAGTTCTCTGTTATTAGAATTGGAAATGCGCTCGTATAATCTATTCATCGCTTGCGATATCTCATTTATTTTTTCCGCTCTTAAAAACCATTCTTGAACCTGTAAAAAATTTTTCAAATTAAACTCAAAAACAAAATCTCGCTTTAAGGGCGCCACGAACATCTACTAATTAAACTATTCTCATCCCATCTACTGTTGAAAAATTTTACCAAAATTCGGAATAGTTTTTACCCCACGAATTATAAATTTGAGGGCGAACTTAGGCGGCCTTAATATTTACCTCTGGACTAGTTTTGTCCTTCCTTTGATTAGCAACGATAACCAAATGCGCATTAGATTTCAACCAGTTGAACTCTTGAAGCAATTGCAATCCTTGACCACCGTGTTCGAAAGGTAGATAAAATAAGTCACATAATAAGGCCAGATCATCAGTAGTTAATTGCGGTAGTTTGCTAAAAAAACAACTCATTAAATCACAACAAGTTTAAAATTCATAACATTATTTACCTGTCATTTTCGCCATTATTTTCTACAACCATCTGGTTAACATCAATCTGCATACTGCCACTAGACGTCTGTAAAATACAATTCGTTATTCGAGAAGATGCAGTAAGAGAAGTTTACAAGTCTACTACTACTAACGGGACGCAGGCGAACCATGAGCGAGACAGTTCAAGCCAAGGTTCAGGCACTTTGGCCTCTGGTGGGCCCATTGTGCCATTCCTGCTGCTTATGCATCGATGAAGCCGAGTCCCTCGACGAAGGCCTCAGACATTTTCAATTGATGCCTGTTTGTATCTCCAGGAGCCATAACAGGGACTCCAAAGATTCGCCTGACAGACCAATTTCAGACACTCTATGAGGACATGGTCCGATGTTTCATCAGCCATGCCGCAGCCCCTGTAAAGGGGACTTTCCTCTAAACCTAGGTTATAGAGGTGCTTTCCCAGACAACAGTGCCCCGTTACAAATCTAACAAGTCACTTACCGAATTCTCGCTCATTGCAACATCTTCGCTGGATCCGTTGGTGCATTTGAGTCCGTGGGCTGGCGAGATGTTAGGCGTACTATTGCAATCCATGGGTTCCGATGGGCTTAAACTGGATTCGTTACTTAAGCTATTATCAGTATTCATGGTAGATTCGTCTTTATCCTTGATGAGATTAGCGTTTTCAATCTGGCTGTCACCTGTAGCTTGCTGGATAATTTTCTGTTTTTCTTGCTTAATGATTGTTCCGCTTAGCATTGTGACAGTTTTGTTTTCAGAAGCAAGGATAGGTACTGGTATGGGTACAGTAGTTATTGGATTAGGGATAGAATCGTTACAAATGACTTTTGTAGGGGATACTAGGGAATTCATGACGGGACCTGGCAGGGGATTAACAGCACTTTCGCTACAAGTAGAAACCTACAACAAACTCCTAATGTATTTCATATGATTCATCATCGTAATGAAACTTACCGTGCTGCAAACTTCTGCTAAAGCTTGCAATTGATTCGAAGTTACTACCGATGTATTGCTTGAAGATGTAGTGGTACTAGTTGAGGTTAAACTCATACAAGTATTGATTGAAGGTATAATAGGCACAGGCACAACTGTAAAAAGTATGTAAATAAAAAATAATAGTATAAGTAATTTTTTATGTTATTACTAGCTACTTGAGGTTGAGGTTTTGTGATTGGTCCCCAAGCTGTTTTGTGCTTGAAAAACTCAGGCAACCATTCTTTTATGGCGTTTTTTAATGCTTGTCGAGGATGATACATGTTTGGCGACAATGTTGATGGCACATCTTCACCCGACAATCCGTCTTCAGTCTCAGTCTCTAATTTGATATCGGCAGATACCGTATCATCTAAAAGAATTACCGTTAAGTAATCGAAATAATTACAAAATTATTCAATGCTTACTTATGGAAGGATCCCTTTGAGCATCGACGTTACATCTGGACCATTGGGCTAGGGTGTGAATCGCTACAAAATTGGCCCCGTATTCACAATTCGGATTAGTTAAAACGCCCCTTAACTTGGGTATGAGATCAGGCGATCTACCCGAGTATGGACCTAAAAATACGCGCTTTTGGTCGTAATCGTTGGCATGTAAATTGTCCCAAATAACAGGCGGACGACGTAAAGCATCAGTAACTTCTTGAATATTTTCCTTCGTCAGTATTCTCGAAATTACTTTTTGCCCTAGAACAATTTAAAATAAGCTAGTTATTTTATTATTATATTCAAAATAATGAATACCTGTCCACATAATATTAATATCTTGCGCTAATTTTGAACCTAAAGTGTTCAAATATTCAGAATTCGTTACGTTTGGCACAGCTCGGGTGGAACAATACTGCGTGGGACACAGTAAAAACTTGGGCTGGCCTAAATGCTGATAGCAGTCGTTAGTAATAGAAACTTGGGCTTGGGCGAACGACTGGAAGATTTCTTTATCGGCTTCCGACATTTCCGGCTCGATATCGTCAAATAGTAAGGCGAATGCATTGCAACCAAATTGCGAGACTTGCTCTAATTTCCTCTTCAGAGCGGCCACTTCCTTCGAACTGCTGTAGGTGATGTCTAAACCAGGAGATAGGGCGTAATAAAAAACTATGTTTTGATCTTTAGCTGCTTGGATTAATCCGGTCAAATGCTCTGCTTCTTCGACAGTGTACAATTCTCTCCAGTAGGCTCGGTGTTTGTAGTCGTCTTTCGGAGCGTACACATAGGAATTCATGCCCCATTTTTTCATTCTAGATAATAGTATCATTAGAATCCCTAATTTGCACTATTACGTGATTTATAATTGATTATAAACATATACTTACTTTTGAAATAAATCTTTCCTTTGTTCTGTTGTCCATGGTCTTCCATAAAAACCTGCAAAATTAAAAATTTAATGGGTTTTAAACAGATGTTATATACTCAGGATGTAAAGAAAATACGATTATTTCGAATAATTAGAAAAATATATATATAATCCATCGACTTACCTTCTACTACTCCACAAATAAAATTCCCATTTTTCGTATTCAAATTTTCAGGAATCGGTAAATTTGAATCTTCGGCCATTTTTTAGGTGCTTATTGCCTTATTGCTTAAATAGGGTATTGGAATTTTCCGATTGCAATTTTGCGCATACACCTACAAACACTACGAAAAAGGGAAAATTTTCTTCGAAAACTTTACTTTTAAACTGTAAGAAACATGAAACTGAAGGTATCAATATTTATAACAACTTTTGAAGTTATAAATAAACCTTTTATATTTGTATTGATGTCACTCCTAGTACGATCACCCGGCTATTTAGCTCGTTTTTCGTGTTTTATTTGTTACTCACTTCACTTCACTACAATCGCGACAGAAAAGAACTATTTGTGTATACAATTCCTTCTCTGTTTACCTCAAACAAATAAATAGTTAAAAAAAGACAGATTACAGACTGTAAATATAGATTCGCCAGAATTTATATTATAAACTAAAGTATGTAATAATTTAACAAAAGTGTTTAGAAATTTTTGCAAAATAATTTTAGAATAGCTATTTTCATTTTTTGTATGTAATCCGAATTCGTGGAAGAGTAGTCAGTAGTCACTATGATTCTAAAAAAGAAGATTTAATAATACTGACAAATGACATTTGGCAAGTATTTGACATTGACAAACATTCACTTCACTACATTATTCATCCTCGTTTGATAATTCGAGTTTGAAGAAAACTAAAGTTACATAACAAACGTAGCAAGAATATTATCAAAATGCACATCCGAAAACTATTAACCACCCCGGCAATCAGATCCTGCGTTAGACGAAACTACAGCGATCACTACAGCGGTCATCATGTCGCTCAAACGACCTACAATGATTTGCCCCAACCGCAGGGAAGTTGGAAAACCAACTACGATGCCAATCAACGCAAGTATACCGCACATTTAGTACTTGGAATTGGTGCCCTCACTGGTACCATTATATTCGGAAAAGCTATGGGATTTTTGGAATTCTACCATGACTTCCCCGAACGCCCAGCCGACAACCTGTCCTACAAATAAATTCTATTGTATATTGTATTAGTAAACCTGCATAGTGAAATAGTTTGTTTCTGATTTACATAATAAAGTAGTTAAGTACTTAATTTATTTTATTTACAGTAATAGCAATATGTATCTAGATATTCAGGGTTTCCTGTAGACTCATATTTTTAACAGGCTATCACAAACTATCTAAAGTATGTCATCTTTGCACGATATATACTTGGATATTTGTGAAATTCCTGAGAATCCTGATAAATACAGGATGGTTTTGTTTACCTCAACAGATTTGATATGAAATAATTTACCTAAAATTATTTCTGCACTTTTTTTCAAGAGTTAAACTAAAGACCTAAAGACTTTAAAAGAGCATACATTTATAGCAAAACATTTTAGCAGTATTGCAAATTATGGAGTAAATATAAGTATCCAAATAACAACAAAAGAGTAGATCAGAAATTTAGAAGAATTTCAAATTTCACTTAACCTATAAAAGTTCTTATCTAAATTCTAAATTATTTCAATAAATAAACAATTAATAATTGTTAAAAGCGCACTGTAACATCTCACCAGCAATCTGTGTTACATTGATTTAAATTTTTGTAAATGCTCTATTTTTATATCGATTTATGTGTGAAGTTATCAAAGTATAAAGTATTGAATATTTCCCTAATCAATTTATTTCAAGGTTGTTTCCATCGATAAAAAAATAACCCTGAACCCATATACATTAGAAGTTTATCTGAAGTTATTCACATACTGCTAGGTACTCAGAGCACTGCAGCTTGTTCTCAGAAATTCTAGAAAAATGCCGGTAACACCAAAGGTAAGAAAACTATATAAAACTATGTAATATAATTGAATCAATAATCCCCCATTGAATATTTTAGGTTGGAATAATAGGAGGCACAGGATTCGATGATCCTGATATTCTAAAAAACAGAAAAGAAAAGAAAGTTAGTACCCCTTTCGGTGACCCTTCAGACGCCTTAATATTAGGAGAGATAAACGGAGTCCAAACAGTATTGCTCAGTCGCCATGGAAGGAAACACGACATCATGCCGGGCAACATTAACTACCGCGCAAACATCTGGGCTTTGAAAGAAGAGGGCTGCACTCACATCATATCCACCGCAGCAGTTGGTTCGTTGCAGGAACAGTATAAACCCGGCGAATTAGTTTTGGTCGATAATTTCGTGGATAGAACGACAAATCGCAAGCAAACCTTCTACGATGGGGAACCGGGACATCCTGTAGGCGTTACCCATATCCCAATGGAACCTGCTTATTGCCAGCAGACGAGAGCTCTTATTTTAAAGCTCGCTAAAGATTTAAATGTGGAGATTATTCCTAAAGGAACTGTCGTTACCATCGAAGGACCACGTTATTCATCAAAAGCAGAAAGTAACATATTCAGGTAGAATAATAAATGTGGTATACAGGGTGTTTCTTAATAACATGATAATACTGAATGGGGTGGGCTCATTATAAGAAAAAAACTACATATAAACCTATGTCCTAAACGTCTTAACTTTGAGATATGGGTGTTAAAGTTTTAAGAAAAAAATCAATTTTTTAATGTCATTTCCATACCACTTTAAATATTTTTATGAAATTTGGTATACGGCGTTTATACATTAAAAAGCATTTTTTGACCTAAAAACATTTTTTTATTTCCAACAGTGGCATCTGTACTGGACTCGGGCCTGATATTTTTGAGTGTAAAAGTGGTACGCCACTTTTTTATCTTGAAATAAATGCATTCATTTGTACGCTGCAGCTACAAAAACCGCTGTACCAAAATTAAAATATAATAAATTTTAGGTTTAGGACATATCTTGAAGTGTGAAGTTCATGGGAAGTTTTTTTCTGAAAATTGGTCCAAGAAACACATCCTTCAGTATTAGCATGTTATTAAAAACACCCTGTATAATAATTTGTTAACTAACAATGTTTATTATCAAATAGATCTTATGGTGCACATATCATTGGTATGACCCAAGTGCCTGAAGTAGTATTAGCGAAAGAAGCCGGTATTTGTTACGCAAATATAGCGTTAGTGACTGATTACGATTGCTGGAGGGAATCCGGGGAAAAAGTCAGCGTTGCTGAGGTCATGAAAACATTTAGCGAAAATGTTAATAAAGTATCATCGTTCGTGCTCGCTGTGGTTGCTAGAATCGGGCAAGAAAACTGGGATGCTACCATAAATGAGCTAAAAGTAAGCAATTTTTTTAATTTTATAAGTCGTAAGGTTTACTAGTAAAATTGTTTTTTATTTCAGGAAACTGTAAAAGGTGCAATAATGCTGCCAAAAAGTTAAAAGAATAACTAAACAATTTGTGTTTGCCAGTACACTTCAATTGCTTCATGTTTTATTATCACGATTCTGGTTATTGTATTTAAATGCATTTATTAAAAACTCAATGTTTTATTGGGATAATACTATATTACACTTTACATAACATTTGTAATTCGCTACCACCCAAATAAAAATGTTTTAAAACTATGTACAAAATCAATATCATCGCTTCAATTTTTAATTGCCTCATATTTATGCATTTCAAATGCATAAAATGTATGTAAGAATTGCATTTAAAAAGGAAGCAAAAAACTTCTTAAACATTTTACCCTTCTTAAGGCATTAAACCAAATATTAGTTATAAATAGTTTTGGCTCTTTTTCTTAATTCGGGAAGCATATAACAGTCTTTTTAGCTACGTTTAAATAACTTAAGTATTATTAAAAATGTTTACCCCTTTTTTAGATGCTAGAAGATGTAATGTAAAAATATTTTTTAATACAGTATTTAACTATAACTAAACGAAAATATAAACGCAAGAAAATAACTAAACAGTCGAACTTATCAGTACAATTAAATTAAAATCAGGAAAACGACGCATTTAAAGCGATTTTACACACCTCACGATAAACGAATTTTCTTCCCAGATTAGCTTAACTCTACGAAAATCGTTCAAATACTTCAAAGATCTTGATTGGGTTTCCTTCTGACGTATTTGTTGAAGTAGTCGGGTCGCCAGCATTTGCAGGAACCCGGAATCAGGAACCAGTCGTAGTACAATCGAACTTGGAAACAACCCAATGCGTCGATTCCATCGCATTGGCTAGATGGGCGTTGGGTCGTACCGGCATCGACGGCTGACGGCGGAAGACCGGCTCTTTTCTGAAGATATTGTTGGTAATTCTAAAAAAATACATCTTATTGGTGAACGGAGGTAAATGCTTTATACAGGGTGTTTCACTTAAGGCATGTAGAGGAGACTGAAATATATGGTGACCCCTACTCACCTATATGGTAAGTGCTATCCTGAGAAGTTAAAGGCATTCAAGTAGAGTTTTAAAATTTGGAAAAAATTAATATCTCGGTAATACTTCAATTTAAAAGATTCAAATTTTGTATAAATTTTGCGTATACTCGGAGCTGGAGAATTATTTAATAGTTATCTATTACTAGAGATGAATAATTGAAATATTCTTAAGGGAGGTATACATATAGAGTTTTCGAAAAATATAGATGGAGATATTTTAGGGGGTGATCCCTTGTTAAAAAAATATGGAATTTTTTCTAAACATTAATTTCTTAAATAATATTTACTTGATTCTATTGAAATTTAGCAATGTTATTTATTGTGTTAAGAGGATAATTTAGCCTTAATAGATTAAAATTATTTAGTCGAGTGACGTCCCGGGAGCAGCTTAGCAAATATTGGCAAAAAATGTAAGCCACTGCCTTTTTTGTAACTAATAATATTTTTTTTTATTAAGCATCTAAAAATACAATTTCTTTACCTCTTGTATTACCTCTAGTATACCGTCTATTTTTCGAACACCCTGTATAGGGATGATGTTCCCTTAAAATATTACAGAATAACCCAGCGGCGAATTTAATAGATTTCTACATATTTGATTATGAATGATGCAGCAAAATCTCAAAGAGCAATAATCGATCCAAAGATAAACAGTACAAACAGTTTTATACTTTTGAATTCTGTACATTTCCCAAATACTCCTTGCAGACGCTGAATAATGTCTGATGTTTTTACACTTTATTCCACAAAAAGAAAATTATTAACTTAAATTATTATTATTAATAACGAATGCTAAGAAAACGAGTCTATATCAGTCAAACAATTGCATCAGACTGAACAAAGTTGCACTAGATAATTGCATAAACGTGTCAATATTTGTCTGCCACCAATAACATTGCCTATGTATAATTTAATTAGAGCACAATTTCCAGAACTATGGAAACATCCCTCGTACTTCACCTACTTCTTCAAATATAGTAACTTACCTGAAAATCTTGAACAGAAGGTGGTTGGGATCCAGGCACCGGATTCCTTTGCGGGTTTACAGCATCACTGCTGCTCAAAACCGTGTCTGGATAATAAATTTCAGCAACCAGCAGACTCGACCACCTCGGCGATGATAAACAACCCCCGTCTAAATAATGACAACGTGATTGCAAACACCTAAAACAAAATTGTAATTAACATTACACCAACAACAATTAATTAAGCAATTAATTATACCTAGTAACTTCGATAGTTTGCGTGAAATACCCCTCGTAAGGAATCTGCACCACGTATCTCCAGACGCCTTGGTAGTTCTTAGCGAACACTGGGGTGGCGTATTCGATCTTAGCGGGACAGGGTGTTGGAGGTCCTTCGTATCTCGGCGCCACTGGAGGCGCGTCGTCTCTTCGCTCGAGAGGAAGCTGAGCCGATTCCTGAGGCGAGGAATTCGATTCCCCGTTGATGGCTTTGTAAAGCATGCAGAATACGCCGCCCTGATCGCAGAATTTCCTGGCTTGTCTCGAAGAACTCGAGGATTTGCTGGTCGTTTTGTTGGTAACTTCGCGCTTCGCTCTGTCGCTTCTGTCGTTTTGTTGATATGATGAAGATAAACTGCAATAATCCACCAAATACAATAAGTGTAAAAAGGTATCTTAACAATTAGAACCTACGTATTTTGATTGATGAAATCGTCCTGCATTTGGGCTACTTTGGGTAGAGTATCGTCTGCTTTGAGTATTGGTAGCGTTCTGCTGAGATACTTCAGTGTCATATTTCTAATTAGTTCGCTGGAAATTAAATAAATTATACAAATAGAAAAATGATTTCTATAGATAAACTGCTTACAAAGGATATGGTGATCCCAATACATTTTGTCCCATAGGATTCCTGGGTATATTTCCTTTATTCAGATCGCCGCATAAATTATTAGGGGACCCATGGGGTCCTCTGAAGTCGTCTTCTCGGCAATCGTATGGAACCACGTTGTATGGCGGAGGTCTGACTCTCGGTGGTTCTGCGTTTGGTGATTCCACAAAGGCGTAATAGCCTTCGGGAGGTTCGTCTAAATCATTTTCCGCGCCTTCTAAGAAGGTGTACGTGTGCAGTAATAATATCTAAAAGCGTAGAAAAAGTGTAAAATTATTAACAATTTCTATCTCATGAATTATTCTCGAAATATGTGTACCCATAATATAAGGTTTAACTCTTTAATTTTATTTATGTTCTTTATATTACAGATATTACTGGCTATAAAAATTTGAATTAAACGATAGCAATGACAAAAAAGGATTATCTTCTAAAAAAACTCCCAAAAAAGCGTTAAATAAATTATTATTCCGGGACAGGCTAATAAATTCTAATTAAAATAGTGTACCTAACCGTTAATGACCTTTGAAGGTTGAATAAGGCTAGAGTGTAGGCCAAGGTTACTGTAAAGTTGTTTTTGAGTCAAATATAAAAAAATCCTTAAAACTGTACGGCACACGGCACCAATTTTAAGTAACGAAAATATTCGTCTGGGTATAATATGTATAAACGAGGCTCTCATACCTTACTTTGATAAACAAGATAAGTGCATTACTGAAGAAAAGTTGTCTCTTCAACTTGTGTTTGAGTAATTGTGTTTTAAAATTCCTTTTTCCAACTACTTGTTTGAGGTAAATATAGGTCAACCGCCATCGCCATTGACATGGAAATATTAAGGCTGATTTCTCCTAGATAACTTTACTTGAATAATCCAAACAGCATATTCAAAATCAATAAGTTAAAAAAAATAAATGTTTAATCATGCTGTGGATAACAAAAGCCTGCACAAAAATCGGCTGCTGTACTACTGACTACTGGCTTTTGAGACTGTACTTGCAAGAAATGCGCGCAATCTACTTTCTTTGGATTTAATTTCCGGAGTTTTGCTATTTACGAGCCAGCCTTTCTTCTTGCGCAATATGTTAGTTATGGTATGCCACAATTACTTAATAAAATTCTTCAACTAATTTTCGCAGTAACTGGTAGATATATCAGATTCTCGGTTTTAATTTGCATATTTAAATTTTATTTCTTCAGACAGTTAACTTAGCGATTCGCGTGAATTAGGAAACTCCATCGCGATAAAAAAGTAGGCAAGCCAACTAAGTGTGAAGTCGAATCATCAGAAACTGTTCCAAATGTAATCATTCGCGTGGAAAAACAATGTACTCGATTTTTACTGTCGCGTGACAACAACGACAAGTCTACTTTAATGGTTCAAGAAGTTTTCGGAATTGGATAATTGTTTACTTAACAGCAAATTTGTATAGGTAATTACCACGGATATACGGCATAAATGTACCGGTAACGTGCCGAATTTCATTCGGGAGTGAGCCTCATTTATTCACAATACTTGCAGGTTTACAAAATAATCAGAGTGAGACTATTAGATCTTTTGTAGAAGAATAAAATATGCAAATGTAATCTTTACTCGCTTGAATTTTGAGCAGAAAGTTTGGACTGCTTCTGGTTAATTTTCTATTATTTCAATAAGAGAAGAAGATACATTTCTCCTTTAATACATTCATCAAATACTTTTAAAAATAAACAATTTTCAAGATGTTCATTGCAGATTATAGACAATAGTAAATGCAAGATTGCTTTAGAAATAGAACATTCCTGTGAAATATGCCGTTGGGCGGAACAAAATTTTAATAAAGCATTTCCTTAGGGAAATATTAACACATTTTTGCATAAGTAAGGCGATCCTTAGCGGCTTCGTCTTATGCATACAAATTAAACGACGGCCGATTTATTGTCGAGCACACAGTCGCACAGAGGCCATTGTGAGTACTTATACATTGTGACACACTTGCGAAGAAAACGAATTATAAAAACTAACCAAATCGGGTTAGTGATACTGATTACTCCATTAATGTTCCTACTTCCTTTTCCGTTACGCACCTGTAATTTCATTGATTGCTTATTGTCGATATAACTCGGTTTTTATGTCTTTTGTATTATTTTTTCAATCAATTCGTCGACGATAAACCATACCACAATTATCACAAAAATTATTAGAAATGATTGTATGAAGACAAAGTTTTGTAAAATTAAGTTCCTAAAAATTTTTCTACTAAATCCTTTTTGGTACAATTTTTTATTATAAAGTCATAAATCATTTAGCGCATATCTCGATCGCACACCGTGCATGTCCATCATCATAATTAGAGTATCTGCTGTCTTCAGTCTTGGTTTTTTTGTGCACTAATGACGATGTAGGTAAATGATCATGACGAGAATTGTGTCAACACGAAGCGCTATTACCGATGTCGGTATAGAAATTATAAGTAAAAAAAATCGATAAGTGCAGCAAGGAAATCGGCAACAAAAACTGGTGTCGATGCTTACGCAAGAAAGTGACATGAAAAGTCGTTCCACTTTTTCCTAGAGCTATAAAACTTTGCGCATTCTGAAGCGCGTGTACTTAATGGGCTCTTTGGCTTTTTAAAGACGCTTCAACGCCTATCGTACTTACCTAAATGATGTATCATACACACCTTGGTTTCGTTCATAATTAAATTAATATTGTCGCGGTTCGCCTTAACTGTATATAATTTAAGCAAATTTCACGAGTATAATATGTTATGATGCGCGAATATAATTTTACCTCGTAAAATAACGGTTTCGGACTGTTTACTCAAATGATATGTTCGTAGAAATTGAACCATAAATGTACAAAATTCTATACCTAAAGACCTGTTCTGGCGTTCGTTAACTTGGCACCAAAAATGGATATGCCTGGTCGAAAGCAATGGATAATTAGTGCAAATATAAAATTTATCATTCAGAATACTTCAGTAATTTTATCGAAGAAAAACTATAGATGTAATTAATGTATTAGCTTAGAGGCTTCAAGACATACAGGATTACAGGAATAAATTTGCTATTGCAAGTGTTTACCAACTAAGGAATCATGAATTGAATGGTAAATTGAATTCATATAAAAATGCTATAACTGTAGAGTAGATATGGTTAGATAGGTAATGGTAGAAACTAGATATGGTGTAAAATGATTTATTTTTCAAAAATTATATTATAGACTTTAGGTAGATTGGTTCCTCTGTGGGTAACCATTTTGATAATGTAATAGAGGATTATTTTTAATGATTCAAAAGCTGTACAATACCGCTGGAAAAGTTCTTACACATTACTGCTATCGATCAATTATGAATAATTGAATATCAGTAGTAGAGTATCAGTAATTACATTGGTTTTTTAGTGCAATTTTTAATGTTTTAAAAACCACAAAGTCAGTTTTGCGCTAAAGATAACACTTAGTATTTTTGTTAAAATTATCAATTCATCAACTGAAACCTCTACAGAATTGTGAATGAAAACAGTAAAAAATCAACTAACTAAAGCTAAAGACAAAAATCAATTACTGTACTTATTTAAAATTATATCTATATCTCCAGCAACTGACGAAAAACTCATATAAAAACTTCAGAAAAATTTACTTACGAGGAAAAAGCTCCACCTAGTCATGTCGCTCGTAAAATTTGTGCCAAAATCGCCGAAGAATCGAGCCAAACGCGAAAAAACTCGTGTGGAAAACGAACCAGCGATCGCGAACTGACTTTATTTAAATACTATGCTGTATTGGCTGGCCCGCGAAGAACTGTTGCCCGGACTTGATTACTATGTAGTACCCTGGAGGACTCGTTACGGTTAACGGTACTGACATAGCTTCATCTCGGCCCATGGTACGTCACTGGGTGAAGAAAGTCACGATTTTGTGCAGCGGCTGGCGTCACGTACAAAACAATATATTTTTTTTTGGTAATTATTTATGTAATAGAAATTGGGTTACTTTCTAGGAGTGCAAAAAACAATGAAATTGTTTGGGGCTCGTCTAAAGAGGGGTAAAATGTGGGTGTAATAATGGAAAATTTGGGAAAAAAACTTTTTTAGATCAAAAGTGATTTATTTAACGTTATTATACAGAGTATTAACAATAACAATTTTATTAGTGATATATAGAGTAGAAGCTTTTTAATTTTTTTTATAACTTTAATTGCACATTTCAATATAATCGAATTGACTACGATTGGTAATTATTGCATTAACATTTCACTTTTTCATCGAGTTTCACGAAAATGCCAATGCTAACTTAAATTATAAAGAATTAACAACGAAAAAAATGAGTATTTAGATATTAATAAAATATTTTGTTTATTCACATTAGCATGAAGTAATTAATAATGAAATCAGTTTGTTAAACATATAATGAAAATTAATAAAAATGTTAAAATATACTTTTCAATTAAATAGGAAACACTAAATCATAAGAGATTCTCAGAAATTGCTCTAATAACAAATGACCAACCATTTAGAACAAATAATTATAAATAAAAAGATTTTCTCTATCTCTAAGTGAAAAGTAACAGTACGCAATCGCAATATGTATTTTAAACTAGCATCTATATTTTTAACAGTGTAAGAATATCGCAGAAAGTTTTGGAATACACAATTTGAAAAAGTAACGTATTCTAAATGAAACATATAGAATATCGTAGATTAAATATTCACATTGTTAACATTTAGAAGACGCTTGAAAAATGCTATACTATAAAAATATTTGGAATGGATTAACAATATAAAAAATATGGAATACTAAACGTCGATGCACAGTAGATAGAATATTATAAAAAATATGGAAATATACAGTGGACAATGGAAAGAAATTAGGTCAGTAATTCCACGTACGCTTTAGGCACAAAGCCTTGATTGTTTTTATCGTTTTTGCCCATGTAATAATCGCCGTTTTGGATATCTCTAATAAATATTACCTGAAAAACAACGAATCACTGCGTCATTAGGAAACATTCGTAAAGTTCGTACTTTTTAAAATGACAATGACGTAGTACTCAACTTGAAAACAAAAAACAGCAGAAAGGCAAAAATCGTTGGGAATCATTTAGAACTGTCTAGAATCATTTAGAATGCTCCAGAATCAATTAGAACAGCCTAGAATCGTTTAGAATGAATTTTGAGACTAGCGATATGGCAACAATGCATCAGTAATTCAAACGCTTTAAGTAAAATTCCCCTAATCAAATGAAAGAATTAACATTGGTGTTAGGAACATTTTGAACCGCGTGGAAATTAATAAAAACGACGTCATTGTCATTTTAATACTTTACTGAAATTACTTACATCAGATGCTTTTAAATCCAATTCGGAGCTATCTTTAGCTTCGTAATCGTACAGGACTTTGGCTTTCTGCATGTCTTCCTCCGCGTTTGTGTTATTTTGATTGGGAAGACTACTGCATAAACTACAGAAAAAGAAAAAAAAAGAAAACTAAACCACTAAGAAAACATCCAAGCAGCATGCCAAAAATTATCCAGAATAAGTGGCGTTGTACATCCAGTAATTGCTTTCTAAATTAAACCTATCCAGAAGACCATTTAATTTAATAATATTGATTATTCTTTTGAGTTGCTTGTTTGGTATAAAAACTACAAATTTAATTCCCGGCGTTAAAAATATTACGGGTATATTTTGTATCTATTTATCTAGTTGATTAAAAATTATAATCATAAGAATTGTGTACAATCAGTGCACATGGATTAATGGATTAATATTAAATACCAACAGTTTAAAAATAATCCAATAATACTTCACACAAATATTCCGTAAACTTCAAGGGAAATTCGGTTTATTTTTTAAATAAATAACTTACTTTTCTGCTTAAGCTGATAGGATTTTCGTTTCCTTACTTAAGCATTTTCTAATTTGATATTTTTTTTTTAAATTTATTTAAATTTATTACAGCATCTTTAATCCGCAACTCCGTTAATGTGTCATATATTTCTATGTATTTTTCTATTCGAAAAAATAAATAAAAACCATCTAATCAAAATAAAAGTGTATGCATAAAGCTCAACTAATAATTATATGGTGGAATTGCTTTCATTGGAATAGGATAAATTAATGGGAGTGAAAGTGTCGAATGTAGTTTCTGAATCATTGTTTTGTTTAGGAGTTAAAGTTTCTAGGTCCTCACTGTTAAGACGTAACACTGGACCGGGTTTTGACATGCTGAAACATGGTGCAAACATTTTTAACGGGAAATTCTCGCAAATTATGCACGTTATACTCTTATCGTAGAATGTTACCTTGCTAGTTCTCGTTGTAAATCGGTCATGACGGTCGTACACTGCGAATAAAATCTCGCTTGTGTTTCTACGAATTCGTGTAAATATCTCAAATGAGCAGCATGGCTGCTACTCACACCCTCCAATAGAAGTTTCGTGATCTCGGCTTGTCTGTCAAACTCCGATTGAGCTATTCTCAGTTCCTTTTCGGCCTTAAAAATAATTCATTTAGCTATATGATTTCATTTGAAAATGGTGGCAGGAAGAGAAAAGGTTTACTAATTACTTTACTGATTAATGAAATGTGCTTTCGAAGAATAAGGTGTTTCATTCATTATTAATAATCAATAAATTAACATAGAATTAGAGAGAATACATTATAAATATAGTAATAGATTTTTCTCTTCCTAGCAGACATATAAATACAAAAAGCAGTAAATAAACTCAAAGAGTGTCATATTAAATTATAAGTTTCTACTGTATTCTTTGAATTGTGAAAGGCACCATTCTAACATGATTATGCAATTATTATTGATCATTTGATATATGATCACTAAGTAGATATTTTTTATCATATCAGAAAAATATTCTCGTCTTACATGGTATATAAGTAACAGGTTTTTTCAATTATCACTTCATTATTTGCTTTCCAAACCAAATTTAATTATATTAATTGTTCCAGTAGAAACAGTATTTATTTAAGACACTTCATAAAAAAATTGAAAACAAATGATGCTCAATTCAAATATAAAAAAATATTAGTGTAAATTTGTGTATAATGTGTTCAACTTATCTGTGTACATATTTACATTTTCATATGCATGTTTCTGAAATGAAGTAAAAAATATAGATGCCTAACATATTAATTTTTAAATTAATTGTTTGTACCTGTTCCAAAGCTTGCTCTGGAGAAATTCCATCCTTTCCCTGTATGCATGTGAATCAAATACTGAATGAATAACATTCTACACATAACATGACTCACAGTAACTATGAGTCAATACATTTTTATTCAAAAATATTTAAATGAATTTTTCAGTCAACATACATAAATTTTTTGCAAATTAGTTATTAGTTGTACAAAAATTTAATAGTAAACTTACAGCTGGTTGTCCCAGCATGCTCCTGGCCTTTCTGACTCTGTTTTTGCAGGCATCCAAATCCAATCTCTTCATCTCCAGCAGATTCTTCTCTTTAATAATAGTCTTCATTTCAGTTTCCAAAAACTTTCTCAAAGGCTGTGTAAAGCACATTCCGGCGGACCCAATAAAATCTCTCTCAGTCTGCCCTAACTTCTGTTCCCACTGACCAACTTTAATGAGAGAACTACCGTATATTGTACCTGGTCCCAATGCATTGCCCGCTTCCACCATATCCACTCCTAGGTACTCTAAATTGCTTAATCGCGAAGGCCGCTTCTTCTCAATTTTCTCATAGATATAGTCCTCGACCCTATTGCCTGGGTTGGGTATTAAAACAGCTTCTGTATTCTTCACAATCCTTTCGGTGTAATTTTTGGTATGCTCGGCTCTCGACCAGAGATTTTCAAAATGACCGTCTAATTCAGTTTTTTCCGACGTTCCTAGTTTTTCTTCGGTAAGCTGGAAACATCATTCTTTAATCTGCAAGGAGTTCCATACAGTTGATTGTTACTTACCTGGATTGCTCTGCTTAAAGCTGCCCCAGCGTCCTTCACCATTTTTTTAACGTTAAAATCCATGTCGCTTTTTTATAATCGTTCTAAATTTAAATAAATTAATCGCTTATCGCTAAATTATCGATCTCCTGGCACAAAATAATGCATCCATAAACAGAGAAACTTGACACGAAATGTCAAAAAATACGATAAAGTTGAGTGACAGTAGGTCAAATATAACTTATTGTCTAAGACTAATCGGTTATACAGTACAGATTTGCTCCTAATTTTATATGCAACCATTATTAAATGTATATTATTTTGGATTGTTACATTGTTTAAATGCTGAGTAAAGTTAGTGCTCTTATTCATTCAAATGAAACTACCAGTAAATCACTCTAAATATATTTAATAAATATCTGAATATGAATAAAAAAATAACAATTCGAAAAAAATAGTACAAGTATTAAATACGGGGTGTATTGCACTTTAAAAAGAGGTCTTGTATTTCTTCATTTCGACCATGATGAGATGTATATTGACAAGTTGCGACCGAATAGGTGGAGTCAATAATTTGTGAAATCTATGATAATATTGAACTAATTGTGTAAGAGCCAGTTGAAGTAGACTAGATCCTGTTACTAAATTCGGGAATGATAATAGTACTTCGCGATTGAGATCTTCCAACGATTTCTTCCAGTTGTTGTTGAAATTTTGTGCAATCTCTCCAGATTTCGGTTCTAAGGCCTTTAACTCTTTAACTTTAGCATTCTCAAAGTAATGCTCACATTCTTTAACATATTGAATCATCTCTCCGAAGTGGGGAAATAGTATCTGCTCGGCGTATTCCCCGCTTTTGGAACCCAATCTTGATTTAAACACTTCCGCTTCTTTGGAATTATCTCTTGTTCTCTCCATTATTATACTCAATATCATGTCGTAATTATTTATGAGGAAAATCAACTGATCTTTACGATCTGTAAAAGCACCGGCCATTCTTAGTATAAACATTTCAACTTCTTCTTGAAGCTCCGCTAGAAGTTTATTAACAAGTTCATTGGGAAAGTTCTCGCTTATGCTGACAAGTGCTGCGCTAAATTCCGCATATCTCCTTGCAATCTACAAAAATATAGAATTTTACAAAATGATAGTAAACAACAAATTAGTCCTTACATAATGAGGACCCAATTCCAGGTTGAATTTCGTCACATCACAATCTTTGATGCTCTTGATGTTCAGTTGAACAATATATTCGAATCTAGGTAACAACAAACTTTCCAGTAATTGCCAATGTTGATCTAAAGCAGGAACGCAACGCTTGTGACACATTATTTGGTACCGTAATACTAAATGGTAACACAAGAACAACGATATAGAATCGTAACAAGACGCAATGTAAGTCCTCAAGTTTTTCTGAAATTAAATATTCGCGTTATTACAATTTATCGTAAGTATGAGTAAAATTAGATATACCTGAAGCAGAATTAAAGTTTTATCCAAAATTTTATTGAACAGATCGAGAGCAGGCTGATTTTTAACCATAAAGTACTCACTAACAAAGAGGTATTCTCTACATGCATTATCTACTAATGCATATTGCACACTCCTGAATAAAGACTCAAATGGAAACTAAAACAATACGGTAATTAGTGTTATATCAAGTTTATTATATTTAATTCATTAACTTACTTTATTTTTCGTTTCTGCATGGGGAACAATAATAGGAGCTTCGAGTTGCTGAGCTAAGACATCTCCTCGATTTCCTATTGAAAATACTGTTGTTTTGTGCTTAAAGGATTTATTAAACATTCCTCTTGTAGCTGAATCTTCAATTCCCATCAAATCATCTGCTGTAATATTTTCCTCGTATTGTAATTTCATTATTCTACTCTCGTACGATTTGAAATAAGAATAATATATTTTACTCATAGTATCGACGTATTCGTGGACAATTTCCTCGGCTATATTTCTTTCATTTGATAGTAAGAATTCATAGTGGCCTTTATTTTTTAGCAAATTATTTTGGGGAATTTGATAGTTCGTCATGGGTTTCCGGAATTTTGAAATTTGCTCCAACAAATAAGTTCTAATTTTTGACATGGCTTTACAACGAAGCTTCTCTAAAATATCCTTTACGTCTTGACAAGATTTTGTGTCTTTAAAACTCTGCTCCTTAATGAAACTTATTTTGTGGTTAAGAATTTGCAATTGTGTCAAGAATTCCTTATCTGTCACATGGAGATCCATTATACCGGCTATTAATGTTTCCGGCACTTTAATATCATCGATAAATTGACTGAGCTGTCCTCTAATCGCCTGTCTATTCGTTAATTCCTGACTCATCGAAATAGACTTCTTTTGCAAAGTTAATATTTCCGAACTAATACTACCCAAATCATTTTGAAAATCCAACAGCATATTTTCCATTCGAGCTAAAATTTGATCGCAGGCAGTTATCTGGCTGTGAAGACTCGCGATATTTTCGCTTTCTTTCATGTACACTTTGATTGATTGATTTTCGGTGCTTTTTAATTCATTTTCGATCTCTTTTGAATACTGCCTTAGGTCCGTGAATGTGTTCAAAATATCTTGGACTACCTTGTCGTTACTTACGAGATCGGCTGTAGTCCCAGCTTGGCCTAATTTTGTATCCGAAGGGGAACTCATGGTTTTCAATATATTGAAGTATATTTTTTGAAAAACTAATGGATTTAACAAAATTTTAAAAACAACACAAAAACAAATGATCAATGACTGGACTGACAACTGACAAACTAAATGTCAAAGGTCTAGCTTTTCAGCCTACATTAGTAGGTTAGCTGCACCATTTTTTTAATTGTGCTAATTTTTTTAATTTAAATGTGTTTATATATACACTTTTTTGTTATTAATCACCATTACTGTTAATATTTTTTGTAAATTATAAAATAAAGAAAATAAAATTTATAAAAATACTAAAAAAAGAAGAAAAATTTTGACATTCATTCTTTTTCTGTTTAAGTTGGTCAACCTGATAAAAATGACTCATTGTAACCAAATGTCAAAGTGTTGGAACTAAAAATCCCTACATTTCTTTTTGCTGTCAAGTTAGCAAGTCAAAATGGTAAGTAAAATTATTTATGTTTTTATCTTTTAGAATATCATTAATCGTTCAATAAAATATATTTTCAACTTTTAATATGCATTTTTCGTTATCTATATTATATTAAACAAACGATATTTTGCCCCTCAAACCTAAAATTAATTAAATACATTTTCTAACCTCTAATTTGTATTTTCATTTTTAGTCTTTGGTAATTCCGGAGAAATTTCAACACATTCTTCGTATCCTCGGTACGAATATCGATGGAAAAAGGAAAGTGCAATTCGCCCTCACTGCCATCAAGGGAGTTGGTAGACGTTATTCCAATATTGTCTTGAAAAAGGCAGATGTGAACCTAGACAAGAGGGCTGGAGAATGTTCCGACGAAGAAGTTGAGAAAATTATTACTATTATGTCTAATCCTCGTCAATACAAAATCCCTGACTGGTTCTTGAACAGACAGAAGGACATTATTGATGGTAAATACAGTCAGGTATGTTAAACAATTTATGTAATGCAATGCCATTTTCTTATACAAGTATATGTTTATCAGCTAGTTTTATACACTCATATACAGTCAGTTTACACATTCATTTTACAATAAGAAAAGGCTATTTAAATAGTTATTGATTTAAGGTTAGGTTGAAAAGCAATTTCGCTTAAGATTTTGTAGTGAACGATTAGTCCCTCTTTTAAAGAATCAATATGATTAATACAGCACTGTAAAACGGCAGTTTGTTTTACTAAATAAAAAAATTGCTGGTAGCCTGTGCAATATTACGTGTAAATCATATCGACAATTATTTAGTAAAATCTGATTTTGTGGATAAGCTACTTATGTAGTAACATCTTTGAAGCAAATCAAGAAATTTCTCTTTAAAAATTATGATTTACTACATTCAATTACTTCATACATAATTATCCATTTGCAATATTTTTATACTGAATTTAGTAATAATTTATATTTATTATTTTTTAGCTGACTTCTTCAAGTCTCGACTCGAAGTTGCGTGAGGATTTGGAAAGGATGAAGAAGATTCGTGCCCACAGAGGTATGAGACACTACTGGGGTCTCCGTGTGAGAGGTCAACACACTAAGACTACTGGACGTCGTGGACGTACTGTTGGTGTGTCCAAGAAGAAGTAAGCTTTAAGTTATAAAATAAAAATTTTGATATTTCTGTGCGTTTTTTATTTAAACACCCGTTTAATAAAAATAGTATATATTACATATAAATGTACAATACTTAAATATAGTTAAATTACTTTTATAACTTAAGAAAACTAATGTAGATTATTCGAAACGGTAATTATGACACCTACATGTATTTTCTGGCTTAAAACTAGAAATATTTACAAAATAACAAGGCAGTTAACTACAGTATGGTAATCACTTAAAATGTGTATTTTGTATACATGATTTTAAAAAGGACTTGATTAAATTGAGTTTACAATTCGTAATTCAGCACGATTGCCAAATAATTGGAATTTTTCCTACTTTGAACTCTCCTATTCCTTCCAACAAATATTTTAAATTTTAAAAATATTGATTTTCACATTTTTAATCAAACAATGAAGTAATTACCAAACTATGAAAAACTGGTGAATTTACTCAAATTCAAAACAAATGTTTAATTTAGAGAAGGGTATCTATGGCATGTATGACACCGTTGGTTGCTGGTATGTTCTGTGTCGATAATAAGTTATTATTAATCTTGACTTTACCTACAAAAAATATTGATTAGGAAGTGACTGCCATTGATAAAATTATTCCTGATTTTGAGTCCTTAATTAATGCAATAGTTAGTTACCTGTTTGTTTGCTGAAAGTAATTGGTCGATCTTGCATAAGGCTGTCTTTTATTTGGTAGTATCTCATGCCATTAGTGTAAAGCGTACCAACAACTAAATGTTTTAAAATCAATTCCTTGGCCAATTCTTTATCGGTAACGAGTTTGTTCAGATCTTCCACTGACAATCCTGCAAAAGCCTTCTCCGTTGGGGCGATAAGTGTGAAGATTTTAGATCCTAAAATTATTACGTGTAATCATGTAGGTACTCTTGTTTTATTATTTTTTACCTTGCAACATCTCATCTAAACCTGAAGCGAAAATAGCCCGTAAGGTGCTGGTAAATCTCCTCTCCCTGTCTGATTGAAGTGTTTGAACGATATCGCCTACTGGCAAAGGGAACATCACCCTGTCTACAGAGTGGGCGATACCTTGGGGTATCTCGATATCTTGGTTTTCATCCAAAACTTTGGCCCCGTTTATTGTAGTTACCTAAAAAATGAAAAAATTTCACCACTATTATTTTAAACAATGGATTTCAAGTGTTACGAAATAGCAAAATTAAGGAGGATGACGGCATTTAGATACTAAACTCAAGTTTAATTTTAATTATAATGTTATTATTACGATTTGATATTATTATTCAACTTAATGACAAGAGTCTCAACAATAGACAATGAGAATATATACCTTTTAAATTTCATACAGTAATACATGTGCATCTTCAGTAGTTTATTATAGCTAAATATTCAACTAAGTATTTAGGTACAAAAATGTAGTGTAGTAAGATATTATCATGATATAACTGCCGAGAAAGTGAAAATGGTTTCCGTAACGAAATCAATTTACATGCACAATGCTGTAAATATCTTATTTTGAACTAATCTTTCTATTTTATCTTTAGCTTGATGGATTAAAGGAATGTGTAACATGTAGTAGAAGATCGCATCTTTTAAATGCTTCGAATGTAATCGAAAGAATGCCGTTTATTAAAACACGTGGGTTGAAGGTTTTTAGTTAAAAAACTTTTAAAGGACCTACTTTAACATCGTTCCATTCTTTATCGTGCATCTTGTACTGATTAACGCGCAATTGCGTTCCGGCCAAAGAAACTCCAGTCATTTCGTCCTGTAGAGAACTTATTTTGAATGCACCTGGTATCACGTGGTGCAGTAAAAGCTACAAAACAATACACAATATTAAATTTATGCCAGTACATTATAAACTATTAATTACCCCGCTCAGAAGTCTCGGGTTTTCCTTGAATTTCTCCTCAGCTTTTTCGGGCCCTCCTAACTGAATTAACAAAGTCCTGAAAGCCTTATCAGTAGGAACGAATATGGTGTAAGGTCCTGTTTCGTTTAAAATCGAATCTAACCCTGATTGCTTCAAGAATTTAGACATAGCGAATAAGTTGTGTTTCTTTAAAATTTCAGTAAGTTCCTCTTTCTGAGTATCAGGTGAAGTAAAGGTTTCTTGTATGGGAAACAGGTTAACACTAGGTGTTACGCTCTGTTGAATGGTAACATCAGTTGAATGTGGCGTTAATAGATTTTTACTTGAAGACGGTTGTACGTTGGAAGCTTGATTCAATAAATCGTTTGAAGGATTATTCAGGATGTGGGGCGTTCTTGTCTTCTTTTGACTCCTGGAGGTTGTACTACTAGAGAAGTACGGGCCAATGGTAGATGAAGCTACTATTTGCGTACCGATGTTGGTTTTAATCGCTGGCACGCTGGATTCTTCCGAGGCAAAACCGGTTGTAGAGAAGTAATGTTGAGGCTCTTCGGTTGCAAATGAATTTGGTGTGATGGTGGCTTGGATCGGCCTTAAAGTCGAGCTTTGCATGGTCCTGGCGGTAGAAGAAACATCGGGTTTTTTAGTGGTTGTGCTAAGATTGTCGGGTAATTTAATTTCTCCTTTTTTTATCTTATTAAGCAAGGCGTCGATGTCTACTGTTTTGTCTTTGTCGTTTCCTTTGACTCCTTGCACTTTGAGTGTACCATCACTTTGTTCTTCGAGAAGTACAAAAGTTACTTTCTTTTCTTTCGATATGTTTTTAGAGATGGATTCTAAGTTGCCGCTGGCTCCTGTTTTAAGCAGTTCGTAATTCGAAGGTGCCACGTTCTTGGTAAGTTCCTTTAAAACGGCCATCGGAGGTTTGATAGTGGTAGTAGTTCTGGCGAAAACCAATTTTTCCAAATCGCTTCCAGGTTCTAATTTGATCCCGTCGGATATTAAATTGGGGTCTGATGTTTTAATCAGTTCCACTTTTTCTCCATTTGGAAGGACAATTTCATCGATAGGCGTCGGTTCGTTAGCTGAATTTTTCTGGCTGGTAATTATTTGTGCTTTCTGGCCGTTTGGTAATGTTATTTCTTGCGGAACTCCACCAACGCTCTTTGGAATCGCATTAGGATCGCTGGTTCGAATTATTTGCACTTGATGCCCGCTTGGTAGCGTTACTTCTTCGTTACTTTTCTCTTCGGAATCATCAGGTCTGAGTATTGAAATTTTCTTACCGTCTGGTAGAGTTATTTCTTGTTGCTTCCCCTTCGGTAGTTTGGCCTCGTTATCGGTTGTAATGAATTGAATTCTTTTACCGTTTGATAGCGAAATTTCCCTGGATGTAAGGTTTTTATTATTTTCGTCTTCTTGACTTCTGCTTATGGCTAATCTAAGCTGTTCCAGCAAGTCGTCTTTGCGAATCCTTTGAGATTTGTACTCCTTTTGCAATTGACTTAAATCGTCTAGGGATTGGATTGTTTTGATTTTAGATTGAGGCAGGGCTGTGGGCAGGAAATTCGGCAATTTTATTGGAATCGATGATTTTTTGATAGGTTTAGGAGTTGTAGTTGTTGTAGTGGTTGTAGTTGTAGTAGTAGTTGGGTGTTCGATGTAATACTGCTTAACCGCTTGTTCGAATAAATTTACTTCTTCTGGGTACAAAAACCTCGGTTGCGATTGCGGTTGTTGGAAGTTGTCGTTGTTCGTTTTGTACAATCTTTGATACAATTGCTTCTTCTGGTCCCTTTGCTTCTCGACGAACTCCTGGTGGTCGTCTTGGGCTTTCCTTAAAGCCTTCTCGTATTGTCGCTCGACGAATTTATTGTGCTTTTCGATGATCCCTTGCTTCTCTCGCAACTCCTGGATCTTCGCCTTGTGCTTCTCGGGATCCAAAAGCTTAATCTGCTCCTCAATGACCGCTATCGGATCGGTCGTGGGCCTCGGCTGGACGAACTGCGGTCCGAACGGGTTCAGCTGGCGCGCCGCTTGAAAATTGGTCTGCGTGAGGTGTTGAACCAGCGGCTTGGCGGCCTCCGTGGGCTGTTGTTTGGGAAACGAAATCCGGTTGGTCGGGGTCAGGACAGTCGGCGAGGATACCTGCTGGAAGTTCTGCTGCGGAGTGGGAACCACGCTCGACGGAATGGACTTGAGCAAGGGCAGGGTGTTGAGCAACTCGGCGCGCGCGAAGTCCTCCTGCGCGTTCAGCTGGAACGGGTTCGGCTGGAAGTTCTGCCGCTGGTGGTTCTGGTTGTGGAAGTTCTGCTGGTCGAAGTTCTGCGACACCTGGAACCTGTGCTGGTGCTGCTGGATATCGCTCAGTATCTGGCCTTGTTGTTGCGGTGAAAGTCTCGTGCTCCTGTCGATGTTGGGAGCGAATTGCTGAAATGGAAATGCGCGTGTTAATTTATTAGTATTTAAGACGTACCAATTATTTTAATTACAAACATGAATTCAATGTGTAGTGTAATGAGATGCAATTATCTACTGTTTGATGAGAAAATCGTTCACAATGTCGCCTATTATTGTAAAATTTCATGAGAGAATGTTAGTAATATTTTATTTCAATGATATATGGAGTGTTTCAAAACGCTATTCAAGCAGAATTGAAATAATATAATTTATTCAAAAAATTGCATATTTGCTAATTAAACTTTTTATGTGTTAGTCAAATAAAAAACGAAATGTATACTTAAGGACGTTCCAATAGGATTATCCGTCATTTCATTGCGCTTTCGCTTTCTTTTTTATACCGATGTTCAACCCGCAATTAAATCTTGGTGATTCAATATTAAAGCCCAATCTGTTCCGGAAATAAACGGAACAAAATTAATTTCACTCATTTTGAAGTCTGCGACTAATCTATGATTAACCGAACAATGCGCTGGTTAATTACTTAAGAGTTTGTTATATGGTTGATTCGTGCTTTGGTCATTTTGTTCAGACAACATTCTTCCTTTGAGCCAAATTAAAAGATCGTTTTCTTTTACTGAAATTTACTTTTGCTCTGCAATAATTAATTAATCGTCGAACGAATTTTGCAACCGTATTCTGAAATTCGTTTGAACGTGATTCGCGTTCGCTGTAAAATGTACCTGTTACATAATTTTTAGATCTACCTAATTGCTTTTTCTTCTGGGATTTTTTCTAATCTATTACGCCATTAACCAAGAGACTTGAGCTGTTTGTGGATGAAACGGCAAGAAGTAATTTAAATGCAATGATGAATTAAAACTAAAGCAATTTATTTCAGATTTTCCATTCTAATAAATCTTTAACTAGAACGTGATTTATGTTTTGTAAAAGTATTTTTTTATGTACATACTTATGGCATTTGATGAAATTGTAGAGACAGATTTTTTTTCTAGTAAAAACAATTGTGGAAAGAAATGATAAGAATGGAAAAAATCAATAATTTTGCTGCAGTTTTCTACATAGTATATGGGAATTTATAAAACCACTCTTGCAACTAAAAAAATTTTTGTGGTGAAAATCAATTCTGTGCATGATAAAATTTTGTTTGTTTTTTCCTAAAGACTTTCGTTTGGGTATCCACTGTAATTTATGAAATTAAATTAAAGATTGAATCGTTTAAAAATTCTACTGTTGACCCCAATTTCGAATTTTTAATGCATTAGATATCATCGTTTGTGTATTTTTTCGGATATTAGGCACCTATTTATGCATTTCGGTATAATAATGACCACTTTCACAATATTTAATTGAACGGTTCATTATCAAAAAAAGTTGAAAAAAAGGAATATTAGCAATTTATTGCCGATATAATAGCCGAATTTCCATTTCAAATTTATAAATAGATATGAAAATAATCTGCAGTAAAAAAATCGTATTTGCTTTATTAATAAGCTTTGTGGGAAACGATAATAATACATTCTCGATTATTTGGAGTGATTTCCGGGTTCCCAGGAAGTGTTACTTTGTCTTGTGTAAGGAAATGTTCTAAGGAAAGAAAAGTAAGTATAAGATGTTACACTGAATACGTGTAGACGCTTGAAATGTATCATTAAAGTACTCTTATAGCTTCAAGACTTGTACAGTATAATCATTTTCAAGTTGAGACTACAACTCTGCTATTATAAGGTCATAAAAGAGATATCGGAAATTGTTAAATTCTTCAGCAGGTGAAAACAATAGTTTACTATTTAAATTCCATTTAGTTCAAATACATAGAGGAAATTATTTCCTAATAAAATAGTAGTAGATATTGAAATTAGATAGTAACTACAGACATTGTGGAATAACTCTTGCCCAGAAGAGACTTTACGCATAAGCCATATGGTGAAAAACCAGCGATCATAAAAAATCGAGACAACAAAAGTGGTTACATTCACCTGTAAGTACGCACTTAATTCAATTCACGGCGCTTTCGTTTTTATCCAAATATTTCACACGTGTGCAATGCCATTTATTTTTTGCACCTACATAGATATGAAAAAGTGATAGTTCAGAGAAGTCAACAGTTCAAACTCGAGTGAAAGTATTCGCGCTGATGCCGCCGGATGGATCTCCTGGCGATATTAGATAAATAAATCTCGTAATAACGCATCTTTAATAGAAAAAAATGACTCGAATATTTGGTCTAATTTAATTCGATTATTATGCTTTAATTCGAGAAGAAATCACCACTACTTATCTTCATAATATCTATGTTTATTCGGTCTACTAGTTTTAAATATCAGTTAAATCAATTGTGAAATCAATTTAAGCATACTTATACAGGGAGGACAAATGGGTAGAAGTAAAAGGTATAATAAAAAATTAATATCTGGTAAATTATTGTTTATTAGGTATAGCTATAGCAGTATAACGAATGAAAGTTCTGATCTATATTTAGTTTTTATATGAAAAATTATTTTCTATGCTATTAATTTTTAATTAGTTTTCTTTATACTATTAGTACCTAGTACTAAATTTATAGCTCTATAGTTAATAGTAATAAAGATTTATTTATTTTTATTTTACTCATCTTCCTCCGCGCATTGTCTCTGTAATAAGGTAACCCGTTTCTATTCAAGTCCCTGATTAAAATAAAAATCAATTAAAAATGGAGAAACTGGGTAATAAAAAAATCATAAATAATAGATTTGTGGTTTACTTGTCTCTGTGTATATTTTTAAGATAATGGACATTAATAATTATACTTTAAAATTAACAACCAATATTTTCTTCATAATTTTTTGTAAAATCCTTTTAAATAGTTTTAAACACTTTCTTATAAGCTTAACGAGTTGAATGGTAAATTACAAATTAATTTAATTCAATAATTAGGTTAATTTTCCCTAAAATTATTAAATTGCAAATAATTTTTACAGGAGAATTTGTGGCGTTCAAATTGTTTTAAATGTTATTTATGTAAATTAAAAAATAATTATGATCTCTCTTTTGTGAAATAGCAATTTAACGATTTCAAAAAATATATGTTTGCTTTTTTGCACTAACTAAAAAAAGGAATAGCGTAGGATAATGAAGCAATAACTAGCATGCATTTACATTTAATTCTATTACTGAATCTCGTATTTGCTCAAATTGAAATGAGGACGACTTCATCTGCTGTAAGTGCCTCAGTCTATATTAATAAAATTTTATAGCTAACACGAACACGAATGCTTTAAAATATTACGAAAGAGATGCGGTCGAAGAAAATAATTTTTTGTAACAGTAATTATGTAACGAATAGAAAAAAGAGAAAAAAGGCGTCGTCGTTTCGAATAAAATTCTGGTTGCGAGGAAATCTGTGGCGTTAAAATGCGGTCGTTAATTTTCCTTATTTTCGCTCTTCATACTTATTTAATAATAAATAATTTCACTTTCGATATTATTTATTATTTATCTGGAATTTCCTCGATCGTTGTGTGTAGTTAGAAGGTATCGAAAGCTTATATAAAATATTTCTTGTGTATCGTGAAAATCTCTTACATAACTATTAACCATTATCATTAGCTATAAAGTGAAATATGGCTATTAACAATAATTTGTTTTATTTAATAACGGCTTTATTCTATATAATTTCTATAACGTCCTAAGTTATTTTTTTATAGTTTTATTGAGCTTTGAAGGTTTTCTTAGATCTTAAATCATTGTATTGCGATAATTTTAATTGATGGAACCTTTGATTTTTTCTTACAATACTTGCTTTTGTTAAGTTTTTCTATACCTATCATTTAATTATTGATTTAAAGTTACAATTATCTCTTCAAGATGCGTTTGAGATAACTATTTAACGGCCACGTAAAACTAAAGACCGGAGAAATTAAAAATCAACTGGAATACCTATTCTTTTTTAATTAGAATTGCAGATTCTGTGTGCATTATTAAGGGAAATCGTTTTCACACATTTATGGATCGACATATCCCAAAAAATAATACGCATAAACAAAACGTACCGGCGCATTAATTGCGAAACCTCCGACGAAATAACCACAAATGGGTATAATTAAAATTCAAGAATCAACAGCCTGAAAAATATAAAGAAATAGTCCGTGACGCAAACAATAATAAAAGAACAATACTTGATGCACGCAATAAGAATAAGAAATGTTCCATAAGACAATTTAAATGGCTCATAAGTACCTATTAGTTTATCGATGTTGGAGAAGAAAGTGAAATGTCAACATTATAAAAATTGGATCAGCGAATTTTCCACTAGTAATTTTCAAACATACATTTTTCTAATTTTATTTTTACGCTTTGAATTATATACAATTTTACTGGATATTTAGATGCAATTATATCGAATATCGAAATGAATAAATAATTTTTCGGAAAATCTGATAAGAGAATAAAATTTCACTTTTCAATTTTGTTTCTAATAAACATATTATTAGTTACACCTCCAAAATTATCAGATATAATCCAAATTACAAACCATAGTCCATAGTATAATATAAGTCCCTCGACAAAGCGGGTTTGATCATGATTCTGTTTGATTTACTTCTCTTTGATTTACTATTTCGAACGACTATTAAATCCTGCCTACAATCTCTTAAAAGGAAAATAATCAGATAGTCTCCATCAAATTTCTTACACAATTCTACAGCGAGTGCTTCTTGAGATTTGTTTATAATTACATCGGAAATGTCAAAGGTACCTTATAGAAACTTGCATGCGATTTTTTGTTCTACTTAAATGGATTCTGTTGCACAAATATTTATAGCCGCATATTATTCGCGAAAATTAATTTTAATTGGGTAAAGAGGCATTATACTTTGCGTAATGGATTAGTTTATAAAAATATGCCTAAGCATTACCTGTATGTTATTATAAAATGAAAAGGAATTTTGTTAATTATAAGGTGGAATCTGAGCCTGCATAACTCGATTGTTATGTATATGTAAAATATGTAAAAAATTTAGTATAGTAATAATAGATTATAATAAAGATTATATTCTTCTCTGAGTAAATTTCTTTGTATCATTTAGAGTAGGCGTACGAGATGAGTTTTCGTTTATATACAGAGCGACAGGTATAACTAGAGACGTTACCGACGCGGCCTTGAAATTTTAAATACTGTTTATATGGTTTATTAAAAAACTACTGTGCGTTGTACTCGTACGTCTTCAGCTATTCCTGTTGCTCTGCAGGAACATAATGAAAATCAAAAAGTATAAAATTCGTGATGAAACGTTGACAATAAACCGCTAAATCGTGCTCTTGTTCGTCATCACAATATAAAATAATTGGCACCCTGCTCGTAACAATCGTCGCTTACGTATAAATAACTTTCTTCTCGTCTGAATCGAGTCGTGATTTTTTGGTGGGTCCTTAACCTTAGCTGAAACGTTCGGTTTCCCTGCGAACAAACCGCAGGTTTGGGCTCATCTCGAAATCCGGCGCGAGCTTGAACTTGAGAAAGCGAAGATTCGTCGACGAGGCTTCTGCGCTTCGTAGGCGGTTATCTGGTTTCATTATTTTCCAACTCTTCTCGCTGGTTTCGCGACCTTTCCTCATCTTCACTTTCACTCAAAGGTCATGAATTTTGCTCGATGCGACTAGTCAGCGAGAGTGTTTTCTTCTTTCGATGACAAATCTTAACGGAACTCTTCAATAAGAAAGCGAGGAATGTCGCAGGCTTTCGGTGATGAATGTTATTTGGTTAAACGCACGACGGTGGGATGAATTTATTGCTGGTATTAGCGAATTAAATGAAATAAGTTGAAATTTATGCGTCAATCACTCATTCGTGGCAATTTTTCCTTTAATTTATTGTGGTTTCTTATTGCAATATTCAATTTCATACAATTATTTTTCTTTCTTCTCTTTATACAATTTTTTTACAAAGCAATTCTTCACATATTTATCTACTATTTTGCATAATCTATAGGTATTTTAATTCAAGTTTTCTTGTTATATTTTTTAATTATTTTTCTTACTTTCTTCCGTTTCTGAAGAAATTTTACAATTCATATTTGATACTTCCTTTAACATTATAACATTGGTATCCTTCGTTGGTTTTTTATTTCCATTCTCGATTTTTTCTAATTTATATTTTCCCTGTTTATAAAAGGACTATAAAAGAAAAAGAACTTCGATAATATGCTTTATGATCGGATCGGTTTTTAATAATACCTCAGTTATAACAGATTTAATTAAAAACGCGGAACTTTTCTCGGGCATCTCGGTGTAATAATTTAGCTGAAAACGAAAGTACGCACCATCAACGTCATCGTAATTATCGACTAAAAGATGTGTAAACTCAAAGTAAGATTTCTTGTATGTAAGTATGACACACGAACGCTATGAGTATCGAAGTACTTTCGATGCACGATAGAAAGTAATATCTATCTAAATAGCGAGTACTTACACTAAGAATTGACGAATTAAAGGAATATCAATTACAACATCTCCTTTATTAGAAGAGATATTTACCTACGTAACCCACTAGCTAATGTGGTGTGGTAAAACTTTTATCTGCTATGAAAACCGTTTTTGTTATTGTTAGCGGTCTTAATAGTTGTACATTTGATCCTCGTGTACAATACTTTCTCATGAGGTGCGTTGTGCAATGGGAAAAATTCACCTGTATGATTTATTTACTTATAGGAATGCACTAATATGGAGTTTATTAAATTGAGCAACCGATAAGTATTTGACGTAACGAATGCATTATTTCCAAAACGACTCGTTCCACTAAATTTTTTATTCAATATTTTATTCAATCTGTAGAGATGGGTATTGCAATTAAATGAACACAATGGCTAATTTAGTTCGGTAACTCAAGAAGTATAAAAATCGAATTCTCTTGTCTAATGATCGTGAGACCATCAGTAATGAGTAGAAAATTTCTTTCTTATATTTTATATGCCTACATTTTATTTTACATATTGTATTTTTATGGCTTACTGATTTTTATTGCAATCTTAAAATCATATAAGATATATTATGCGTCTTTTCAATTGCTTCCATAGTTTTATCAATACCTACTTTCATTTTAATACTATACATATTTACTTGTTGCACCTTTTTTATTAATTTCACCCCAGGGACCTAAGAAGATTTATTATTTAAATTTGTAGTCATAAAATTGTGTGAGATGAGTTTTCTGACTTTTTTATGAAGATTCTTCCTGAAGATTTATTATAGGAATTAAAAATAAGCTGTAAAATAATAAATAATGCCCTATTAAAGTACTCCAATTAACGAAAAAATACTTGAGCAGGTGATTTACCATATCTAACTTTATATCTCTGACTTGAGTTAATTATCATTATCCTTATGTAAAAATACCCTTACGGGTTAACGTTTTTAATAGCCTTAAATTTTGTATAAGACATTGCTGTAACTACCCAAAATTCTGCTTTTTCAACCCCAACTTCTAAGAGATTTTTAATTTGTTTTATATTTCCATTAGGTCTCAATTTCCATATTTCCTCGATTAATTTTTAATTCTTTAATAATATGCGTATGCCAAAAATTATCCAACCGCCCTGTATCATCAATTACATTACCGCTTTCATCACCTGGTGCTCGCAAACGCACTTATGCACATACGTTCGTGCACCCGCAGCACTTTCTCCCCGAGCGAGCGGTATACCCAAACGTGTAGGAACTTACCGGGTGTGCGCCGATGAGCTGAGCTTTCGTCCGATGGAAAACCGCGCACACAAACAGAAGCCACCACATGGAGTTTTTTACGGGTTTCATCTTGGCACCTACCGCACCGAGCACCGTTTGAATGCAGTCGATAATACTGGATGGTACGCCGGTGCCGGCCTCTTTTACGGTCCTCCCTCTCGATAGCCGCGGCATCTTCGAAGATGGTAGCCGCTCACCTCCGCGCGAACGGCGGTTTTCAACTCGGACATGCCTTTCCCGAGGGGTTTGTTAACCGGTGCAATTAGTTTATCGATGGAAGATTAATGGGATGAGTGGACAATCGACGAAAGTTTAGCAAAGTGGGTTATTTGGAAAGGAAAATGTTGGATAAAAGAAGATTTAAATGTACCTACTGGAGGTGCTTGATGAGATGAAATTATCAAATTGGTATCAAACGAACAAAAAAGAGAAAAATCAGGTCCGATTTAGAGACTCGGAAGTGGGTCGATATACATCACAGATTTGCAATGGACATAGAAAACATGATCTCTAAAGATTGGTTTTCGTTTATCCTACATAAACAGTATAAAACATGCTCACTTGCCCTAATTACCTTGCAAATCTAGAACTTACTCTTACATGGAAAAATCTTGGATGGAACAATCTTCTTAGACATCAGCATAAGGAACATTGGAATCAATGCAACCTGAAAACGTTTCTTTCAATCACAATCTTCATATCATTCAAAAGTGCATACAAACTCACGAAGTTTTTGTTACCAATGTGAAAAAAATGTATCGTTTGGTAGATTTTAAGGACCGACTTAATTTATTACTCTCCCTTTCATAGTTAATATATGCACTTAGCGTTCCAAATACTTTGAATATGGTACTAATGCTCAACAAAATATCATTGCGAAATCTTAAAGTGATTTACTGAATATACCTACTTGTAACAAATTTGCCATTTCTCTCAAACCCACCTTCATTCTACTTAACATACACCTTTAATTTAAACAAATTTCAATTTTATCTCATTTGTAAACACTCCATACGAAAGTACCCACTTCTACATACATCATTGCACCTACAAGAATAATATGAAAAAAGCATCAATTTAAACAGAACTGAGATGATTATATAAATGTTAAGTTTGTTTTTTAAAAATCCATACTAATTAGCGAATAATATTGGCATCCCAAAGCGGTTTGTTATATTAATGCTCGATTGTGAAATGAGCGGAATCAATGGGATCCGAGTGTGGGTGACCGAGCGGATGATTTAATTTGTTGAGGCAATTGATTTGCATGAGTACTTTCACCAGCAGGATCGTAGTGATGATTATTTAGATATCGTGATGTCAGTAAATAGCAGGACAATCGATTTGTTCAATACGAATCTGGGCATGAACAACCGCGGGGAATTCAGTCGTTTAGTAATATAATTTAGTAAATATTTTATTAATTGACGCGCGGTTTTATTAATGTTCGTACAATATTGCAGGTGACGGATTTTTTCACTTTATTTATTACTAAACATTGCTTATTTATTATTAGTGTTGTACCTGCTTAGTGAATTTAATGGTTAATTAAAGCTTGAGGCAGTAATTCTTACTTTTCATCTATCATCTGCCTGCAGCAAGATTATAGAATAAGTGCGTCTTGCATAATAAAAAATAGTTTTCATCGGAATAAAACACGATTATTAAATTCCTTTTATTTGAATTTAAAGGAAAAAAAATATTTTGGTTTCCTCTTTACAGTGTACAGGTGTCCACAACGAGTTAAAACTATACAATGTTCAAAAAATACCTACATATAGTATGTGGAAAAATACTTATAGTATAATAATAAAAATTTTTGGGTTTAGGTTTTCGAATATACTCTTAGTTTAACTAAAATATTTTCAAAGATGACCTCTAGCACCGGAAGTAGACTGTAACTTTGTTATCTTAAATTGGGACACCCTCTTTTTTTACAACGGAATATGATTACTTGTCAAATTTTAAAGTCACTTTAGACCCTACTCAGAAGTTCCTTATTAACAATGAGGATTGGGATTGTGGTACTTTTAAGTTGGCATGGCAGTATCCATGAAATATCCCTAAAGTCTATGAAAAATATGTAAAGTATGATCTATCTAAAGTATGAACATTTTCTCTCTACTTTTAGCATAAAATTTTCTCTCTACTTGTATGCACAAAATTTTCTCTCCACTTTTATGCACAACATTTTCTCTATACTTTTATGCACATTTTCTCTCTACATTCATGAACATTTTCCATCTACTTTTGTTCACAAAGTTTTCTTTCTACCTTCATAAATAATATTTTCTCTATACTGTTATGCACAAGATTTCTTTTCTCTCTACTTTTATGCACATTTTCTCTCTACTTTTATGCACAAAATTTTCTCTCTACTTTCATGATCATTTTCACTCTACGTTTGAGCACAAAATTTTCTAGATAATACCGTCCGCACCGAATAAAGTCGTAAATTGGTGTTGATCATAAAATTCTGTTGCGTCTATTCAGACGGGAGACGGGAGTTATAACATAGGTTTGACTAGCATGAAGTTGTATAACAAAATATGAACATTGGTATTGTATTAGTGGTTTTCTTATTCTGACCTCACGACTATTGAAAATCAATTGTTACCGAAGCAAAGAGGCGAAAAATTAAATTATTAAACCTACTTCTGGGTACAATAAAAGTTATAAAAAGCATTATGCGGTACGAAATGAAATTTATTTATGCAGTGTGGTAAAAAAGTGCTGCATAAAATTCATATTTCCGTAATTTTTTTTTTCGAATAACGCTGAGACCCGTCGATTTTTATTTCATCCAGGGCACCTTGTTATGTTGAAAAAACTTTTTTTCGTTTACTCGTTTAGGGCAGCGATGATGTCATCATTTTTTTAAAGTACAACCCATATTTTTTTCTTTCGAAATTGATGACGGTGATCATTCTCTAAACAACGCTGTGAAAATTTTCATGTCTTACACAACAATTTTTTTGAGAAAAATTAACCTGAAATTCTTAAAAGTGATCTATCTATCTATCTAAACTACCTATTGAATTTATCAAAATATAATTAAACCTCTCTTCTAACTATGTGATCCACCACTGACTGTTGTTTACGATTTTAAATTCTACAAATATTATTAATGATAATTTAATAAACCCAGTCAGATAAGAGGAGATATGTATAAAGAGAGGTTAGGTTCAAGTTTAAGTCCTAACATAACACTAGTTTGATAAAACGAATTACAATCGGTGTGTATCAAATATGTCTTTCAAAAACGAGTATTTTCCTGATGAACATCCTAGAAATTTGATACCTGAGTTATGCAGACAATTTTACAATTTAGGTTGGGTTACGGGAACTGGTAAGAACTACCTAAATTATTTTACCACCATCAAGATACCCACAATTTAATTTAGTTAGTGCTTTAAATCCATAAAAATTACTCTTATTGCCAAGCAGTTCCTGCGAATTATACTAAATACCTTGCCCTTATACTAAAAACTATACATTTAAATACCCTTTACTTTATAGGCGGTGGTATCAGCATTAAACATGAAGACCAAATCTATATCGCTCCTTCGGCCGTTCAAAAAGAAAGAATCCTGCCAGAGGATATGTTCGTACAAACCATTGATAACGAAGACATAGAAGTACCACCTCCAGGGAAGAAACTAAAGAAGAGCCAATGCACTCCGCTCTTCATGTGCGCCTACACTATGCGAAATGCAGGGGCTGTTATACATACTCATTCAAAGGCCGCCGTTTTAGCCACTTTAATATTTCCGGGTAACGAGTTCGAATGTTCTCATTTGGAGATGATTAAAGGTATTAGAAACCAGGAAACGGGCGTCAATTTCAGATACGATGAAAAACTAGTTGTTCCCATAATTGAAAACACTCCTTTCGAAGAGGATTTGAAAGAATCATTGGCAGAGGCTATTAAAAAGTATCCTCATACTTGCGCAGTTTTAGTCCGGAGACATGGGGTAAGTTACGATTATTTAAGTTTGAGTTACTGTATCGTTTCATACGATTATTTTGACTCATTAAAATATTTATAACCAGCTTGTTAATTTACTGTAGTTGCCAAAAACAATATTTTTTTATAGGTTTACGTTTGGGGGGACACTTGGCAGCAGGCGAAAACGATGACTGAATGTTACGATTATCTATTCGACATAGTAGTTAAAATGAAACAAATCGGTATCTCACTTTAGCCATCACGACTTGAAAATGATGAATAAGTAAAGAATATTTTATCTCTTTTTTTTTAATATGTATATCCTATTTCTTTTATCGCAAGTATACTCGGGAGGAAAATAATACTCTTTTGTTAAAAAACAAAATGTTTTTTTCTTTAAATCCAGTAACATACAATATTTCTAATGCATAAATATTTACACAAAATATCAAAATTTAATCATAGGAGATCACATTTAATAAATAATAATAGATCATTGTGTTCCTGTAAGTAGAATGTTATTAAAACGAGTAACAATAGCTTTGAAACTACTCTAATAGGCTTTTAACACCTAAGACCTAAGTTATCTATTAACTAAAACTTTATTAGCAATACAAGTAATAGTCTAGAAGACATCGAAGCTCCACAAACATTCAATGCAAATATTGCAGGTAATTTTGCATGTAAAACTACTAGTTTTTAGAATGTGTAACAAAATTTCTATTAATCACTCGTTTTAAGAACCAATCATAAATTTGTTGTTCCTATACTTTATAAAACGTAATAGAAAAATACGTATCCAATTTGAGATAAACTTTAAGAAATATAAATAGATGCCTAATTTAATTTATACAAATAAAATGTATTTCTTACATTGTTAGAAATAGCAAGGAGTGACATGGATTTTTTACTATTTATTAGCAATTTCTATGCTAGAATGGAATATAAAAGAATAGTGGGAAAGCAGTTTAATTTTCAAGAAAATACGCAGAATCTGCGTTAGCAATTACAATATGTGTCTATAAAATGGATTAGTTGTCTCATTTAATATGATAAATTCATTGTTCGACGAAAAATACAAGGGTTATTTATGCAGGCCATCAATATGTATATTCAATTACCTAGGCGTAGAAATTGATTATTCATCAACTCTTAAACAATTACTCCAAAATTACACTGATTGTTCATCATAAAATCACCTTCTAATCCTAAAAAATAAAGTTGGTAACATAATTTACACAGAAATTGATTCCTTCTAATTTAGAAGTTCTAAATAGGGAAATTTAAAATGTAATATAAATAACTATAAGTACAAAGATAAAGGAATGATTCTACTAACTCGGAAATTAAATAAATTCGTTTCGTCATAGACAAATTAAATCATTTTACCCTTACAATAAGCAATAAATTATAATAGTAAAGGGTAAAATATTATACATAGACCAGCTATAAAGAAACAACCATCAAAATAAACGATTCAGATGTTAAAATATCATTTTTGCCAGCCCTTGTTCAGTAGGTTGCACAAAATGCAAAACATCACATACCAATTTTTTGGTTTTCCTTAAAATATACTACCTACAGTCGAAGTCTTCTCGTAAAAAAGCATATAAGCTGTACTCTGGAGTACCTCATCAATAGAAACTTCTCTTATTTCTACATCTGAAGTATAATACCACCTAAAACAAATTTTATTACACGCATAAATGAATATTTTAATTCGAATTAACATTACCTATTATTCTGGTGACCCCTCCTATAAGTAATAAAATGGCCAGAATGAGCATCACCAGCATGTACTACAACAGATGCCAATTGATAAACGTTCTTGAATTCATTTGCCATATCTGTCAGAGAACTACCAGTCCAACAGAGTGGCGTGCTGCTTGATAAAGGACTACCTCCTTCGCTTGTACTTGTATATTGCTTAAAAATATAACAAAACACTATAAAATATTAATTCATTATAGTTAAAATATTCTTACCGAACTATTTAAAAATTTTCTCTGGTAGTGGACTTGAATAAACGTGTATGCAGACATTGACAGCCTCATGGGAAACTGAACGTAATCCTGCCTTTTCGACATGCCACTGGATGACCAAGTGTTTCGAGAAATATGAATGCACAAGCAAACCGGTAACTTAAAAAAAAGTAAATTTAAAACCTATTAAATTATGTAATAATCGAAGTACCTTTCCAAAGTTTAGGATTTTCACTTGTTTGGACAAAATGGGGGGCTTAGCCGGATCTCTGTTTCTGTTACAACCTTCGCACTGGACATCATTTACAACTTCAGGAGTGACGAAATTGGTTAACAATTGATGCAATTTGTGCCTTCCCCAACCAATATCGCCCGCAATCGTCGGCAAAGCAAGAGAAAGGCTTTCGAATTTGTCATATCGAACAGCAGACTATAAAAAAATATACAAACAACCGCACTTTACAAACCTTTATCACTTACCTTAAAACCGCAATCGGTGCACCTCAGTTGGCTGGTCAAGGTGCCAGTAAAAGGATGACTAACCGGTTGTTGAGGAGGTCCAGACATTTGCAGTGCTCTGCAAGACCTAGAGATCCACCGGTTTCTCCTAATGGCACCTCCTCTCCATCCGGCACTCATGGGCCTGCATAGCTCATTCAAAGACATAACGCTACCCAACGAATCGTAATCGCCAGCCTGTTCTCCTTGATCATCTTCGAATTCCAGTTCGTTCATACCCAATGCATCCGACAAACACCCGGCCTATAATGATCAATATTACTAGTTTAAATATCCTTCCGTTTAATGTAGAGTTATATTACTTTTCTTCCAATTTTTTGCGTTTCTTCATCGAGCGTTGTTAAAATAACATTAAGTAATTCATGAGCATCTTGTTCTCCGGAGGGTATCACCCACCCTAGTCTTTTTAAAGCATTTATAACGGCTGCAGGAGCAAAAGTATCTTGCACAGATTTGTTTGTACCATTCACAACTGAAAACGTTTGGTCAATAAAGAGAACAATAGAAATCGTTTGCTCACCTGATAGAACTGTTGCTAGGGTACTTCTGAGACTAGTTTCTTTCACGTATTTGTCTTTTTCTAGCCATGTTATGAAACTAGGGCAAGCTGCTAGAGCGTGCAGCACAGCATTGAGGAAGCAGGTTTTTCCTAGGTTTACTAAACCCGCTAATCTACCTCTACCACCGCCTGTGCTCGGAGCGGGGCCCCAAAATATAAACGCTCCAACCACTGCTGCTGCAGTCAATCCTGCGGCTACTAGGATTCTCTCGGATTCCATATTTCGGGTCTCTTACATAATCAATTTTCGAATGTACATTCGTTTCGTAATCTTTTATTATAATATAACATGTTCAAATATTCCCTAAATCGACACCAAATAAAATTTTAACGATTCAAATTAAATTAAATCCAATTTTTGCACTTTATATGACAGCTGATATTTTGACATTGACGTTCGCTTTTCTGAACATTGACAGTAAATTTCGTTTGAATGTGTTGCTCCGTTTGTTTTTTTGTAACCGATTCGTGATCTATTTTATAATTTTAGAAGGTTGGCAATAATAAATTTGAAGAAAATGAAGAAATGACAGTTGTTAATTTCAAGTGTCAAGCGAGCTAGTGTTGATTGTTTTTACAAAATCAAAAATTAGATTTTAAGTTTCTTTAAGCAAAAAATTAGTAAGAGTATATAAATTATATTTCAGAATAAACCTTTTATTAGGATGTAATGCTATAATCAAAATGTCAGTGCTGCAATTTTATGGTGCAAGCGGTAATAACAGTGTAAAGTGTTCATTAATTTCTTTGGAACGTTTTCAAGTAGAATTATCAGGATTTGACGATGGTCTAATAAATATATTAAAAACCATACCTTCTAGATATTATAGTAAATTTAGGAGAATCTATAAAAATTCCATTTCGTTACTATTTGTGTTTTAGATCCTCAAACTAGGATTTGGAGTTTTTTAATTAAAGATTACGAGCTATTACTTCAAAAATTGGAGCAACTGAAGCCAAGAATTATTGTAGAACAGATTCCTCAGTTTGCTTTGAAATGTATAAAAGCAACAAACCAAGAAGTTAACATAGAATTTGATAAATTAGATCCAGTTTTAGCAGCAACTCTTCTTCCTTTTCAAATAGATGGTTTAAAGTAAGAAACTCTATTTCTGATCTATATGATTATTAATAATTCCTTCTCTTTAGGTTTGGCATTGATAAAAAAGGTAGATGTTTAATAGGAGATGAAATGGGTCTAGGAAAAACATTCCAAGCTTTAGCTATAGCAAATTATTACAAAGAAGATTGGCCTCTTTTAATCATTACAACATCTACAATGAAGTAATGAATTATTTTCCATAATTACCTAGCGATTTATAATTAAATCTATTTTAGGACACAATGGGAAGAAACTATTGTAACATACCTTCCTTCTATACCCATATTACAAGTCCAGTATATGATAACAGCAAAAGATTACATAGGGGAGTCAAAGATTTTAATTGTCTCGTACGATATGATGTCTCGATGCTGTGAGAAAATCTCCCAACGAAACTTTGGAGTTATGATAGTGGATGAATCGCACACGTTAAAAAGTTTCAAATCAAAGTGCTTTCTTTCCGCTGCGAAAGTGGCTAGTAAAGCTAAGAGAGTAATATTGCTGAGTGGAACTCCAGCATTATCGAGGCCTAGTGAATTATATACACAATTATCTTTATTGGATAAGTCGTTTTTTGGTAGTTTTTACAACTACAGTCAGCGGTATTGTGATGCTAAAATAACAAAGTTTGGTCGCGATTGTAACGGGCACTCCAACCTGCAGGAACTCGAAGTAATATTAGCTAAAAAATTCATGATTAGGCGAACTAAAGAACAAGTAATGAAATCTATACCTAATAAAAAACAAGAAGTAATAACATTAGATACGAAATTAAACGAGCTAACCGAAGAAGACAGAAAATGTCTGAATATTTTATTTCAAGAATACCAGATGCAAAAAGGAGTTAACAAGCATGCAGCTTTGTTAACATTTTTCGGTGAAACTGCGAAAATCAAAATTCCTGCAATATGGTTAGTTTTAATTAATAGGTATCTAATAAGCTCTAATAATTTTCCTGTGCTTTTAGTTCTTATATTAAACCGCTACTGAGCCGTAAGGACAAATTTCTTATCTTCGCTCATCATAAAGTTATGCTAAACGCAGTAGAAAATTTAATAAAATTGGCAAACATTAAGTACATTAGAATAGATGGTAATACAACAACAGATCAAAGGAAATATTTCATTAAAAAATTTCAAACAGATGATAAATATTTGTGTGCTGTTTTATCCATAACAGCCACAAATGCTGGTATATCATTAACTGCAGCCAAATTGGTTCTCTTTGCTGAATTGCATTGGAATCCCAGTGTAAGCTCGTTTATAATTTCAATACAAAATAATTTTATTAAATTAATATTACCTCATGTGTTTTATTAATTTCCAGATACTAAGTCAAGCAGAAGCACGTGCACATAGAATAGGCCAAGAAGAGACTGTATTAATTCAATATTTACTATGCCCGGGTACAGCTGACGACGCCATATGGCCAATGCTCCAGGAGAAGCAACGAACGTTGAGTGCAGTTGGACTTTGTAGGGATTCTTTTGAAACAGTGGCTATCAAAAAACACAAGTCTTCTAGTGATAATGACGTCCTAAGTCAAAGTGCTATAACAAACTATTTAACACCAACAAAGAAACCGAAGCTGGAAAGTGACGTGTTTGATGATGGATTAGATGAAATTTTATGTAAAAGTGTCATTGAATATAATGATTCCAAAGATGCTGAACTGTTAGATGATGGTTTAGATGATTTATTCTGTGAAATCGAGTTTTAATACATATTGTTATTTTTGGCGATTTGCCACGGTTTTTTAACAAGATTTTTTTAACTCCAGTTTTTTTTTTAATACCTGATTAAGATTTAATTATTGATTTTTTTCTAGAGGGCAAATGTAATAAAACAATGCACATACTATGAAGCAATACAACTTACATTTAGAAACAGTATAGTAAAAGAAATGTCCATGGAAGAATTTGTAGGTCTTATAGGTGAGCATTATTAAAGATATGTTAAATTTACCTATCTTGACATATTGCTTTATATTTATTTTTCACTAAAAGTACATTATTAAGAATAGAAATGTAAAAAATTAAAATCTTAAAAATTTAAAATTGATGTATTTTCGTAAATTAAATTATTGGGTAAAAAGATAAGTATAGGGAAGAGGTTGAATTCAATTAATCAATTAATTAAATTAACTCTTAAATCCTTAATTAATACTAGACATAAAACAATAATAAAATAATTCACTACTAAAGTGTACATATTTTGTATTTTTTAATAAAAAAAACAATTATTGGTTATTATAGTGGAAATTACTCCCACTGAATAACACTTTAGCTGTGAAAAAATGCAACCAACAATCTTCTACAACTCCATTATTTGTTATGTGATGCTTTGCTTTTGTTGGCAACTACCCAGTAGTGGGTCATGACCCCTGGTAAAGAAAGACGCTCCTGACTGTTCTTCTTCAAAAGCTGCAAATAAATTAATTATTGAACATTGACAAATTTTAAGAACGATTCTTGTTTATTTTTACAATTCTAACAACCTTTACCTTATTTATAAGATCTTTAGCGCCTTCAGAAATATAGCTTGGAAACGTCAAATAGCAGTCTGCAATTTTTTTGTAAGTTTCATCTGTTCCGGAGCTTTCAAATGGGGGACTTCCAGTCAAAAATTCGTAACACAAAATGCCTAAAAAACATAAATACATTAATTTTATTACATACAAAAACATTTTAGTGCAAATTTGTACACAATATGGTCTATGGGTGCAACAAAGACAACTTCCAAATGCAGCAAATCTTCGTCTAAAGCTAGTTTGCCTTGGTCGTCCCCTTGGTATTTTAAAACTTCATTAAAATTTGTCTTTAAGGCAAAGTTTCACAATTATTGATTCACCCTGTACAAATTATTTATATTTATACCATTGGATAGCATTTGTATAGGCTTTTCAATGATTTAATTGAAATTAATTTCCCAATTAATATCCTAGAAATGGTTTCAGGCATTTTTGATATCAACGTTCGTTTGAGAGATATAGCCATTGTAAGTTTTTAAATTGTCATACTGTCTAAAAATGTAAAACTTTTTTCTCTTACCTAAACACCAATTGTCAACGGCTTGTTTGTATGTCTGACCTTTAACCATTTCAGGCGGCAAATAATCCAAAGTACCGCATAGAGTTTTTCTTGCTGAAGGAGAATGAACAGACCAACCAAAATCTGCCACCAATACATCACCGGTTATACTTAGAAGTAAGTTTTCTGGTTTTATATCCCGATGAATGACATTGTTTTTGTGACAATAATGAAGTGCATCAGCCACTTGATAAATATATTTTGCCGACCTAAAAATTACGTTCAACTGTAATTATTTAACTTTAACTCGAACAATTAAGATTTCACTTACAAATGTTCGTTTAACCTTCCTTCTGGAAAGTTCTTTATGTGTTTATACAATTCACCTTTAGCAGCAAACTCCAATATTAGGTAAATTCGGTGGGAATCGTGAAAATAGGTCATCAATTCCAAAATGTTGGGGTGCCTAAAAGCATATTTAACGTTACAATTTGAATGTGACAATTTTGGAATCATTTAGAACCATTTAGAGCGCTCCATAATCATTTAGAACTGTTTAGAACCCTTATTTAGACTTGTTTTGGCTAGTTTTACGAAATCGCTAATTTATGTTCCATTTATATATTTTATTTATCCAGTGTTTCCTTGCAAGGAAAAGGCGAAGATTATGAATATGCATAGGAGCAAAACCCTTTCCTCTTGTGTCTACCTTTTACTTCAAAATAAATGCCTCATTTTTATAAATATGGACTATTGACTATTACCTTGCTCCTACATTTTCAGATTCGTAACTCTTCAGAAGTTCTAATAAACACCTACCGTTCAATAGAACTTCATTAGACCGTTTTAGACCATATACTAATAACTTATTTTGGATGTAAAGCTTACTTTAAATGACTCTGGATTTCAATTTCTTGCATAACTTGACGTTCGACTCGTCCCCTTACAATTTCCTTTTTATGCAAAGTTTTCATGGCCACAATTAGGCCAGTCTTCCTTTCACGCGCAATGAACACTCTACCGAATTTTCCTCTTCCTAATCTATGTCCTATTTCGAAATCGTCCAATGACCATTTGTAACTACAATAAGAATGTAAAAATTACAAACAAAATAATTATGGTTAACAAAGGAGTTAATTTAAATTAAAAAAACGAAGTTTTCGATTCTGTATTGCTATAAATCTGGGTAACCTATGGTTCTTACTCTTCGTTTTCAAAAGCTTCATGAGCATGAACTTTCTCCAGAAATTCCCTAGTATCGTCCTCGTGTTGAGGTGGAATTCTAAGAGACTTCACATATTCATCCATATTGAATTGATTCTGTTTTTTTTCTTTCGTCTTCGACATGATCGACTTCAGTAATATGCGGTAGCGTAGCACAAGAAAAAGTCGTTACAAATTCAAAAAACTTCCTCATACAACAACTACCAAATCACCGAATGACAGATGATTGAAGTAACGACAAAATGGAAAGTTGTGATTGGTTAGAAATATTCGGACATGCGCAGAAATTTGTATCGACAGGTGGGGTTATTTTTTCCTCTTTTTCTATAACTGTTGGCCTTTTTTCTTTCTCATATGCAGCTATTGGTCCCATCTTAAGTCAGGTCAATAGATCAAATTAAGAGTACAATAAATCGAGGGTAGTAATTAAGACAGGATGCATAATTTCATTACGTCACTGTTTTATAATTAGGATAATTGTGAAAATTAGAAAATGAGGTCGCAGAAATCTGGCAACGTTGCGATAATTTAGACGCGAGATGGAAAAGAATATTTAATTGTAACAGTTGTAGCAAATATTAGGTAAAATAACGCAACACAAAAGCACTGTTATTTGCTTTAGGTAAATTACCAGTCTGTATAAAAAATAGAAATACCCTTTCACCTGATTATTAAAAGTAAATATTTAACTAAACGCTTCAATTCAACAAATTCGTAAAAAGATAAAAATAATTAGGTGACAAAATCGCGAATTGGAAAATCGCAACTCACCTCTACAACAATACAACTGTAATAAAAACCTTGTCAGTTCCAGCTGTAAACGTCAGTCGAGTTATAAAAATACTACGTTTGAAAAGTGTTTATTGTGTAACTCCAAGGCTGGATTCAGTGTTTCCGCAATAGTTTCCATTGTAAAGAAAGAAAAATATACAAAAAATTTATATAAAGTTAATCGCCATCGTTGTGCGAAGACGTTGCGACCAAGTGAGCTCGTCGGTAATGTAATCGGGTTAAATATTCGAGTGTTCTTCTTGAGTCGAGTTCAAATATATTGTAAATCTGGCGACTGAAATTAGATATCGAATTGGAATGAGACTGATTTTAAAGAAATTTATCATCCACACATCTTCCGATCATTTTTCAGAGGCGGTCGAAAAGGCGATAATTTAGTTTTAATTTTTCGCGTGTTCCCATTTTAATTTCGTTATATTTAGTTCCGGTTGAGTATTGACCGTGCAGTTTATTCTTATCTGAATTAAGCAAATATTCTTCTGCTGTTCGAAATCCTGCTATTTTTGTAAATATAAAGCCTGCGATGTCCTCAAGGCCCCCAAGCAACAACGAGAAAATGGCAGATGAATGCAGAGGTGAGCATAAAATGTTTAAATTCATTTACCCATTATTCCTCATATGTACATAAAACATACGATTGATATTCCAATAAAGGTAATAGAAATTTAAAATTATTTGACTCGATTTGAATAAATTAATATACAACAGACGCTATAAAATAAAATTTAATGTTATGCAAGTCAAAAATATTTTGTCCTCCGAAAATTCCTTACAAATTGACGTCAATTTCATAAAAATTAAAAAGTAATTAACACTTTTTAAATTTAGTTTTAAATATTTTTAAAAGATCGTCAAACTTAATTTATGTAATTTCAACTAAAATTTGGAAATAATAATAATCTGTTGCTAATGACTTCAATAATATCTTATCTGCATGTGTCTTCAAAAAATAATTAGAAAAAAAGATAAAACTTCCATATTTACTAAAATTTTGTGTCGCATATTGGTTTATATAATTATTGAATCAACATTTTATTATTCTAATCACTAGTTCTATAAAAATGTATTTTGTATGTATTTTCAATAGTTCTCTGTGTATCCAATTAAAAATATTTTTTTAATGTCTAGTTCAAATTGAACTTAAAATTGAATTTTACCAATTAATATAGTCAGTACTTTCTTTTAAAAAAATAGAATACTTTCAACAGAGAATTATTTATGTTCAATTAATAAATATTACTAATATCATTCATTAAACAGTATGTATGTATACCGTTTATCTATGAAAAATTCTTATTAACTTCAATTTACTTCTAAAAATGCAAAATTTTATTATTTAACCGTAGACAATTTAAATGCTTTTGAATGCACTCGAACACCACTGAAATAAAATAAAAACTATTTATCAATGTAACAAGTTAACTTAAATTTAAGGTGATGTTTATTTAGATTTTCTAAATATAAGTTTGCATCAACAAGCACACTTTTCAAAAAAAAAACGTCTTCAAAGAAAAACCAAACGTGCGCGAGAACAAAGTCCGTTCTAATTTTAAACTCCAAGTTTTTCCTTTATGCTTTAGTCCAAAATTCGCGAAAATTCGTGTCAAATGAAATGCTAACGGTCGAAGATGAAAATAACCGCTCGTAGGAAGTTCATGGAATCATAAAAATTTCAGGTGTGACGAATGTATTATACATCAGAAACTGCTTGGGACATTCTATTATACTTGCCAGCAGTAGAAACTTTTTACTTGACGTATGAGGAAATGAAATGTTTACTATTCCTGTTTATAATGTATCGTGTATATTTAACTATGGTTTAAATAAAACTATACTTCAAAATCGTGGTAATAAATTACCACCAGTTAATATTAGTAGATAACTTAAATTTTCTTTACGAGTATAAAGGCTTTCTTTATTTTATCTTAATTTTAGCAGTGAAAAAGAAAAATCATGTAGTTACTTTCTACACTCATTACTCACTTGACTTCTTTGTATACTTTCTTTTAAATTTATAGCTTCTAAAATACTTTATTATAAAATATTCATATTTTGAAACTAATAAAGAAACTAATTCAAAAGTAATCAAACATTTGCATGTCTATACTAATTTTTCACCTTTTTGGTAATTCCAAATTCTTTCAGATAAAAATAGATAATTTCATTTACAGCTGTAAAAGCGGTAAAAAATTAGCTAGTCGCATACACAATATTTTCAAAATTGTCTATTTTCTTTATGAACGACTTTGGCTATTTATAATCGTGTTTGTCAATCTACAGTGCTTATCTTTATTTATACCGATTTAGTATGTACGCTATTCATATTATATGCCATTTTAGATGCTTCTAGAAGCTCTTACCTAATGGCTTATTTATAGCACTTAAGCTAGAAAATTATCAGAATTGGATACAATTTAAACGTAAACCTACCAAAAGGCAATTCTAATCTGGTTATAAATGTTCTAAACATTGATCAACAACTTTGTTTTTGCAAAATATCTATTTTTTTATTTAAATGTTTCTTATCAGATACGCATAATAAATTGTTATTAAATAGAAGTACCCTTAATAGTGAACTGCAAATCGCACAAATAAAGTACTTATTCCGCAACAGAATTAAGAATTATTTTGCCTTTGTTTATTGAATAAGTAAAAAAAATGATGTTCAGAATTGAGAAATAAATTTCATCATCATTTACATATAAGATATTTGGAAAACCAGATTGTTGACGCGAAAATAACTTGACAAAATGTTTACAATTTTTCTATGGTATATGGCAGTTATATTCGCAGTAATTAATTATTCATAATTCAAATTTTGAGACTCGGTTGTTGTTTTATAATAGAAGACACTTATTATGACCAGCCTATGATTATCTCAATACATAATTTAAAATTATAGATACATAAATTTGTACTTCCAGAGAAAAAATCCTTTGTGAACTATCGTTTAGATTTGTATATATCCCATTTTTACCTGCATTAAAGGTACATTTTTCGAGGAATTCTTGATTGTAACAACCAGCATAATTCGTACTAAAAATGTATTAAAATTTTGATAATGGTAGTTAAATTACAATAACTCTTAGCCACTGATTGAAATTTAATCTCCCATTAGGTATTTTGATAATTGATACTTCTTCGAAAAATTCTGGGTTGTAGAGAGGGTAAAGTTTCTTATATTGCGGCAATAACCAGCAAGATGCATTGTTATTTTGTCATTGCCGAGGGCTCGAAACCGAAGTAACTCGAGAAAAATGAGTGAGCACGATACTACAAAGATAAGTTTTCCTCCTAACTTGTTTTCATCAAAAGATTCAGAAAGTCGGTTACATGGTGGTATTTTGTCTCAATTTTATGGCAATTATTTGCTAAAACATAACAGTGAGTGTTCTAAAGAAAACCAGGAAGAACTGAAACAAGTCGTTAGTAATGAAGATGTTGGTAAGATATTTTTTGATTTACTTGTACTTATCAATGGACATTATCGATAGACAAAGTGGAGGTAAGATTTATCGATTAAAAATAAAAAGTTATCACAATAGATTTCTAAAAATAAGGAAGTGCAAAAATTTACACTTTATTTAATACTTACGTGAAAGAGGAAGTAACATTTTTATTTCTAGATACCTACTCCTATGGGGTTCTATTTTTTATTTTAATATCATTGTTAACTTGGCATTTAATTTACGTAAAACAATAAGTTAAACCAAATAACTTACTTATTATCTTAATTACACTTTTATTGGAATAATAATCTTAGACTGCAAATAAATATTTGCACAAATAAATTTCATGTATTTAATAATAACTAATTCACATTAATATTAACGTTTATCATTATCACCAAGTGGGAATTATGACTGATGAAATAAAGCTTTATTAATCGCATATTACAATATAAATTGCTCAGTGCGATATATTATGCCGAACGTGTGTGTTAGTCTCCGCATATTATCTCCATATATTTTAATGAGCCATGGAAAACCTTAGGAATAGTGTTAATAAAATGAGCATAAAGAAAAATGTTTTTCGACCAGGTGCTCAAGCTCCGCGCAGGACAACCCTCAGACAATTCGCGCCCCTTTTGGTGGCCATGGTTGGATTACCGGGAAGAGGGAAGAGTCTACTGACCAAAAGGATATCCAGATACATGAATTACACAGGAGACAATACTAGAGGTAAGTTTACATGTTTTAAATGATTCCTTGTACGACCTGTTTCACCCATTACATTAGTGATTTTTGGAAATGATACAAGTACAAGGATTTTTCAATATACTTATTTATAATAAACCTTGGAGAGCGAATTTATTAGAAATCGTATTGAATATTGACCTTTCGCATGCGACGGTGGGTCAAAGATTAGCTTCGAGTGGTCCCCTTTTTATCGAGTTCTCAGAGCGATATGAGTATTGAGATTGACATTACGAAATTCCCTGTCTTTATGTACCATTGTATTTAAGTTATATCGCTCACGATAAGTGCACAAATCGTTACACTACGATAAAAAGTCGATTGATTTTGTGGAACGGACGTAATATCTTCAATTTTTTTACTTTTAATTTCCCTCACTCAAATCTTTATTAATTTTAATAAATTTTTTTAATCTTCTATAATTACATTTTTGTTTGTTTGCAATTACTCTCTCAAGCGCGTTATTTTACGAGTTTTTTTATATTTACTTTGTAATTATCCATAATATTTTTGAATAAAGCTGTTTTGCCAAAATAATTCATTGACTGTACGAGGAAATAATTTTTAAGTGCAATGACTTCCAGACTAAATTCCGCTTTCCGAAAAATTAAGCTGTTCAATTTTAGTCTGAAATTTTGTTACTCATCGTAAAATTAAGTGTGCCATACTGTTGGCATATACAACATGTTTTGAAACCGTTTTGCATTAATTTATGTTTATATGAGGGTCTTTTATTATGTGTACCTACACATAATTTTATTATTTGATGTGATACAAATGTACGTGTGTCTCCAAATATTTATTTTAGTTAATTTGGAACGCTAATAAGCGTATGGCGAATTGAAAACAAAGCTTCAATAAATGTACATATTTTGAACTAGTTTCTAATTACTTTGAAATTATTAATGTCCTGATAATTTTTAGGCAGCGTTTCATCCATAAATTTTACTAACAGAGTAAATAAATCGATAGTTAAAATTACGAAAACACCAGGTTATCACTGGTACCGAATAAATTCGCATAATAGAAGGCTTATTTAATTCTGCTTGATAGTAAACAATTTCTTTTCAAATTTACAAAAGATAATTAGCGATCTTTCGAAAAAAAAAATCCCCGAATTTAACGCAATTTCTATATTGGGATGATACGATAAATTTATTTTTAGCCACACGATTGCCATTGAACTAAAAGTGAAGCCTGAAAAAAACCTCGTTAGGGGTCAATATTTCTGATAAAACTCAAGTTAATTGGTTACTTACAATTATAGATGCTGTTTTCAAAGTTCATTTTTTTATGACACGAAAAAGTGTTTGTGTATAAATATATCGTGCAATTTATATTCTTAAATTATCCTCTTTTTATACCAATTATTCTGCTGGCTTTAAAAAAATACCTAACAAACCCCTTATACCTACTCAAGTTCCCCATAGCAATTTATCAATTTTCGTATTAAAGTATACGACATCAGCGAGTACCGGCGCAGCCACATGAAGCAGTACGATTCCCACGAAATGTTCCGCGCCGACAACCTCCCGGCCTGGAGAATCCGCCAGCAAAGCTTCAGGGAAGCCCTGGAGGACGCCGCGGCCTGGCTGCAGGCGCCCAACAACAACGTCGCCATCCTCGACGGGCCGAACGTGTCCCGGTCGCAGCGCCAGGAAATCTACGATCTGATCTACACCCAGCTGGGCTTCAGGGTGATGTTCATCGAGTGCGTGTGCGAGGACCCCGTCCTGCTCGAGCGCAACTTCAAGGAGATCCTGCAGTACAGCACCGATTACAGGGACATGGCCACCGAGGAGGCGCTGAAGGATCTCACGCTGAAGATGACGCACTACAAGGCGCAGTACGAGTCTCCGACGCTCGGCAGCCTGTGGGAGTTGCCGTGTCCGATGGTGAAGATCTTGGACGGGGGCGAAGGCGGGATTATAGCTCACGGCGTCAACGGATGCAGGGAGAGCAAAATTTTGGCATACATATCGACGCCCAAGAATTATCAACAAACTCTTTACTTCAGCAGGGTAAGTTTTTTTTTATTTGCACATAACTTTATAGGACTTCAATACCTCGAAGGAATTATTTAAATATGGATGTCATTGATCAACAGTTTAGTTACTAGGAGTTATTCGCGACAATAGAAGTCATTTGGGTACAAGAAAGTCGAGTATCGTTTATTGCCTTACCGAATAACTCACAAAAAGTTTTGAATTACAGCGACAAAAGTACCCGGAAAATTGGAATAAAACGCAAAATTCTTAATCTTCTTTAATTTTTCTTGAATCTCTGTCAAAATATGCTTCTTTTGAAGTGACACACATAGTCAGATGCCTTTTCCAATCATCGAAGCATTTTTATAGGCCCTTTTTAGTACAGCCCAATTTAAATCCCAATTTCCGGGCACTTTTTTGTTGGAAGGTATTGGTTTCCAAATTACTTCATTTCATTCTTCTAATTCCCTCCAAACTACTGAGCTAATATCCTAATTTTATACCTATCTTTTCAGCATGGCGAAAGCGAATTTAACGTTATTGGAAAGATCGGCGGAGACGCCAAACTTTCGCCGAGAGGAAAAATGTACGCGAAGGCGCTTTCAAAGCACATCCACGCTCTGAATTTGCCCAATCTCCAAGTGTGGACTTCGACGTTGTTCAGAACGAAGGAAACGGCTGCTGGTATAAACGTACCGCAACAGCACCTGCACGAATTGGACGAAATTTGGTCGGTGAGTATTTTTGGAAATTTACTATTTTCGAGTGCAATTTGCTGACGGTATAGTGGAAAATTTGGTATTTGTAATTTTGTGTTGCTTATCTTTATTAGTGTGTTATTTATAGCGATTAAAAAAATATACGCAACTTTGATAAAATGATAAACTTAAATTAATTCATGTTTTTTAAACCGAACACCTTAAATAAATAACAACATTTTTTTTATTATTATCTTATCAGGAGTTGTTTTTTTATATCTTCAAATATATTTCCATACTAAAATTTTACTTAAAATCATTTTAAAAACATTACTAACGAATAAATTTGTTTGTAGGGCGAATGTGAAAGCCTAACGTACGAAGAACTCCAGGAGCACTTTCCAAAGGAACTCGCCCTTCGTGATAGCGAAAAACTCAAATACCGCTATCCTCAAGGCGAATCCTATGTGGACGTCATGAACCGTTTGGTGCCCATTTTGACCCAATTGGAATGCGAAACTAACGTGCTCACCATATCCCATCAAGCCGTGCTCCGTTGCGTTTTGGGCTATTTCCTGGAGACGCCCCCGGACGAGATACCCTACCTGCACGTGCCCCTGCACACGATCATCAAGATAACGTTGCAAGGGCACAGCTACAACATGGAGACCATCAAAATGCCCATAGAATGCGTGGATACCAATCGCGCTAAACCGCTGAATTGCTCCGAATCGCGAACCTCGGAGGACGCGTTGCTCACGCTGCCCAAACACTACGACTCTATCTCCAATTTAATGCAGTGCACTTAGCTTTGTTTCGATAAGTGTTGCTTTATTTGATTAACATTAGGTTAATTTGGTATATTGATTTTGGGCGATTTGATTCAAACACAATTTGTAGGTAAAATGTTAGCGTAGTTAGCGTTTTGTTGTTTTCATTTTATTTTTGAACAAACCGTTTGAATGGATATAGAGCAATAATTACGAATTCATTTATTTCCTGCATTGGGAAATCCTAATCATCAGTAAAGCTGTTTTGATAAAATGTACTTTACATAAATTTTCTAGCAGTTGCTATTTTTAAGTCACTCTAAATAAACAGTTTACTCGTTTTCATATACAAGTGTTTGGAGTACTGTCCTTGCTAGAAATTACACGAGAAAATTATACTGTAGAGTAAATTTGATTAAAATAGAATACTAATGAAAAATATAATGCAATAAGTTTTCATTTGTAGCTTTCAGATAAGATTAAAGTGCTATATTAGATAATAGCAATAGAATTTTTATAAAAAATGATCTGATGCTTAAGTATTTAATAGCAGTTAATTTAGATGTAATCAGGAGTGATTAAGTAATAAGACGTATTGAATTATCAAAGGTGTGCGGAAAAGTTTGCATAATGTTGTGCTCTAACAATTGTTTTGTATTAATTTGAAAATAAGAGAATTGAATGTAGAATGGCTTTTATGAATAGTTTGTATTAATTAACGCGACTTAATGTTTATTAATTATGCCGGTTATCGAGCGAGAGTAATAAAGAGTGTCGCCAAAATAAGTTGCGATAAATAGTATAATTTGCATTTTGGGAAAGTTTGCATGTTATTTTAATTGTAGTGACGTTTTATCAATTATATGATTGTAAATATTTTAGTGGATTTTATATCCATGATTTGAGGTAGTAGGGAAAGTTTTATGATATTTTTAAAACAACTTTTCTGGGTGTAATACTATATTAGTATTTTTTGTGATATCTTGAACAATGTTATGTAACCATCAGTTTCGTAAGAACTGTAGCCACAGAATGTAACATGAGTTAAAAAAAAACATCATTTTTGTCTCTTATTTCGACACAAAAAATAGACACAGATTAAGAAGTATCTGTAAGGTCTTATTTTCCCGTATATTGTTCAGTATCACCAAGAGAGAACGAAAAGGGCTCGATTGTAAAAAATCCCTTAAGTTTAAAGCGTTTTGAAAATTTTTGTTTTTTAAACATTGCAGATTAAAAATTAAATAGTCTAAGTTCTTTAAAACCGAGCATTATTTTTGTACCCTTTTTGCGTTATTTAGAACTCCAATTAAAATAGAAATGTTCGATAAAACAAAATTTTTAATAAAAAAGAAAGAAAACTAAACGATATTTAAATTTGTCCAAGCTTTGTATGTCCATATTTTTCAAAAATGTAAAAATTTACAAATAAGATCAATCCAATAATCCGTAAACAACGCAACTTTCGTAAAAATCTTGGACATTTTATAGTAAACATAAAAAAAACCTAAACTTAACCTAGTTCATAGTAACACTTAAAACGTATTTTTTTAAAGAAGCAGGCTCATAATAATATAACAATAAAAACAAATTTGTTGTCTAATCTACTTACTAATACTCCCTTAATTATTCAGTCGCAAATTTTCTTGAATATTCTCGAAGCGTTCCGCAAACTGATCCAGTAATTGCGTTACTTGAGGCACTTCTTGTTTTGATCTAAAACAATCGTTACATAAATAGAAAAAGTACGCCACATAAAACGATCAATAAGAGAGAAAAAACAACTCACCTAAATGGATAGTTTTCTTTCGAAGGTGGTGAATTCCCCGACCAAGGATCTTCCTCTACGATATCAGTCTCTTGTTGGCGAAACGGATTAAGATTCCTTGTCGCCGGTGCGGCTGATGGAACATTCTGGAAGAACTGACTAGATACTGGTTGTCCCACTTGAAACCGGGTCGAAGAAGCTTGATAAGCAAGCTCATTGGCATCGCCCGCATGCCTGTAATGCCTGGAGTTTATGTTACCGGCTAATCGTACCCCACTGTTCCATCTTCTGACCAAATACTTCATCCTTATTAGCGAAATTACAGCAAAAACGTGCGCTCTAAATCGGTGCTTTAAGGTAAATTCCAATCTAAATTGTTGCCTCTGAACAATCGGGTCGGGTAAGGCACTAACGGAACATTCCCTCTTGTGGGAAATTAGGTAACCCATGAGGTAGCTCTTTTGAAACACTAGTGCTTTCCTTATGCTCTCCAGTTTAAGCGTTTTAGCAAACAAATAATCGGCCTATAAGCGAAATACAAATTAAATATTTATGAATAAAAATCAAATACAAACTTACCCTGGCCATAAGGTCGTTAGTAGATACCTGCATGTTGAAATCTTTATTGGACCTTTTGGCTATATCCAACTCGTACTCCACTCGTTTCTTTTCGTTTGTCAACCTCGATATTAGATCTATAAATTTTTTATTGTCGATAAGCGCGTTGTTTAGTTCTTCGATTTTCTCCAAGAATTCGTCTCCGGAGGGTTGCTTATTAGCGGTATTCCGAGCTTTGAACGGGTTATTACATTTCAATCGCTGAAGCAACTCCAGTTTTTGCTTGACCAAATCCGCCTTCTCTTGCGACATTTCATCCTTAAAAAAAGTATTTGTATAAACCTCCTTATTTGGTACGAATTCTGCTACTTACCACTACTCGCTCCATTTCTAAATTCTTCCGCATCAAACTGTCTTTTAGTTCCTTTTCTCTAACCAGCAAGACGTGGACTTTCTCTTCAAATTTGTTTTTTCTTTGCACTTCCAACGCCAACATATCCTTTGTGCATTTGTAACCGGTCTCCATTTCTAATTGGGATCGCTTTAAATTATTCAATTCGTTGGTTAACTGATTTTTTTCGCCCTGTAGAACATCGAAATTCCTTCGCAACTGCTTCAATTCGATAGCTTCGTTGCTGGGCAATTTTTTGTACTCTGTAGACTCCGATTGACTGTTCTTCGCCTACAATCATAACATTATTATCTACGTGTGTATATAGAAAAAAATTAATTATTTCACCTTTAACCGATTCAATTCCTCTTCCAAATTTTCTTTCTCGGTATTCTTATCGCGCAAAGATTTCTTCAGTTCCTCGTCGTTTTTCATCAAAGTGTGCAGCTGAATTTTCAGTTCTTGTATTACTCGAGCTTCTTCGATTTTGTTTTGATTTAAGGCGGATCGTTCTTTATCCAAGTCGTCTTGCAAAGCGTTGATTTTCGATTGGAGTTTGTGAACGTGCTGGAGTAGTTGCTTCTTATTCAGTCTCTCCTAAAATGATCAGATTTAATATGAGAACGCCAATCTCATTCAAATAGTGAAATAGTTAATATGGTGATTTAAACAAAGTTGAGTTGATTCAATTTGATTTGGATTGGTTCCAATTGAATGGGTGATTGGAAAAAGGATAAAATTACAGTGAACCTTATTTTTGGGAAATAATTTTTTTTTTTGGAGACGTTATTGGCATTTGAAAGTACAAAAATTTTATCTTTTTACCACTCAACATCTAAAAAATAGTTAAAATATGTGAAAACTGTTTTTTTCAACATCTTTGCCAGTCTTTTTGAAGTATTGGGGCCAGCAGCTTTTGAAATCAAGCATATCGGTATTACTTAGTCGTTTTACTTGAAACTTTGGTATCTTGGGAAAAAATTCTGTCATAATGCATAAATCTATGAGCTCGGATAGGAAAATATTGATGAATTACCTCAAATCTGCTATTCATGGCCAGCGCAGTTAACAACCTGGTTAAAATTCCAGAAATATTATCGCAACTATGAGCTCAGCGTGAAGATAAGAGAGATTAGAACAAAATATCATTTTAATTCGCCATATTTTTATAATTTTATCCTTTTTGCAATCGTAGAAAAGTTTACAAATGCTATTTAATACTAAATTTATACCTTAGCAAGTGCTTTTTTGTAGGTTTCCACGTCGTGCGTCTCGGAAATAGAATTTAAACTTTGATCGCTGACGGCGATTAGTATACTAGAATCTATCTTGTTGGAATAGTCCAGTTCTTTCTTCAATTGATCGGCGATTTCGTCGACGGACGAGGTCATGTCGTTGCTTCTGTATTGCATTAGTTGAGCTTTTAAACTGTGTATTTCCTGCATCAATTCCGCCGTTTTCTTCTGTTCTTTCTTAAGCTTTCTACCCAAATCTATCAAATTACCCGACTCCTTGAAAGAAACGAAAAAACGAACGATCACGCGTTATTTATAAAGTAATTACGGTGAAATTTGGTGTTTACTTACGTTGATTTTGCTTTGTATAGAAGTCAAATTAGCGTGTAATTGGTGACTGTCTTCCGTCATTTGAACGATTATTTTTTCTTTTTCTTTTATTAGTTCTTCTAAACGATTACGTTCTCCGTTTAGTTCGCTTAATTTAGTCTCTTTTTCTTCCAATTGATTCTTGAGTTTAGCCACATCGCCTTGCTTTAGCTTTTTAATTTCGTTTTCTAGGATAGAAATGTCCAATTTATATCTATAAAAAATAAAAATACTGTTAATTACAGATTGTACAACTTTTGCAGAATGTTTCACAAAAATAAACGATATTAAAGCTACAATACTGTGAAACAATAAGAGCGTCTTCACACGGTGCAATATATTGCAGCAATAAATTATTGTATAAAGACTGCAATGCAATATTGCACCGTGTGAAACCACTCTTAAGGTTAATTTACCTATCAATGTCTTCGGTTAGAATATCGGTAGCGGCACTTTTATCTAATATGATTTCATCTTGTTGTTTCCGTTGCCCTTGTAAAATATCTAATTGTTTCGTTTGACTCTCGACGGAATCCTGCAGTTCTCTTACAATTTTCCGCTTCTTACTCAACTTCTCTTTGGTGTTCGACAATTCGTTGGTTATAGACTCGATTTGGTCCAATTTACTGTCCAGTTCTCGGTGCAAGTTGTCCATTTCGCCTTCGTTATTTTTCAGGGTTTCTTTTAGTTTTTTATAACGAGAATCGGATTCGAACAACTCGGCTGAAATGTGGTTAATCCGTTTTTGCAAAGCCGCTACTTCCGACGATTTTAGTGAATGCTGGGTTGTTAGTACGTCCAATTCTTCACTGCAAAATCATAATTATGTAAGCCAATATAAATTGGAATTGGAAAAAATTATTATTTATCCTCAAGTTTGCGATTATACAATACAAAATAAACAGGGAGTCCTAGTTACAATAACAAAGATTTCAATTTACAATGTACAACTCACCATTTGCTTTTAAGCAGATTGATGGTGGTATTTAATTCTTTATCCAGTTTTTTATTTTCTCTAACTAAATCTTGATACGCGGTATCCTTTCGCTTAGAATCGTCTTCCAAGATCTGTATGCGTTTCTGCGCTTCCTCTAAGTGCAATTTCTTTTCGGTGATGGTTACGGTGAGATTGTTGATTTTTTCTTTTAGTTCTTTCTGTTCCATTTCGAAGGTCTCTTTCGTCGTCGACAGGATTTTTTCGGTTTCGTCAAGAGCCGCTTGCAGTTTTTCTATTTTGGATTCTAAATTATTGAGAATTTTCATTTTTTCATCAAACTCTTTGATACGGTTATCTCTAGTTTCTATTTGGTTTTTCAGGTCGGCGATTTCTTTTTTGAAATCATCTTCAAAGTGAACTTTTTTAGATAATTCCGTTGAATTTCTGGATTGCACGTCGCCGGAATGATGACCGGGCCCTAATATAGCCGATATATCTGGTGCAAGCGTATTTTCTTCCTGTATTTTCTTTTGTGCGAACAAACTCGGTGTACTAAAGTTACCAGTTTGTTCCATTTTTCTAATCGTGTCGCCTCGGCTCAGGTCTAGTATACTAAACAACTCTTCTAAACTAGTCCCGTTATTTTTGATGTTAGCTAAAGTTTGCAAATCCTTTTTGTCCAATTTTAGCGTAGTGTACTCTTCTAGCAACTTCTCGGTATCGTCTAATTTCATTCTTAATCTAGCCATATCAGAATTCTTATCGGATATTATGTTTTCCACCAGATTCGGTACCATATTAGCATCGTTTTGCATCTTATCCTTCATTTCACCGTTGTCTTTCCGAAGCATTTCGATCTCCTTTTGCATGCCAACCAACAATTCGTCGTCTTTGGATGTTGCCAGTTCGTTCTCCAAATTTCTCAATCTCTCCTGAGTCTCCGCCAATAAAACCTGCTGATTGCCGATCGCCTTCTCCTTTTGCTGCAACTTTTCCTTCAGCGCCGCGATTTCGTTTTGCAAATCGTAGATTTTCAATTCGAACGCGGTGTTGTTCTGCTTTTCGATGTTGTCCCCTCGTATGCGTTGCTCGTCGAGTCTGATTTGCAAATCGGAGATGAGAACTAGTTGCTCTTGGATTTGTTTCCTCAGGTATTCCCTTTCGCCTGATGTTTCCTGCAACAATCAATAGTGTAAAGTTTCTGTACTAGTCTTCCAAATTGCATATTACCTCAGCTTCTTGTTTTAAACGGAAAACTTGCATTTCCAAATCCCTTATTCTCTTCATTGCGGCATCTTCGGCCCTAGAATGCCTTATTAATTTTTCCTTTAGCCTCGCGAGTTGTTGCAGCGGGACTTCGCAGTCTTCCATCTTTTTCGGACTCTTTGGAAAAACCTAAAATTATAACAATTTAGTAAGAATTTGGTGCATTTTATTTAATAATCTTACCACTTCTCGAGCTGAAACGTCTTCAGAAGGCGAGCTGCAATTAGTACTGCCAGTCGAATGAAGTGTTTCCAACTCTTTAGTTTTCCTATCTACTTGGCATTCGATTTCATAGAGCTAAAATAATAAATAAATTACTCATGATATTTCGGATATTTATGTTAAAGCATTTACTTGTTTTCTAAATTGTTTGCTAGCTCCTTCGTTACCGGCCAGTTCACTTTGCAATCTCAACGTCTGCACTTCGTTTTCCAAATCATCTAAGTGTTTGTAGAGATCATCGACATCTGTAATATTTCTAGTTGAATTATCGGCCAATTTCTCGCTTACTTTGTCCTGCTGCTCGACTATACATTGCAATTTCTTAACGGCTGTCACATACTGGTCGATTTCCTTCGATTTCGATTCCGTTTGCGATTCTAAATCGCGAATTATCTCGCGCAATATGATATTCTTCTCTATGGAATCCTTTCTTTCGGATTCCACCTCTTTGAGTTTGCTCAGTGCTAGCTCCAAAGCGGCGCTTTTTTCTTGCAATTGATGCTCCAACCGCTCCACCTAACGAATATGAGATTATTTGAATATAACAAACAAAAATCCACTAAAAATATGATTTTAAACAACTAGTAAGACACGACATTGTTAAAAAATATTTAAAACTAATAATAACTTATAAATTTAACATCGACAATAACAAAATTTTCAACTACACTCACCTATGAAAATTGTTACAAATCAGTAAACAACGTTCATAATTTTTATAATCGATAGGGTTAAACATCACTGTTACGAATTAAAAATTCTACTCAAGTAAAGTTACATAAAAGTACTCATTCGAGCATTTAGATTAATAAATTTTATAGGTAACGTTAATCTGTCAAGAGCAATCTCGTGCGTTAGTATTCAAAATCAAAAGACAAGAACTCAAACAAAACGTGCCTCTTAAAATTGTGCTAGCAAATCGGTGAGTTTACATACAAAATTTTCCAAATTCCGACACTGCCGCGTCGAGTACTCGAGATAAACGTAAAGGTAAAAATAACTTTCGGGATATAAATACCGGGAACGTTTCCTTTAAGAACCCCTCTACTTTGGTTTTAACTATTTTTTATTTTATTGCTATTAGATAAAGTTTTTTTCATTGAACAAATTGTGTTTAATCGAGAGGACCTTTACTTCTGATTGTGTAACGATTGCAAAATAGCAAATATAATTGAATAATTTTGATAAAAATTCCAGAAGCATTTTTCATTTATAATTTCTTAATAAAATTAAATAAGTGGGTGATTGATTTACCTGAACATACGCGAATCTATGCGTAGCTTTATTACAAACACCATGTACCTGTAAAGTGTAAAGGCAAACTAAAAACCGTGCAAAACAACCAACAATAAAGCATGGAAATATTAGTTAACGTAGCAAAAATGAAAACAGCATAGTGCTACAATTTTAATTAATTGTTATAAAGAATTCCAAAAAATTAATTTTTTACTGCTTTAATTTATTATTTTGGCCACAACCATACCGTGAAACTATTATTATAATAATACATACTTCTGAATTGGTCCTTTCTAAAGCGGCCTTGTCCTTATCTCTATCTTTTAATTGATTAATTAAACTGTCGATTCTCTTCTGAGCCTCATCCCTTTCTTGCTCCCGTTCCATGGCTTGTTCCTCCAAGAACTTTTGCGTGAATTTGTATTTTTTATCCGCCGCTTCTATCTACATTATCGAAAGGTACGCGTGACAAATTAAATGACAAATTAAAAAAGAAATTAATAAAAATATAAGGTAAAATATCAGTTACTGTACGGAAAAACTCCAGCTTTCGACAAAAACCTTTGTTAATTTGAAATTCGTTAGAGATAAAAATAAAGTCATTTGTGATGGTTTATAATATTTACATATGATTACGATTAGTAGTTTCTTGGTAATATAGATAAATCTAAATAGATTTGTTAAAATATCCAATAATAAGTGCAAATTAAAAATAAAGTAAAGTTTTCAGTATTTAATAATTGAAATTTCTCTTAACCCGTTCATTTTATCGACTTCAAACAAGAGTACATTTTTGTTAGTTTATAGATTAAAAAATGTATTTACGATATGTTTGCGTTATACAGATTGTCCCCATGAAAGTTACGAATTGTTAATCACTTGGAAGACGCCGCCACTGTCTTCCAGGGAGTAATGTAGGATTCATTTTATCACCAAATTGGGCATACGAAAATTTTATCTTGTTCTCATCTATAATTTGGAAATAAAACATACAAATTTTGAAATAAAGAAAATTTATATTACGCTGTACTCTTATTTTGATGTCATCTATGTATACGCCCGAATAATTGACATCTGTTGTCTGGACATCCTGTATACAAGTACAAAAAACACTTCTTACGAGTGCAAGTTTTTGTTTCACATTATGGAGATTTTGCAAGTTTTTCTTATCAATTAGAAGAATCGCAAAGCTTTCAAAATTTAGAGCGTTTTCATAATTTATTGCTGCAATACTGCATTGCAGTTTTTATACAGCATTAATACAAATTATCGTATCGCATACGTGTGAAAACTACGTATTTGAACGCTTGTTTTTTAACTGCAATGCAATATTGCAACAATAAATTGCTGCAATATATCGCACCATGTGAAAACGCTCTTACTACAATACTTTTACATTTTTAATTTTTATTAGTTTATTAATTACTTTTTATGTAGCATGGACTTACTTGTTTAATAAGATCGTACCGATCTCTTTTAGCTTCCTCCTTAACTTTCTCACATACTCTACAGAATTCATGTAAGAGTCGCAGCAAGGCCGGATCGGTTCCGGTTTTCTCTTGGGAAAGCAAATTCCTTGCCTTTTCTTCTATTTCGGCCAGACTCTTCATCGGGTCCCCTAATTTTCAATTTTATATTTAACATGCAATCAATAATAATTAATTCGAGCAACTCGGTACAACTCATTTGGGGAAAATGTTCACAAAAGAAACACCTGTCATAAAAACTAATAACTTTAGAATTGACAATATGTCATTTAAATTTCCTATAAAACCTTAGACAAAAAGTTATCAAGTTAGCGGTGTCACTAAAAAGTTAAAAAAGTACCGACCGACCAATGAGCGATCAGTATTTCATTTTTGACGTTTACTTTTTTATCCGAAACGAGTTTAACAATTAGGATATGTAAATTCAATTTGACACAACAATTTGTCACATTTTTCTTTAGCAAAAATTAGAAGTGAATTGGATCACTTACAAATAAAGCACAACTAATGAGTTGAATAATTTAATAGTGAATACAATTTCAAGACAAGTAATTTAATAAGATGATTGTATCGGTATCTGTTTTTTGTACATTTCTAGTATGCTCTGGGCTTCCAGTTAAGTGTCCTTAACAATAAATTTTTCAAAGTAAACACCAAATACCATATTTGAACTACTGCAATTGAATATATTGATAATCCTGCCCTTCACAATAAACAAATTTACAAACATCAGTACAATTAATACCTTCTATATTATCGTCATCGAATATAGGAATTTGTGGCATGTAATTAACGCTCTTGTTGTACAACAATTCGATTACATTCGAAAGATACTCGCAATGCCATTTGTTATAAGATATACCTACGAATTCTACTTCTTTGGAATTCACCAACAACGAGTCGAAATCGAACAATTTCAGATCGTTGTGATTCAAATGCAGCTGCCTCAAGCTCTTCAACGACATAAATACGTTCTTAACGATCAAAGTGGAGAAATGATTGTAAGTCAAATCCAAATACTCCAAACGTTTGAGGTTCGAAAGCACGCCGAATTTGAAGGAATGCTGAGGAGAGCCGAATTCGCCCAGGTTGTTGAGCATCAAATTCAAATAGCGCAGCTCGGGCAGGTACTGAAACACGCCTGTTTTCAACGTTTTCAGGTTGTTTCGCGATAAATTCAGCTCCAGTAAGTTCGGAATGCCTTTCAAACGGTCGTTGTGCAACACAGTTAATTTGTTATTTTGCAAATCCAGTATCTCCAGCTGGCTCAACGGGGCGAAAATGTTCTCAGCGAGGTCATTTAAACCGTTATCGGACAACAGCAGGATTTTTAAACTGTCCAAACCGAAAAAACAATTCGTTTGGAGAGTGGTGATGCGATTGTTGCTCAAATTTAGTTCTGTTAAAAAGCCCAAACCTACGAAGGTGTCGTCGACGATTTCTTTAATTTGGTTATCGTTCAATTGTAACAGTTCGGCTCTATTCAAACCGTAAAAAGCTTTAGATTCGATGGAATATAAATTGGTGTTGGACAAATTTAAATTGTCCACTTTATTCAAATCTTGGAACATTCCTTCCTTGAGGATTTTGATGTTTTTAAAGAGATTTTGGGCGTCCAGGAACTGTAAATTGAACAATTCGATTAATGCGTTACTTTCTACGTTTTTTATATCAGAGTTGTTAAAATAAAGGTATTTTAAGCTGTATAAACCCTTGAAACTTCCGTTTTTTACAGTTTTTATACAGGAATTTTTTAAGGTTAAATTTTCAATGTGAAAATTTGAAATTTGATCTGATTGCAACGTTCCTTTGAAACTCAAAATCAAGTCGATTAGACTGATTTTGTTCGAAAAACGATTCAATGTATTTATGGGATTATCGGAGAGATCTATGCGTTTCAACGCTGGTGTTTCTATAAATAAATTCGAATGCACCAACTGTATATTATTGTTCGAAAGATTTATTTCTCGAACAATCGACAGGTTATAGAAACAGGAATTGGCGATAGTCTCTATTTTCATATCGGACAAATCTAACTCCGTTATGTTGTGTAAATTACTAAACGAATGCGAATTTAAAGCTTTTATACCGTTACCTTTCAAGTTTAAATACCCTATAGACAATTGATCGAATACTTTCGATTCGACGACAGTTAAATTATTATAACTCAAATCCAAGTACTCTAAGTAATCCAACGTTTTAAAAGCTCCTGCATCGATTTTTCTTATGAAACAATTAGACAAATCCAATATTTTTACGTTGCTCAGATTTTCGAAAAAGCTGTCCCTCAAATGCGTCAGTAAATTGAATGACAAATCGACGTGAGTAATGGACGTGTTCTGAAAAGCCCTGTTCAAACCGGATATTTTATTGTTGTTCAATTTAAAAACCCCAAAAATACCGTCCTTCAAGCTCGCAACTTCCAACGATTTCACATTCGAATGACTCAAATCCACGTGTTGTATATTCGAATACCTGAAGGTGTGTTCTTTTATCATTACGATATTATTATAACTTAAATTCAACAGGTAACAGTCTATTATGTTTGTGAAATAATTCTCTGGAATGGAAGTTATCGAAGAATTCGATAAATCTAGATGGTGAAGGGTGTTATCGTAAAATGACCTCAAATCTATTTTAAACGTTGCCAAATCGCCGAAACGGTTGTTTTTCAATACTAAATGATCGGATATCAATTTGACTTGTTCTATGCCGTCAACGGCCGTCAGATCGGCGTATTTCACACTGATTTTTTCATCGAACGAAACTACTTTGCTGTGGGCGAGACTCAAATAATTCTTAGAGTACTTCATATTAACCACCTTCAAGTTGTTGTAACTTAAATCTAGCCAGTCTATTATTACGAAAAACTGGTGTTCGTCGTACGTATCGAGATCGTTACGACTGATATTTAATTTCACAAAGTCCAATTCGCCTAAATACTGCATCTGATAGGGCACTATGGAATTGATTCTGTTGTGGCTGAAGTTGATTGTCGGTATGGCTCGAATTACTTGAAAATCAATACTGGTGATTTGGTTGAAACTCAAATCCAGCAATTTCAGGTTTTTCCATTTGCTGAAGTTTATGTCTATAAACAGGATGTTGTTGTGGCCGAGACTTAATTTTTCCAATGTAACGGACAGCAGGATTGTGAAATACACTTCTTTCAATTGGTTGTGGCTCAAATCTAACTTCTTCAATCGCTTGAAGTCGTGGAAGGCATTCGTGTGGATCATGGATAGCTGACAGTTTATAAATTCCAACGTCGTTATGTTGCCCAACTGCGGTAATTTGTAAAAATACTCTATTTTCGAGATGTTTGAATCGAACACTTTGATTTCCGATATGGAAACCAGACTAGTTTTCCATTTATCTCTAAAGTATTCCTTGTACAAATCGACTATGTCGGTGTTGTGACAGGAGAACACTTCGTTTAAAAACGAACATTCCGAATTTAGTGCGCCAATGCACATAAAAAATACAAACGATTTTAGAATTAGAAACATTTTCTGCAAAATTAAATGCGTCACAAATAAATTTGCTAATCGATTAATTAGTTAACTTACTTGTTTTCTAACATCTAAAACTTTTAGAACTGGTTTAAATTTTATTGTTTTAGTCGATTTACTGAATGATTTTGCGACTATTTTTAGAACCTACTGTTTTTTTAATGCTCTAGTATGTACATTACAATTCCAAAGTTGACCCCAAATGTTAGTGTTAATGTGCATATACAGAGTTGTTCTGCTTACTAATCGAAATTAAACTGTATACAAAAATAGCGTATTTAAATAACTAGCCTTACCTGAGCAATGCATCAATGAATCCTGTTCACCATAACTTTCGGATATGATTTCTTTTTGGCCACTTCTATGATCCTTTTCTTTTTCTAAAGTTTCAGCATACACCTGTAAATTATAAATTAATTATGTAACCTCACTAAATTCTATCCTTTCAACATTAACCTGGATTTCCTTGAGCTGGGATTCCAGGTCGTCGTTAACTTGGCCTTCGATGAACAGTTTTCTGGTCAATGAAGAAACTTGCTCTTCGAGATTTAAATTCTTAGTACTGGGATCGGTGGAAGATCGAATGTTATTTGTAAGAGCCAAAATCGCGTTAGCTTCATGTTTTAATTTTTCGAGACATAATTCTAGTTCGTTTTTCAAATCTATAAAAGTTATTATTTGCAACTTAACACTCACATATCGAATTGTGAATACTTACCAATCGAAATATCTCTAGAATCGCCATCTTCGGTGGAACTACTTTCGATTAAATTAATTAAATCAGTTACATTCGGAATAAGGTGCACTCTTGTAACAGTACTATCACTTGTCTTTGAAGAGCTGTTTGGACTTGAAATCGTCAAATTCAACTCTTCTTCTATTTGTGTAAGGTTCTTGTCAAAACCGTTTTTTAACAATTCATCGACTAAAGTATTGTTGAGTTCGTCTTCACATTGCGTAAAATATCTAACCAGTTCTCCCAGAAGTTTTCGAAGTGCCGATAATTGACGTTGGAGAATATCTCTACGAAGAAAATATGTTATAAGTAATAAAACAGAAATATACACTCAGTTTACCTTTCTCTTATAGCTTGAGTCTCCACCTTACTTATGCTATCATCATCTCTCAAACTCCTTCTTCTGGATCGCTCCAATGCTCCGTTCAAAACTTTAAGGTGCTCATCTTTTAGAGTTTCGATCTCACGTTTGTGATCTTGTATCAACGTTTTCATTTGCGCTTCGTATTTTTCTTTGAACTTGTCTCTAAGTCTTAGAAGTTCCGTGGGCCATTCGTCATCGCTGGTTTCATTAGAAGCTAAATGCTGAACAGAAAAATCATATACATTAGGTAGCTTGCTAGAAAAGTAATTTTTTTCTTTTACCTGTATTTGTAACTCAAGTGCTGAGATTATGTCGAGTTTGGCTAAACTGACTTGTTCTTGTAGCCTTCTTTCATAGCTCTGAATAACCTCAGTAATTTCGAACTCACCTGAACTTCCCTGTAAGAATTTACTTGTAGTATTCATAAAAAAAACTAGTAAAACTATTTACCACTTCTTGAGCAGTTGAAGTAATGTTTAGACGTTTTTCAAAGTTTTCCAATTGGTCTCTTAAATAAGCTATTTCGCGTTCATATTTCTCTTTGGTATCATTTAATTTATCCTCATATTCATCCTAAAAATTAATACAAGTAAGAAAAGCAAAATTCAAATATTTCAACAATGTACTTTCATTTCTTCATATTTTTGTTCATAATTTTTAGAATCGCTGATTTTGTGTTTAATCTTCACAGGTGATGCATCGAATTTGAGCAAACTCAGTAGATTAGATCGACCAATTTCTGATTTTAAATTTGTAAAATCTTCATCGCTAATGGTGTCTAAATCACATTTACTTATCTGCAAAATATGTTATTATTTCGAATTTTTGGCATAAAATTACAAGTTACCTTGTTAATGAGGCTGTTAAGTTCATTTTGTAGATTAATGATATCTTTTTTATTAAGATTCAATTGATTTGCATGAAGACAATCTCCTTCGGGACCGGATGGATTTGAAAACGGTACATCAGAATTCAATTCCGCTTCAGAACAACTTGAGCTCGATATTTTTCTACTGTGGTGACTGAATATTTCATCAGAATAACTGAAAATTTCCAAAAAATATGAAATTAATAGAGTTAAAGAACAAACAGTTTATACTTTTTTTCTAGTTCAGCGCATTTTTGTTCAAAGTATGTTCTTAGTTCCTCCACTTCTTGAGAATGTTTAGCTTCTAACTCATTTCTGATGTCCAATAAATGCGCTGATCCGGATTTTAATTCATCTAAGAGTTTTCTGTGTCTCGCAATTTCTGATTCAAAATCCTCTTTTTCAATCGCCATATTGTCCTAAAATTTTTGTATGAATAATTTTGGACTCAAGCCTATGTGGCTAGGTATTTTTGGGAAATTATGCCATAGGGTTACCTTTAAAGTTTTAACTTCCAAGTCATATACTTCTCTATGTTTCGCTATTTCTTCCTCCAAAATGGCATTAAATCTTGAATTTAAATTTTGCAACAACTTCTGTTGTGTTAAATTTAAAGTCTTTTCTAATGAAACATATTCGTTGTTCAAATTTTCATTTATTAGCCGAGGAGAAATCAATTCAAATGACTAAAAATTATGTACACAATTAATAGAAATAATGTATAATCAGTTGAATATTTACCTTGTCTAATTGGACATCAGATTTAATTTGATCCGGTGGTATTTCTTCATCAACATTTCTAATATTTAGTTTTAGTTTATCCATTTGTTTTTTGAATTCTAGAATTTCCTGGGCCATATCATTTCTCTCTTTTACGGATTGCTCCAAAGAATCAGTCAATTGTTGTATTATTTCATTTTTATAAGAAATGGTGGTAGTATATTCTGCCATCTGCAAATATAATGAACTAGAATCTATTGAAACTATTTATGAAGCGTTTCGTTTAAAAAAAAATATTTTACTTTACAATGCTAGAGATGAAAAAAATGCATTCATACCTTAACATGCCATTCATCTTGAAGTTGTTTGTATTCAGTGGTAGATAATGTACTTCCTGTATTTAAATTGCTGCTTTCTTTTATGGAATCTAATTCAGTAGTCAAAGCTGCAATTGCATTATCTTTTAAAGCGACCAGCTCTTCAAATTCTTTTATTCGTTTAGTCAATTCCGAGTCAGTTGAATTAAGTGCAAAATTAGTTGCATTCAAGTTCTTTTCATCCAAACTGATATCTGCTGAAAGCTTCATCTTCGATAGGCTTTTATCGTCCAGGTCTAAATTAGCAAAAATATCGAAACTCTCATCTTTTGGGCTTTCTTTATACGAGTTATTAGAATTGATGTCTTCTTTGTAAATAGGTAAAACCTGATTTTCAAGGGTTTGGATAAAATTCAAACTGATTTCGCTTTTATCACTATTATCCAAGGCACATGGTTTTTCTTGTGAAATGTGTTCGACGTCGGGTTCAATTAAATTGTTCATAATTTCAATTTCTTGGAAAGATCGGTCATTTTCGACACTATCAATGTTCGAGGATATATGTTCTGATACTTCTGATATTTCTTCAGATTTATTTTTGGAGTCGTCAAGTATTGGTAAGGATAAAGACGTGGATTCCGAGTCGGAGTCCCCCGAATTCTTTGTGTGTGGTGGCTAAATAAAACGATATATTTAGAATAGTAATATTTGGTCTAAATTCTAAAATTAAACTTACATCTTTTTCATCCATTATATTTGTAATGATTGTTTTACAGTTTGTCACTAAAATATAATACCGAGATTAGAAAATACTTTGGTCGTATCACAAGTAAACGTTATTAGAGTCTTTTATTAAAAAATCAATTTTACATTATGCCGACAAAAATTGCTGTTGCTACAAACAAAATTGAAATTAAAATGGTTGACTTTGACAGTCAGTTGATAAGAATTGTTGCCACTTTAATACAAACAAACTAAAAATCCCTGAAAATTTTTATGATTATTTAGCTTATTGATTTAATATATTTTGTTTTAAGTATTTTTACAAATAGTTATTCTGACTGTAGGTAATCTTGTAATATTTTAAATCTTAGGATTACGTTTTTATTCAACATATATATTTATGTTGGTAACATTTTTTTTATTTTTTCAAACTGACAGTGATGACAGTTTGATAGTTAACTTGACACTGACAGTTGTGTAAACTTTTTTCTTGTAAATAAACAAGAATCACATCAAAAAATGTAATAAATACGTCCTAAAAATGTTTTTATTGGCGCTCTTATTGGCATTTTATTCCGTTCGGTTGGATGCTTTCGAGCTATGTAGACGATATGAAACCGTTTATTGTGGACAGGTAAACTGACAAAAATATGCTTAAACTATTTTAACACAATTCCGAATTGCAGAAAATCCAAGATAGTAATGCTATTTGTAATGTAACAGTCAGGAACTCTACAGAAAATTGTGAACAATTTGTTCCTGCAGGGAGCGATTTTTTGGCGAATAACATTGGAGATGTCTTTCTAACTCTGAAACCCGAAGAACGTTATATGAAATTATTTTTAGGTTTCGTTTTAGTACCACAATGGAAAAGTATGTACAATAACTTTTTATCCAATGACTAACTAAATGGCATTATTTCCCTGCAGTTATTCGTTCTGTATCCATTACTGAAATATTTCATTCTTGCAGGTGTACAAGTGAAAGTATCAAATTTTGAGAAACCAAACAATTGTCAGGCTGTTACCGTTTCCAGAAATGATAACTTCAAGGATAATTTATTGAACTACGGATGTGTATTAGATGATGAAGTCGATCCTAACTCATCCTTTTTGTTAGAAGTTTATTCTGAAAACGGAAGTCAATTTTCCCAGAAAAAAATCATGTTTTCTTTACCAGATTTATTCAGATTCAGTAAGTTCAACTTATAAATAAATTATCCTAAATTTTAACTAAAGAATGCTAGTTATTATCGATGCTAGAGTGATTAAAAAAATATGCATTACATTTTTAATCGACGAAAATAAGAATTATAAACACTCATTTACAATTGATTAGGTAGACGTAAATACAATCAAATGAGGAGAATTTTTGTCACAAAACATTCCCGCCCCAGCAATTATAATGCGTCATACAATATTATAAATCATTTATTATTATTATTGGATTTCAAAGAAATTAAGTCAATAGGTCAAGTATCAAGATAGCATATCCTTGATTGATACAGGGTTAAACATAAGCATTAAATTTTCTACATTTCTCACTTTACCTTATATAGATGTAGTAATTGCCAGTAAAATGCTTTTATCTTACTTTATTAATATTTAGTAATGTCATATTTAATATTTATTGAAACATTGCCTAAAAAATCCCGACTTTATCATTTATATTTAATTACCCTGTAAGTATTCAATTATCGTAAAAACTGTACCATTGATCGCCTAATTTATTGAATCGTCCAAAGAAGTTGCAACGCGAATTTAATTGCAATATGAAACATATGATTATATTATTTATTTTGATTGCATACTGCAATTATGTGATCAAAGCGCAAGGGCAGTTTGACAGAAGGGCAGTTCAAGTGCGTATAGGGAATATTTCCGCGATTTTACTGAGTACAATTCATTCAGCCAGTGGTACGAACATGACGGATATTTTGATCGAACAAGAAAATGTGCCGGTGCTAAGAAGAAATACATTCCGAGGAGTGGATAATCTTCATTGGGTCATCATCAGGAATACTAACTTGAGGAAGATAGAAGAAAACGTGTTTAAAAATTTGAGGTGGTTGAGATTAGTTAATTTGGATGACAATAGGATAGACGCGATTCAAGATAAAAATTTCAACAATCCGGAATTAAAAAAAATTTCTCTAAGACGCAACGGAATTAATTCCATAAGTTCTAAGGCTTTCAATAATCTGCCCGATTTGGTTGTCTTGGATTTAGGTATGAACAACATTCAAGATATACCTAAAGACGCATTTAAAAATACAGGGAACTTGAAAGTCCTCAATTTAGCGCACAATAAATTGAGACATTATCCAGCAATACCTTATCGACCTTACTCCTACTTTGAACAAGCGTTTGCCAATGCAGTCAAAGGAGAACAGATTCTCTTGGATTTGAGTTCCAACAATTTCACGTTCATAAGTTACTATTTACTCAGAGGGGTCCATTTCATCAGCGATTTGAATCTAACCAACAACAACATCGAATTAATCAGCGATTACGCTTTCGATGATTTAAAATGGGCCAAAACAATCAACCTGCAAGGAAACAAACTCAAAGAACTCAGCGTCGATTTGTTAATAACGTTGGAAGTCGCAGAAGAGATTAAAATGGAATATAACTACTGGACGAGCGATTTCGTTTGTACATATCAAGATTGGTGCCTGTCGCATAATAAAACTAATACAATGTATGCAAGGTGTCCTATTCATTATTTTTGAGAAAATGATAGCGAATGTTTGATATTTTTAAAATGTGAAGTAGTTAAATTGTGGTACAAATTGTTAGGTTAAATAAATGCAAATAGAATTTTGTTTTTTGAAAATAAATTTTTTACAAACTGAAATAAAATTATTTATTTGTCTCGAAGTAAATACAGGGTGTACCAATGAAAAGTAGCCTTTTTAATCAGCTCACGCCTAATTCTAAAAACATGCGATTTTCACAGGATTTTATTTTGTGATAGCCTTTTGTTACAGTTGTATAAATTTTCATGTTACGAAGTTACAAATTTAGGTAATTTGAAATTTTGTATCTACATGCGAATTTGAATAAAAGCAACTTGCTTCATACAAATTTGATCTGAAAATGTTTATTATTGGTAGGTACTTTTCTTTTGACTCATTTTAACGTTTCTTTACCCTGTACATCAGATTCCAGATTTCCTGTACATCAACTTCATTCAGGGACACACTGTGTAATAAAATTTCCTTTTTAAATCAATAAAGGGACTTCCAGTGCTCTTAAAATCAGAAGTATTTTTAGGAGATGCTTCAGCAGACGCTCCTAGATACATTTTCTCCTACGTGGACTTTACGAATCCCGCCAAGTTAACGTTGAAATTTCAACCGCTGGATTTGAAATACCACGTTACCCATTACAAAATCGAGGTGTTCCGGCAAAGGGAAACCCACGCCGTCATGGTGGACGTTAGATTGATTTACGCAAAGAACGTCGAACAGATCCTAAGTTTCGATTACAATACATACAGCGAGGAAGGCTATTATTATTTCGCTTTATCCGAAATCGGGAAATACTGCTCGGAAGACATGTGCTATAAAACATTGACGCCGAAGGTGCACATTTGTAAGTACAATCTAAACGAAATTGTAATGATTCTTTAGCGGTGTTTGTGTTGATGTTTTCAGCTCGTAAAGGCAGACCGCTTGTAATAGGAATAGTAGGTGCGAGCTTTTTAATTCCGTTTATCTTGTTCATGTTCTACTGGTGGAACTACAAATACAGAAATCAAGGTAATAAAACTTTATTTCTGCGGCAACTTTAGAAAGTAGAGTATTTCAACAGAAAATTGATGTTTCTATGAGGTATGTTACAAGTAACTTAAATGCGGTGCAAATCAATTGCAACGTGTTTATCAACTATAAACACTAAAGTAATCGATTTATTTTAGGTTTGTTTGTTTCCGATCCGATTCATAAGGCTCTAGTAATATTTAAACCGTCATTCGACAAGCACAACGAGGTAGTTTCAGCTTTGATCAATTCCATAGAGGACTTGTCCGATCCGCCGGTGCTGGTCGATCGAATTAACCTCACTAAGGTCAAAGAGAAAACCGTGGAGAAATTTTGCAGCGATAATTTAATATTGGCTACTCATATCATTTACGTGAACCCACCGTCTACCGACGCGGAATCAACCAGCTTGGACTACATGACGTTCAATTTCTTGAAGCAGGAAACCAAAAAGGCCACCGCCGAGAGGAAGTTGATCGTCGTACGATTGCCGTACTCCAGGATCGATTCCCCGTCGATTCTGTCGTCGGCTTCGCGTTTCGAGCTTATCAAAGATTTCCAAGGGTTCATCAAAAATTTCTCCACCCTTCAGCCACCCGATTTCTGCAAGAATGGCGCTTTCGTCGAATTGGAGAAGAAGATCGAGGCCGCTCGAATCGAGAACGAAAATTTGATGTCGATTCCCGAGATTGTGGTAACGACCGATAACGAGGAACCCAAGGAAGTGGACGAATTGATCGGTGGTTAAAAAATTCTATTTGTTAAGACTGATATTATTTTATAGTTTTGTTGATTTTTTTGATAAATGGTATATTTGTAAATGTATTAATAAATGTATCAAGGATATAAAATGTTCTTATTCACAAAACGGATTATAAAGTATACAAAATTCGCTTTTATTATTTACAAAAAAATCTCATTGAAGTGGTAACACAAAATACTATATTCATAACATAAGTACACATAAATTCACCATCAGGAAGGCGCCGACAATTTCCTTACTTTCTCTTTCAGCTGCTCGTTGAAATTGTTTTGCGTCACTTCCTGGCCATCCTCGATAATTTTCACTAGTACTGGTTTTTGGAACAAGTCGTTCTTGATTATTCGGCATTTTAACGGCACATTTAAACGGTCCTTAAGTTTTTCCGGCAGCCAAGAGAGCAGCTTCAAAATCGGCGGAGATATGTACCTCTCATCTAGATCTGCCACGTTAGTTGCTTCAGTAAAAATGGAGATTACGAGGCCCAATACGATGGTTACGATGGTACCGATCGCCGAGTACCAAATGTATGAAACTCGAAAGAGAACGAAGGAATCGTTCCTAAAAAAATGCCATTTATTTTCCGATTTGAATTGTTTAAAAGCAAATTTACCTGAACGTTACATTTTCTGATTGATCTAATTCCCCGGAAATGCACGTGCAATTCTCTATACTAAGTGGTTTCATCGTTTCACCTAAATTACCACTAGCAATTTCCACCTGCTGACCTATGCACATTAATGTTATTAATGCAGTGGCCACAATACTTCCACAAAATGCACCCTGTAAAAAATACGTTCCTATGAAATCCGGTAGCAGAAAAATTACAAAAATTTTATAGAGCTAAGAAAAAATGCGTCTATTGTTTTAACAGTACCTTCCAATTTGCCCAAGGAAACAGCATTCCTAAGGAAAACAATCCAAACGTTACTCCTCCAACCATACCATTAAAACTGATAGCAACTTGCATAACGCTGCCACAATTTGCTATTACGAATACCTGCAATAGATGAAAACTTAATTGATCCACAAGCTCCTTGGTGTATTATACTGCTACAGTAAAGTTTTGTAATGATTCGACAGTAATTTACTCACTAAAGCAAAGCTCAACGCTCCGTAGACGACTGATAATATCTTCGCAATGAACGCTCCTTTATTCGTCGGTATCTTCTTCTTCATCGCTGCTTCGATGAAATCTTCAATGGTTACAGCTGCTAAGCTGTTCAAAGCTGAGGCAACAGTTCTACAAGAAAAATACAGCTAAACTATTGAGTGAAAGAAAGTTTGCGTTGATTTTCTAGAATAATTTCTATGGGGTAGTCCAGAACTACCCAACCGGGAAAGGGATTATGGAAACGACAATAGAGATGCCAAAACTTCAGCCGAATACATGAAAAATCTCTTCCTTTGGTAACTAAAGAGGCTTACAATCGGCCAATTTCAGTAAATGTTCAAATCCACGGCTGAAGTGAGGCGCGAGTTCTGGACCACCATAATCTGTTAAAATATTTTTGCATAAAAATATTCAATTACCCTAAGCTAGCAGCAAATATTCCAGCAACGAAAAATCCGGTCATGCCCTTCATGTAGCCCATTTCGTTGATGATGTAGAACGGAAGGATTTCGTCAGAAGCCGATATTTGCTTGCTGGTCAGAGGATCGCAGTTTTTGTAATGTGCCACCATTATCATTCCGGTGTAGAAATTAACGGAGTATATTAGTATAAGCCCAACTGCAGATGTCCAAATAGCTCTAAAAATATTGCATGTCACTTTTCCAAAGAAGAAAGTTAATTGAAAATACGTACTTTTTAACCTGACCAATACTCTCTACTGACATGTATTTCTGGATTGAGGCTTGATTGGAGCAAAACATTGTCATCCAATAGAAGGTCCCGCCTACAACCACAGACCAGAAACTATGTCTCACTGTCATGTCGGGATTGAAACTAAAATAAAAAAAATTACCACGTTCTAGATTGTATCTACTTTATTTTACTAACTTGAACAATTCCAATCGATCGGTATTGTAATTTTGAGACCATATAGCTCCAGTACCTCCGACAGCCACATGTCCTATAATGGCGATTAAAATTAGTGATCCGATAAGTACAGCCGCTTGGAATGTGTCTGCAATAATTACTGCTTTCATACCTCCCTGAAACCACAACGTAAATTAGTTAAGAAATTATTTAGTGCCATTAAAGTTAGGACAAGTAAGTTTTAGATATTTAAACCTACCTGAGAGGCATAGAATATGCAAACAACGTACACTGCTGTTACTGCTAAATACACGTTTATGCTCGTTACTGAAAAGAACAAATCCTGTTAACACATTAATTAGTATATTTGAGTGTTCAATGTACCTTTACTGAGTGCTAATGCCGGTGCATACACTGCGACACTTGTGTACAAAATCATCTGGAATATATACAAACCGCTGGCTAGGTACCTAATTCTAGGCGTAAATCTCAAAGACAGGTACTCGTAAGAACTGGTAAGTCTCAAATTCAAAAATACAGGCAGGAAAAAGGCTGACGTTAACGGTACGACTAGGATGAACGATATGCAGATCATCCAGAATTGCGATCCGTGCGTGTACATTTCAGCCGGGTTTCCCAGAAGCTCGATAGCTGTTACGAAACTGGAAATAATAACATTTATTAAGAGGAATAATTGACGATGAATGTTGTATTTCCAGTACCTCGCAGCTAAAGACATGGCCATTGGAAAAGTACCCATTGTACTTCCTCCCAGTAGGAAGTCATCGCTGTTTTTGCTCTTGTTGAAGCAACCGTAAAATACTCCAACACCACAGGAAATTATCAACATCGTTGCTAATACTAGGTAATCAGCCCATGAAAAAATATTCTCGCCGGTGGAGCCTTCTTTACACGTTTCTTGAATATGAAGAGAAAAGAAATAAACTTTAAGAATAAATAAAAAAAACAGCAATCAAGTTTTTCAATGTTAGTAATAGTTAAATGGAAGAATATTTTCTTTTGAAATTAATTGTTAAAATCAATAAGAAACAATTTGATTATGTATATTAGATATTAAATTATTGTTTAGAAATTTTTAAGTAATTTAAGTTCCTACTTACCAATAAGCTGGTCATTTTCCGCCTGTGGTAATGATGCATAAGCGGAAGGAAATACAATAAATATTAGTAATACTACGAAATTCAGTCTCATAACAAATCCGTTTCTAATGATTACTTCTACCATTTTTATAAGTTTATGGTTAATAAAACGTAGAAGTACCTAAAAAGAATAAAATAAACAAAATACTATTGTCAGTGCACCAGTAGCGGATCGCACGTAATGTATTTAATAATAATAAATATTTACCCGTTCGATCGAAGTTAAAATTACTAATGAAATTAATTCAATAAAATGTTTTTCTATACCTAATTGTAGGTACTTATTTTTTAATGAAAATTAACAAAGCTTACCTTTTCTAAAACAACTTAAAAACAAACAAAACACAACTTTTCGAAAAAAATAATAAATTGGTTCTAAACTGTATTTGTATGAGCTGTCTATTAGACCTGCTCCTATATTTCATTGAACTACAGGCGATTTCTCTAACAAGAGATTGTCCAATGACCACTTTGATCGAAGCAATGACCAAAAACGACTGTGCTTTGTCAACGCGAATGCTCCAATAAATAAAACCCGATTCCAAAAAATTACTAATTAAATCCGACTGCGTTAACAACAATTAATTAAGTGCAGTTCTTAGAATATAGGAGGGAGATCGCTTGCAAGTTTTAAGATCAATTTCAATGGAGCTTTGAATGAAATTTCTTTTCTTTAAAATATAATGTATACGTATCAATAAGTTTGGTTTTCTTGTAATAGGTAAACAAGAGATTACAAAAGAATATTTTTTTCTATTTAAAGCGAATTTTTACGGGTTACTGCAACAGCTACAGGGGACTACAGTTGTGTTTATGAAGAAATATTGTGTTTATTTTTTCAACACTTTTTTAGTTAATATTTTATGTAAAATGCACATTATAGAAGCACTTTAATCCAAACACCAACATAAGATGATTGAGGGAGGTCAAAATCCCCTGGAAGAGTAAATACCATTTAAATACTACAATGTATTCTAATATCATCTTAACTACCTACCTTCGTTCTTCTTCATAAATTCTTTTTTCCTAATGCTCCACTTCACAAAAACCCAAATAAATTCCAAATTACCATTATTTAGACACTTTAATTCCATAGGAAAATACTATAAGCATGATGATGATCGCTCTTCCTTTATGGTTCTAAGAATGTGAATCAATCCCAAACGATTCCTCGCATTGTATGAAAATCTACATGAAACTAGTTTGTTCAAAGTTAAAACCAAATTTTCAAATTGGACACACCCCTTCGTTTTTACTTCTATACCTATTAAAAACCAGTCAATACCGGACATGGCGTGACATTTAATCAATGAATTGCGAAATATCCTAAATATTTAATCATCAAATAGTCGAAAGACAGCAGCCGAGACTGATGAGCAGATTGAAGCTACAAGTGATGAAGAACACATCGATAAGAGAACCTCTCTTAGACAAAATATTTTAGTAAGTAGAAAAATATATTAAACAAACTGTTGGTTCCAGATTCACCATATTTTAAAAAGTTAAGAACATGTTGAAGAATGAAGAATGATGAGTAATTTAGCTGATGATTACATTGATTGGATATTTTTAATACACAATTTATTTTTTAATACAACTAGAAAGGAAAAGTTGTATGAAACAAAGGACATTGCATGTAAGTCTAGCTGCATCGACAGTGAGTAATTCATCGGTATTCTTAATATTTACAATAGGTACACTAATAATAATGGTAATTGGTAACAATACTTATTAACCCGTCTAATATTTAATAATATAATAATAATATTTGTTTTGTTTTGACAACGAAATTAATTTATTTACGGTATTTACAGCCATGGGCGATTAAAGAATCCAGTTAAAACTAATTAAATCGGTGTTAACCAGATAAAACCAAAAAACTAATAATTTATTTAAGCTGCACGATGAATACGGAATTCTCGATTTAGATTGGGATCAATTAATTCGTGTCATCGCTTTTAATTTCGTAAAAACGAAACGAATTGGAAAGAGAGAAAGTAGAGTTAAATGGCCGAAATATTGAATATTTTTGTGAGGTATGTATGTGTAATTAAAATCACCCTCCTAATTTTTCTGAGGCTATTTTTTTGTGAACCTCTATTAACATATATTATCCTCGTTTTGAAATAAACAATCCTTGGTTTAATTTTATAAAACAAATTTTAGCAATATACTTGCAGAAGGTTTTGCCTTCAAAAGCCATTAAAAGAGTGTATTTTTAACTGATAGTATTTTTGCTCCTCAATAATTAACTTGACTAGCTTTACTTGATATGTACATATGTATGTATGTCTTAATTAAGCATCTTTATGGCTTGGAAAATGTTTGAATTTTAGTTCTTTTCGATTCGCAGCAGTTCATTCTGGATTTCATGACAAATTAATTGGAATCTTCAAGGAAATGTTTCAATAGAATTGTTTTTTTTTTAAATTAGATGTTATTTGTTGTTGATAAAAGGATCTTAATTAATCACATCTGATAAACACCTTGCGAATAATTTTTGTATCCATATATTCCGCTGGGCTAATGGGAAAGGAAAAAGAACGTCTTGTCTTTTCTAGTAATTATTAATTTTCGAAATTTCTACAACCAACAGTATCACAATCTAAGTACATTAATTTTCAAAATACCCCATAACAACAATTAAGTTTAATAAGAAAACATTAACAATCAATAAAACATACATATAGAAAACAGTGAAACATACTTATTATACAAAGTAACTTATAAAATATATCAATTAATTTATTAACAGATAATCTTCGAGAATAAATTTGCTACAAATAATAAATAGTACGTGATGTCTCCAGTTAATCGAATAATTTTGTGACATTAATAAATTTTGCGATAATATTAATCACTTTTCCAAATTTAACGTTTTGGATAGAAAACGATATGTAAAAGTTCTGTATGAAAAAATTAATTTTGATACGAGCATCGTATGCTTCGTACAATTTCGAAATTCGAGTTTCTAACTATAAATAAATTTTATACTTATAAACACATGCTTGTCAATTATTATTCAAACAATTCTTGTATATTCGCGAACTACATATAATGTAGATATTATATTTTTATTTGCGAGGGATCTTTGGTCTAAACGAGTAAAAATTTGCAAAAAAGTATATCAATTTTAACACCGCAAATAGATTTCAATTTACTTAATTACTAAAAAGAGATTTATTTAAGCTATCATGTAGAATTTGTACAACGTATTTGAATCACAAACTTCTAATATGTAGTTTCATTTTCTGTGTTAATAATATAATAAATAATTACAAAAAATGTAAGAAACTATAACAGTTCAAAAATCCTTTAAATGAATCTAGTTATTGTCTTGGATCGAATCGATTTCTAATATTTCATTCGATTTATATTTTCAATTTTTAACAACCTTCAAAAAATATAATTTTCTAATAATTTTCTAAATTAATTTAGTTTTTATTTATTCAGTAAATATCTTTCGATCCATTCGGTATTATCGAATTCAAGTGAAATGAATCGCCGTTTTTCTTTCTTAGCCTTTTCGCCAGAGGTGGAATAAATAAATTTGGATCTAACGTTTGATTCGGCTTTTGATTGGACAACTTTTGAAATGCAAAACTAATGACGTACCCCACTACAAGCGTTACAATGATGCCGAATAGTCCATTGTACAAGTAAGAAACCCTGTGTATCCATAAGTACTCCCTGGAAAAGTAAAGTAGAGTAATAAAATAATGGGTGAGTGAACATTATCTTACCCTGGATCTTTACTAGTTGCATTACTCGTTATAATGTTTGTAATATTAAAGCTATCACAGCCATCGGTTCGTCTAGGTAGAGGAACAGGTGGTTTACTGCCTATGGCCATCCAACTCGACATAGAAATGCCGCAAATTAAACCAAGAACAGACCCCTGGAATTATTTACGTTAGCACGCTCCAATTCTACCATTGAAAAACTTACTTTTTCTTCGGCTACTGTTGTAAACATGCCTAAAGTGAAGAAACCTAACAATGGCCCTCCAATGACACCGAATATGGTCAAAGCTGCTTGAAGAAGACCACCTACATATTGCCCTAAAAACGCCACTGACAAACAAACTAGACCATATATGAATGAGATAATTTTCGTTTGAATAGTAGCAGAACTTTCCGGCAATGGTTTTTTCCTTATTAAAAAGTATATCGGCTGTAATAAAAAATAAAAATGCAAATTTGTCGCAATAAAAAATGACTGTACTCACTTTTACGTAATCTTCCATTGTTACAGCTGCTAGACTGTTCAGAGCGGCAGATATTGTGGATAAGGACGCACTAAATATTCCAGATATAAACAACCCCGTCAAACCCGGAATATTCCCCATGGTATCGACCACATAATACGGCATCAACTATTAAAACAATCCACATATAAATCGAAGAAAAAAACATCATGCAAGATGATTTCATTACCTGATCCGGTTGACCAATTTGTTTAGAAAGAACTGGATCGCAGCTGTAGTACCTAGAGTAAATGGCCAAACCCGCGAAAGAGGTGCAAAGGCTCAATGCAGTCAAAATGGGCCAGTTCCACCAGAGGGCCATTTGGGCTCGTTTTACGTCCTTCAGAGTGAGGTACCTTTGCACTTGAACTTGATTCACAGCGTAAATGGATAAATACGTTATCCCACCGCCTAATATTAACGAGAACCACGAGTGCCGCACTGTCGGGTCCGGATTAAAACTGGAAAAAAATCACTCCCTAATTACCCAAACAACTATAAATTGTTGTAAAAATAAACGTGATTGTTTAAATTATTTTGGAAAAAAGTAGAAATGTAGCAACATGGCAATATGTGAGATCATTCAAAGATTAGAGTGAATGAACTGCAAATGTTTATTGGAACCCTTGGAACATTGCTGTATACTTTCTATTAAAGAGCAAAATGGTTTAATTATGATTGAAAATAATAATAATTACTTCCAAAAACTGGTTCGATTTCCTTCGGCGGCAATGTTCATAATAGCACCTAAGCTGCCTTTGTCTATCCAAGCGTGAATGATAACGCAGAATATAGCAACAAACATCAATATGGACTGGAACACATCGGTTATTAATACTGCTTTCATGCCGCCTAATGTTGAATAAAACGTGCAAACTAAGCCTAAAAAAATATTTAAAAAAATCTGTACCAAAATATAGTTTGTAACCTACCAACTGCTAATATAGCAGCCACTTTAGATACGCCCATTAGAGCCTCTATTACCAAGGCAGGCGCGTACAGGACTATGCTCATGTAGAGGGTCATTTGGAGATTATATGACAAAGAAGCGGCCAATCTTGCTGTTTTGCCAAATCTCAATTCTAAGTACTGTTAAAAAAATGAAAAATTTTGAACAAAATTTTAGAATATCCGGTTAAAATCGAACCTCATAAGCGCTGGTGGCCTGTAATTTGAAAAACACAGGCAGGTACAGGTAGGCAGCTACCGGAGTGAACAACCCGTATGATATATTAATAACTATGAACTGTAATCCGTAGGTGTAATTTTCGCTCGAAACGCCCATCAGAGTTATCGCGGACATGAATGATGCCATCAGGGAGAAAGCGACGGGAGCTATGGACATATTTTTATCTGCTAATAGATACTCCTGAAATATAAATTTGAAATAATCATTTATCAAAGTCTTTGATTCCTTGACATAGGTTGATAGAATGTGCATATTATAGGTGAATCATTTGCGAAGAAATCGCAGACGTCGAAGAATCTAGAGTTATGCGTTCGATTTATTTAAATCGAAAATATTTTAAATCAAAAATGCGTGACGTGTGGTAGATAAAATTGCGTTTCCTTTAATCGACCAAGCCATTTATAGAAAGAAAATATTTACTCTTGTGGTTTTTTGTTTTCCTCCGGTAAATCTGTAGTAGATACCAATCATTGAAGAAATAGCTAGAACTCCAACTATGACCACATAGTCCCAGGCCCCGATGTGAGATTCCATTGTAATTCAGGTTCGAGGATAACTGCAACAATAAACAAATAAAAAAAATAAGAAGGCCATATGTTGGACGCTTTATAAATTACTCTTATTTTTAACATTAACATTTTCTACAAGTGTTATTATGATTAATAAATAGATTTTTGTTGAAAATAACTTAATGTGCTAAAAAGGTGTAATGAAAATAATTTTATTATAAATAACGGGATAAAAATTTTACAAACTATGGGGATTTAAAACTAGTATAAATGGCAAAAATAGAGTTTTGTCTCCAAAAATGTGGGCTTTATAGAAAATTGCAAGGAGTGGAAAATCATAAATAAATCGATAAATCTAGTTTTGATTCAAAAATTAGATAACATGGGCGGTAGAATTAGGGCTCTATAATGGGGTTGGATTCCCCAGTTAAATCTGAGACATATTGATAATAAAAAAATCGCACAATAATAGGTTACTAAATAAAGATATTCTGTACAAATTTTTTATGAAAAGAGGTAAACCATTCTGACCCAATACTGTAAAAATAGGTTTTTTATTTTTGTAACTTCTTTATTAAGCACATTTGGTTATAGGTAAGTTTAGGTTAAATCATTATATTTTTGTCTCAGAAGTCTATAGTTAAGCCATGTCCCAATATTTCTGCGACACCCTGCATATCATCTTAAGTGAATAATTAAATAATTAATATTCAGCGTATATATTTTATTGACAATTTACTCACACGCATACACATACGCATACACTACACACAAGTACCAAACTGTGAAGTTGGTCTAATGAAAATAATTTCAAGTTTATTACCGTCATAATTCCGGATTTAATTCAATAATCAGATAATGTACTTTATTACTTAAAACATAGTGAAAAAAAATTTCTCGTATTTTTTTTTAATTATTATTAGATACTTTCACATTCACAAGAAATACAATTGTAATTTTGATCTAATGAGAATACTTTGAAGTTTATTAGCGTCATAATTCCGGATGTGTTACTAAACAATTAGATAATGTACTTTATTACCTAAAATAATTCCTCAGAATATTATGAATAATTTTTTGAAGCTTTATACATACAGGGTGGAAACGCCAAATGGAATAAATTAATTACGTATTTCGGTTACTGTACATATTTATAGAAAATCCCGAAACACGTCAAATTTTAATTATAATTTGACATTCCTCAACGTCAAAATATGAGCCCTATCTTCAGCCCCCTTCGAATGACAGTTACAACCCCTATTTTTTTAATGGGAATTATAGGCTTGTGACATATCGTTTGAAATGTCTCTATATTCTCCATCCAATGGAGAAAATGTTATTTTTTTCAGGTTTATTTCAAAAATTTCATTCAATAACCAAAAATGTATAATGTACTATCCACCATGTATATGCGTGTATAATAGATTATAATCAATATACGTTATTGTATATGCATACAAAGTTTATTATTAAATTATTAAAAGCAACAAATTGACCTTATAATATGCCAATGAGAGGCATAATATGTTATTGAAAGAAAAGTACCAAATTTCGACTAAAATTAAGTATTTTTATAATCGACAAACATTGTCGTGATAAGTACATCGTGATAAAGAACATATGAATAAACAAATAGTTTATGATTACAACGGATTATTAAACAATCATTAATTAGTTAACAGGTATTACCTATTTATAATTGGATTAGCCGGAACTGGTTTAAATCAAAGATTATTGTCAATAAGAGAGTGCAAGTAAATTAGTGTTAATAATTTAAAAAAATATAGCAATGTTTTGACTGTATACTGATAAATTTAGTCAATGAAATTTTTAGGACCTTCACCTTTATAATAGTTCAAAATAATTTATACTATGTATAAATTTTTATGTGTAGATTAAATGACCATGTGTATTCGATATACATTTGACGTTTTTTAGTTATTATCAATTAAAATTATACGTATGTATTATTAATGTTAAAATAAGGTCTTAATAATCAATCCTCTTACAAAATCAATCCAAGTTTTTAAATTTTATAAACTTGGCAACATAGCAAATAGATTGTGTTTTTATTTTAGGTTAGGTTGCGGTATTGATCCGCATTTTTATAGTTATATTGAAATGTTTAAAATAAAACATACCTACTAAAAAAGTGAAGAAACCCGTCCAAATCAACTTTATCTAAATCAATTCATTCGAATAATTCTGACACTATTCATTTATAATTTTCCAATAAGTTTTCCATGTATTTTTCTAGCGCAACTTTTTTCGCTGCTACGTCACTTTATTTGCTAAATCCAAATTCCAAAATAAATAATAAATCACGGAACAACAATTACACACACAGCACACAGACAACTGTACTGCACAGAATACTACAATGTAGAGAGAACACGGAAAAACGGTACTGGACTGGAGTAGTAAATAGTAGAGGTGCATAATTATTTCAAGTGAGTGATGTACTGTGATTTCAACAGAACTGGAAAGGAAAAGGATGTTTTTAATGTGATTATATAATGAATATGTTTAAGTTGTTGAACAGGGCAGAAATATTAACGCTATGTAAGAAGTGGTGTGATTAATTCGTAAAAATACACCAGTTTCCTTATCAGTAAAAGGGATAAGCTAAAACAACAAAGCAACAATTAAATTTAAACTCGCATTTATTCGTAAAGATTACCAAAAAAACTACTTTCAAACGTCATTTTACAATGCTATAAACTGTAAATCTCTTAAAACAATGTACACGTACAATCAAATGCTATGAGATTTTCTGAGACCTTGAATTGAAACAAAAGCCTTAGGACTTAAGGTAAATGTCAAGGTACCCGCCCCTGCGTTCTTCTCAACAACGTAATCTTTAAGTCTCATTGTTCCATTTCAGTCACCCCAAAAACACCTTGCAGGAGCCTGGCAGCAGGATTCACCGGGTAAGGTTCTTTATCTGCTACGTAAATGTATGGCAAGCGCATTATCCAATAAGCAGACTGCGTTAACTTGGTAGGTCCATCTAAGGTGCTTACAAAAATCGGAGCACAAGGTGCAGGCTGCGCCTGAAAATACAATCAACATTAATCTTTTACTTATAATAATGACGATAGCATACTTTTGGATCTAAAGTGCAGTAAACCGGAGCCTTCGGAGTAACAACATGCAGTCTCATCAACTGAGCCAATTTTCCAGCTCTGCAAGCGCAAGGATAATAAAGCGGCATGTCGCTTTCAGCGACTTTATGCCCTGTATCCTTCACTATACTTCCTGGCATCGCTTTCAACATTCTGTCCGGCCCCGATAGCATAAATCGATGTCCGGAAGAACATTCGTATTCGACGCCAATGAAGACTTTTACGGTAAACTGGGGTTGACTGCTGGTAGATCGGCCTCGTCTACCTCTCGTCGCGTACTTGTTAATGTGGGGCCAGTTTTGTTTCGATTTCGAGTAAACGGTGACGTCCCAAGGCAAGAGGTAATTTGTAGAACTTAAAAAGCCTGGGTGGTGCGACTCGGATAAACCTACAACATAAAATTCAATTAACCAGTTACTAAGTAATTGGAAATTATTAGTAACCTAAATTGTGGCTGTATAACGATGATGCTCCCAAACAAACCAGAGACCACGAAGAGTACAATGGTAATAAACTTGGCGAAGAACTCAACGTAAGCATGCCATGTAAATATTCTGATTTATTTATAGTATCTTCTTGAGATAATTTTTTGTCTTTTTCTGTACTCGATTCATCAGATTCTTGTGTTTCTTTAGATGCTTTCTGATAGTGAGGGAAAATTATCCGTTCCAATTTCGAACATTGGCATTCCTTGGATATTTGCTGATAAAAGATGCGATTGGCTTGTTTCACGCTGTATGGATCTTCCCTTGCTCCCACTTTCCTACCACAATCACAAATCGCTAGAAAAGCATAAAGATATCAATCTGAATGCACCAATGTAAGTGGCATACACTCACCTTTATAAATAAATCCACTCAAATGGTCTTGATCGCTGCTATGTTTAGGTAATTTACAAGGGTTTCCAGTCAACGAAGCAACTTCGCACTGTTGCCTTCCATTTTCCCAGTGCGCCTGACAATCCATTTCTAGTTGGGTGGCGTATTGTTGAAAAGCAGGACCGCGCGCTTGAGCTCTAAAGAGAGCCAAGGCTATAGCTAATCTGGCTTCGTGTTCGGCTTTGGCGTAGTGAGAGGGCAAGTTCTCCTGGTACCTGGCCAAAGCGAGAGGCAATACTTTCAAACATCTTTGCTCAGAAAAGCGGGTTTCTGTACAAAGCAAGTTCACCAACTTTCTCTTGGTGAACAATGTGTAGAGCATAACGCTGGAGTTGATCCATTGCTTCAACAAGGGAAGCTAAAAATATCGTTTTAAAGATAAATGAAGATTAAATAAAACCTCTCTCAAACCTCGAAATGCATTGTTTGTGAATGAGGATGTCTTCCTGAGGTGACGGTGTCGTCGAAACCTTTGGTTCGAGCTTGATGAATGTGGACTTGTAAAAATTTATGGAAATTTTTTTCGCTGCTGGGTTGACTGGAATAGGGGACTTCTATTTGCATCACCCCGCCTGGTTGGCAATCGCTCAGAAGGCCCTTTACCATGTAATCTAGCCTATCAGTAGACCTCGTTTCTTCTTCTATATAAACGTATTCATCGTTTAATGGAATGGCAAAGAGAGAGCACCTATCAAGGGAATTAATAATATATTAAGATATTTTACAGGAATTATTTCTTACCCTGTCGTGCTGATAATTCTAGTCTTTTTTAATATGTAATAAATCTTGTCTTCTAGATTGTGTTCCAATTTTTTTACATTATTTATGTTTGATGGACATTTTTCGAAGTAAAATATAAGTCTTGGTGTGCAAAAACGACCTACTGATGCCCATTCCTGGCTAATATTGTCAATATTCTTTAAGCTTTCAGTGATATCATCATTCATTTTTTGGCTAAAAATTATTCATTAAATCGTGATGGATTAAACAAATTTGCAGCCAATTTTACCTTAAAGAGTCCATCGCTTTGAAGTACTGAATGTAATTGGTGTCAAGGGTAGAACCTGGATGAGAGAGAATAATAATATGGCTGACATGAAATAGAAATAATAAATAACGAGCAAACATGCTCTTTATATCATCATATACGGCTAAGAAATCATCGCAATTCCTTTCTGATTCGCATTTATCTCTTATTTCGTTGTAATGTTTAATCAATGAATCAGTGTCCAAAGGACTGCACATGTGGAGGTATATCGTTTGACTCTCTTCATCGTAGGAACCTTCGATTACACACTAAAAAATAGTATAAAACTGATTTCAGTTAATTAAATAGGTAATTTAAATGTACCTCTTGATCTTTAACATCTTGGGATGGTATCACTCGACCAATGGATTTAATTTTTAATCCGTACGATTTATATGCAGATTTTCCGATAATGGATATAACTACCACTTTATCCGAAGATATACCAGAAACATCACTGAAAGTAGTCATTTGTTTATTCTAGAAAATTGATAATGCTGTATACTTACAATAACTGGTCTAATTTCGGAAAAGTAAATGTATTTCGCATTTTATTAAAGTTTAGTAGGAGGTAAGAGACTCGGTTTATTTAATTATTTTACAAATAATCCACATAACCTTAAAATCTGACTGACGTTTAGTCTTCTTCTTTTTTCTTGAGATATCTTACTTAAACGTCAAGTAATGACGGTTTAAATTATTTGAACCGGACGTTCTATTTAGACGAGGCCAAAATTCTAAGACAACTCGAATCCTGTGATTTCTTTGAAAATTTGACGAATAATTTGTTTTTTAGTGCTAAAAGTGAATAAATGGTTTAAACTAAGGAGAGGAAAAACCTGGCGAATAACCAGAAGGAATGGTAAACATTTCAAAATCTATTTTTATTGTTGTTTGAAATTATTATACTTTGATTATACATCTTATTATTAAGATGATTTTAATTTATGTAACAAAAAAAAGTACCTACGGACACTTATCATTGAAAATAAGGTTTTAAACATTGTAACACAAGTAGGGTTTGACTGCTTTTAAAATTGTTAGATATCAATTTGGTAATTATTTAAGTACCCTGTACAATTATTATTTTTGTACTATTGGATAGCATTTTTTGTAAGCTTTTTTATCACAAGTAGGGGTTCGCTATTAAAGAGATGTCCTCCTCAAAAACAAAATTGACGTGTTTTTGATTTTTTACATGAAAATTTTGTGTCAGGAGATATCAGGGGCGGATACTTTTCAAAAAAATCACACTGTATGGTACGTAAGTGCAAAATTGTTTGCAATATGAGGTCTATGAGTAGAACAAAGACAAACTCTCAAAATTAACGTATCGTTTAGGTACATAACAGAGCGGTTATTAACAGAGGATATCTAAAAAGATTAAAAAAACTACTATTTCAAACGTAATTTTACAATGCTATAAACTGTAAATCTCTTAAAACAATGTACACGTACAATCAAATGCTATGAGATTTTCTGAGACCTTGAATTGAATACCAAAGCCTTAGGTCTTAAGGTAAATGTCAAGGTACCTGCCCTTGCGTTCTTCTCAACAATGTAATCTATCTCATTGTTCCATTTCAGTCACCCCAAAAACACCTTGAAGGAGCCTGGCAGCAGGATTCACCGGGTAAGTTTCTTTATCTGCTACGTAAATGTATGGCAAGCGCATTATCCAGTAAGCAGACTGCGTTAACTTGATAGGTCCATCTAAGGTGCTTACAAAAATTGGAGCACAAGGTGCAGGCTGCGAAATTATAATTTCCCAATTTAACGTAGATATCCTTTAGGTACATAACAGAGCGATTATTAACAGAGGACCTCTAAAAAATCTGGATTTAAATTACTTTTTAACCGACCATATTCTCATATTAAGAATCATAATTTTGCGATTTTGTTATCTCTCATTTACAATAACTTTTCACGTGAAAAGTAAAGAGGGAATTTCGAATAGATAAGACGCGCTGCATTTTCATTGCGGCTGTGGTTTATAAAAAATACCGTTTTTTAGATAACGAAAGTTTACCTTTACAATCCGGAAATGAAATTTTTGATAAATCGGTCGCTTAAGCGCCCCGTATACCGCATCAAACGAAAACATTTCTGTTTTGCGCGTCTAATTTATCAGTCTTTGCATTTCGCAGCAATTATAATACAAGCGTGTAGCCGAATACAATTCGCAATCATGTAAACCACTGCCGCACGGCCAATAAAAATTTCCCTTTTGGTAAATTATTATCGTTAAAACGGCATCACGGCATTGCCCTCGCCGGTCTTGATAGCGTTAGAATGGTGCAACGGAACGCAACACGCCGAAATCATGATATTTCAATCAAGAGACCGCATCGAAAGGTCATAAAATGGCGCAGTAAAGGCAATACGAAACGGCAGGATGGAAAGAAAATCACCAATATGGTTAGAAATTTCCAAAGGGAGAGAACGTAGACGAGGGAGAAAATGGAGTATAGGTAAAAATCTCGTTTAGCCGAAATATGGCCAAATTAAATTAAATTGACCGGCTCGCATAAGGAACTATCCAATTTTATCGACTGCTGCAATGAGGTTTATATGCTATTAATATTTAAAGTATTTCTAGCAATATCTTCCATCAGAATATCGAAAATAGAGCGTCTTCTTATAAGCTTAAAACATTTGGTATACCTTTATTTATATTCTTCCCAAAGTCACTAATCGATTTGTGTATCGATTAAGTATTCCTATATGCACTTTGATATCTACAAAAAAAATAAAAGTAAAAATCGACGTCACTGCTTTCGCCTGCAATATGGTTTGGGAATTTGGAAGGAGTGGACGTAGTATCTGGTCCATAAAGACAAGATGTCACACAATCGATTGGGCCAAGAAACAAGCCACGTTGTTATTGGGACTCGCAATGTCGCCTCTGCTTCGAAAACAGGACTATTTCATTTCCAGAGTTGCGTCAGAATCGTCCCTCCAAGTGGAAACAGGGGATGTCTAAGGATTGCTAATTTTTGATCGGCGTCTGCTCGTAGATATTTCAGTCTAGGAACGTTATGGGATTTTGATAACCAAATATCAAGCAATTTAATTTTCGATATTGATTTTGATGGTTAGTTATTTTTATTAAACGGAGCTTTTGTAACAACACGTCCATGCCAAAAATTCAGTAATAATGCGGAAATTCCTGCTAAAACCGAACTTAATTATTCCATACCGGCCGGAATTTTATTGGCAAACAATATGTCAATTTAGTTAATTGGGGTATTGGTGGCTGAATCCTGACACCATGGTTATTGCTGAATCTCCGGTTTCCATGGTAGCCGAACACAGCGATTTATTCCCCAGGTATGCATAATATTCCGTTAATAGTAGCCACATAGTTCGATATTTCCACGATTTATTAATATGCACTTATTGTTTTAATTCACCCATTCATTGGAAAACCCTCAACTCCAATTAAGTATTCATGATAAATTTAACACTTACTTGAGCATTTTTAGAATATTACTTTACTAATATGGTAAAATAATCAGACACATTTCAATACATTTTAGGCCATTAGAGGTGCTACGAAATGACGGGAAGTAATTACGGGGAATGTATGTTTACAAACCATAATACAAGTATCTTAGTCGGTTAAAGGAAAGTATAGTTAAAGCAAGCAAACACGGCCGAGGTAATTTTAGGGGGTCAGCGTTCGAAGGGCCAGGTGGTCGCGGTGGGAGGCTAAAGGGTGAATCAATTGCGGATACGTACGGCGACCGGAGCACTCACGCAAACACATAAAGCACACGTCGTGCGTCACTTGGGAGAAATTAGAGGTCGCCGGAGTCGTAAGGAAGACGGAATTTACGACGGCATACGCCGTAGACTACGTTAGAACGCCGCCTCGCGGTCGCCTCCGTCGCCCCGCCGCCCCTGCCTCTTCTTCTTTACTAGAGGTGGATGAATTTAGCCGCGTTCTGCAATCAATGATTATTATTACCACTCACTCGCTTTAGGGATCCATTTGGTAGGTATACTATTGAACTGGATGATAGTACAGTCTTATATGTTTGCACCCAAAACGTGAAACTTGTCCATAAGTGCAAAAGATGCTGATTTTTACAATTACTATTCCAATACACTAAAAGACGCTTAAGGAATTAGTATCATCCTGCTTTACATTTAAATCATAGATAAACCTAATTCATTGCCAAGTGAGCAACTCCCACACTTCCCACAAAGCCATTTTTTGATCCCTGGTACTCTTTCCAAAATTTGCTCCTACAAAAAAAGTTATCGAAGTGAATCAGCATTAAATGTAACTCAATAATATCAAAGTTCTAAAAGAGCCACATCCTTTCATCTATAATTCCGACTATCTTTAACAACCTGTTGTTCTGAATTTACTTCTTCCACCTCTATCGGTAGACTTCTTCCTTGTTTATTGCGGGCCGATGTCTATCCAACCTTCTTGACTACATGAGCACTCTTTCAGGCTAAATACATTACGGGAATGTCGTACGGGATATATTTCAGGGCGAGGGAGAGTCGCAGGCGGAGAAACGGTGACGATCTGCCCTTATATTTGTCTCGATGCCTACCGAGTGTTGTGCGGCATGCCGTGCGACCACTAATGGCTTTATTACTGCCGAATTGCTGATTATTAAAAGGATTGCGCGGAATGTTGGCGAATTAAACGACTAAATGGTAGGTATATAATTGTGTTCTGTTCCCGGGTTATTATGGAAAGTGAGAATATTATATCACCGAATGTAATGTATAAATCGAATAACCGGGTTTAATTTACATTCGTGAAAATCCAACTAAATAAAGTTATTGGAACTTGGGACAATTTTAATAAAGTTAGTTCGAATTTTCCGCTGCAGGGAACACGGTTAAGTTCCTCTACCGCAATATGCAAATGTTGCGAATTATTTTAAAAACACCTTCTTGACATATTGCGTTGCCTACACACGATCCTAATATATTTTCCTAGACTACGTGCTCGCGTTTTCAATACAAGAAGCGTATTTTCATCTTTTATTCAAAAACATTATAAACGCATTTTCTTATGCTTATGAGAATTCCTGAAATATTCAATTTGCTTTTAAATTGGTTTCCACTTTGACTTGATTATTTTGCCTGCAAAGTATGAAAACCCTGCAAGTAAATAAAATTTATCTACTGCTAGGTGCACTTTCAAAGTATGAATACGAATAAAGCGTTTAAGGGAAATATTTTTAGCCTTTATTACAGAAGTTAAAATTTTTTTAATCGATTTTTTTCTCTTTTCGAATTCAATAGGTATGCCGGAAAGCCTTCCAATACCGAATCTTATTTTTTATACTCGTTTAGATTTAGTTAAAGTCATTTAAATAAAATCTCTTTTACCTCAGGTAAGTACCTACATTATAGCTATATTATGGTGTGTTGGAAATAAATTGGAAAAAGCTGGTTGAATAAACGAGTTTAAAAAGAAAATTTCACGGCACGTTTCTCTACTCTAACGAATGCATACATCACCTTTTTTCATCAATAATTTCCCATTTCCAGCACTACATACCGCGTGACTGCGAAATTTAAATCACTACAATGTTCAAAGTTTTCTAATATGAGGCTATAATATCCGTAGGAAAAGTTTAATAACGTTTCTTTTCGC